ACGTTTAGCAGCTCCGCCCAGTTAACTACTAAGTGTACACATTAAGGTAAAATAAAATGTATGATGTTTGTGAGAGTTAACCTCTTTCAAATGAGCTGCTAGACGATTTTGGATTTACATAGATCTTATCATTTTCCACAATTATTTTATTGCCATTTATTCAAAAAACAATTTAAGGTGTTAATTAAGTGTACATAACTACCCTAGGATGGGTTAACATTTCAATATTTTGTTTTTATCAGCCCAATTTTTTGAATGAAATAGTTATCTCGGAGAAACCGTGTAGGTTGAATTTTTCCTAAAGAGAAAGCTAGAGGTGACCAAAAACGTCTGTACTATTGAGGCTTGGATTAAGTGTTTTCGACTAATTGGAATCATTTGTATGGCAAGTAATTAAATTCGACAAATCTCTTAGGCGATGTCATTTAATAAAAAATTTAAATCAGAGATGTTTTTCATAGAAACCTGTCGCTCGGGGTGACTAAAAAAGAAATTGAAAAAATCACATTGTTACATAAATCAAGATATTAATTAGTAACACACTCAGTAAATTTGCCTGTTCTATTGAGGCTTAGATTAAGTGTTTTCGACTAATTGTAATCATTTCTATGGCGAGTAATTAAATTTGACAAACCTCTTAGGCGATGTCATTTAATAAAAAATTTAAATCAGAAATTGTTTATTATTTTTTTCATAGAAACCTGTCGCTCGGGGTGACTAAAAAGAAAATTGACAAAATTAAATGGTCACATAAATCAAGATATTAATTAGTACCATACTCAATAAATATAAATCTGTCTGTTCTATTGAGGCTTAGATTAAGTGTTTCCTACTAATTTTAATCATTTCTATGGCAAGTAATAAAATTTGACAAACCTCTTAGGCGATGTCATTTAATAAAATTAGAGATTTTTTTTCATAGAAACCTGTCGCTCGGGGTGACTAAAAAAGAAATTGAAAAAATCACATCGTTACATAAATTATATAATTTCCTGTTAATCAACATTGCTATCTTCCAAATAATTATACATTTATTCTCAGGTCTGGGTTGAAATGAAATACCAAGTGTCACGTTTTATTTGTTCTACTTTTTTATCTCAACTAAGACTTTAGATTAAAAGTATAATTAATTAAAATCATAAAAATGACTAATAAATACATATATGGATTGTTTTCTTCTTTTTTTCTACGCATTGAACTAAAGTGATGTAAACAATTTTAACTTACTTTGAACCTGTTCTCTGGCAATCCAATTGGGCCTTTGTCGCTTAAAATTTAAATTATGTGCGATAGTCGTTATTGGGAAGTTTTGACATGGCCGGTCTTCCATTCGGAAATAACTGACGTGGATTAACAATCGGTGATTATCTCCTTTGAATCATGCCCTATCGCTTTTCTCCGAGCAAAGAATAATCATTAACTATTCGAACTCAATTTGGAACTACCTTTACGTCCAATTGTATTTCCATTGGACGAATTGTTCTGAATGATCAATCCATCAATCCAAGATCGTCCAACCTGGACGTGATCGTGATTGAATCAGTGGATGTATTTTTTACTGTTTTAACTTCTTTATTAGAAAATTTTAAAAGTTGATGTAAAACTGTGTAAATCTTTAGTCTTTGAGTTTTTGTCTGTTCACCAAGGCGAGGAATGAAACGAAACACGAGTCGAAAATAGAAAACTGTCAAAAAAATTAAGTAACTGTGTTAAATTATTTCTGAAAAAACAGCAGGAGGTTCAAACAATCATGCAGAATCTCCCGGAACACAATATAGACAAGTTTTAAATCGAAATAAATCCTTAGAATAAAATTTCCCACTAAAACTTATACGAAACAATAACCGAATGGTCAACAATAAAGACACTTAGAATTGTCTAAGTACACTGGGCAGGAGAGGTAATCCAGATTTTTCCTCCGCCTCTTTGACTTTCGAGTGCACCCACAAAAGGGGTTAGCGTGTGAAAAGACCCGGAACAGCCCTTACGACAATAGGTGGATTCTAGTCAGGATTTATCAGTGGTGATAAATTGCGAAAACGTCAGTACTTTAAGAGACGCACTGCTTATCGAAGTGAAGTACAATGGAGGACAAATTTACGCACCACTCGATTTATTTAGTTTAAAATTAAATCCATTATCTTTCTACATTAGTGCGTTATGTAGCCCACTATATAGCGTCAGGCTTTGTATTAGCACCCATAGCCGTTAGAAAAGAATATTAATAATTCCCTAGTTTTCGTGGTCCGCTTGACCAATTAATGTCTAATCTAATTAATTAAGGATTTTAGTTGAGATAAAAAAGTCAGTGTTACGAGTGGGATTCGAACCCACGACCTTCGGCTAGATACGCCGCTGCTCTACCATTTGAGTTATCGTGACCTCGATCCACTCGAACACCAACTTCCCATCTCAACCCCAAGTTAGTGTCCGAGTAGATTGAGGTCATGATAACTCAAGTGGTAGAGCAGGAGCATATCTAGCCTAAGATCATGGGTTCGAATCCCGCTCGTGGCACTGACTTTTTTATCTCAACTAAAAACCTTAATTAATTGAAAAATATTAATTGTTGTTTTATTTTTGTACCAGGTCCAGTAATGGTCTGACCTTTGGGCGTCCACGATGCCCAAAACTTGTAGTTGGACATACAACGAGTTGTCCTGTGTATCAAAAATTGTTTTACTTTACTTCTTCTATATTCAACCAAAATACACTGATAGACAAATTTAACGCACCAGTCAATTTATTTAGTTTAAAATTAAGTCCGTTAGGTGCAAGAAATAAGGAGCTATCATAGTCAAAATAATAGTAACTAATGTGTGGTGATTAGTGACCGTTAATCGATAATTATTCAGAAATCGTGAGATGCGGTCTGGTGTGATGTAGGTTTCAGAAAAACATTTTCTTTATCGTGCGAACGTTTCGATCTTTATTGAAATCATCTTCAGGGTTAACACGACACGCAAGAATGGCACAATTACACAGAAGACAAACACTAGAGCTCTGAAGATGATCTCAATAAAGATCGAAACGTTGGCACGATAAAGAAAATGTTTTTCTGAAACCTACATCACACCAGACCGCATCTCACGATTTCTGAACAATAGTAAATAATGCTTTATTTACTTTTGTAGTGATTAGTCCCGTTTACACAAAAAGTAGCTTTAAGCCCTTCGATTCTGCTATGCCTAAAGAACGTTTTCAGTTAATATTTTTACTTCGTTGATTTCATTTGAATTATTCTTATTCTTTAAACATATTCAATGGCTCCAGGTTTGAGTATGACAGTGTCAGGATCATAACATTGTTAGAGGAAGGCTACAGCCAGCACAAATTCGCCAGGATACTGAGTGTAAATCGCTCTACAATGGAAAATGTGGACCTCTTCTTACCGTAGCTCAGATGGCCAGAGACATTAGAACATTGGGGACGACTTGGCTTTACAGATGAGGTGAGAGTTGGCCTCAAATTTTCAGATGGGCGTAATTTCATATGGAGACGCTCAGAAGAAAGGTGCACCCCATGCTTCCTCAGGTGACATTCCACGGTGGGTCATTGATGTTCTGGGGTGGTATTGTCTTGGACGCCCGCGCCGAATCGATTGTTGTGCGAGAAAGATCTCTAACTTCAAAGACACTTACAAGACATAATCGAAGAACTCGTAGTGCCATCGGCCCCAGCATCGGTGAGAAATTCTTGATAATGCAGGATAATGCCACGCCCCATAGAGCAAGCATTGTAGATGACCTGAGTGAGTATGGAATTTTGTGCCAGGTGTGGTCAACTCGAAGTCCAGATTCGAACCCAATCGAACACCTTATTGGGTCCAACTTAATCGAAGAGTACGACCCTGGTCCTAACACCCTAAAAGAGTTGAAAATGGCTGTTCATGATGAATTGGAAAGAATCCTCAGGATTTTACCAGAGATCTTTTCCAAAAAATGCAAAGGCTTTTTAACAGACGTGATCCATGACAGAGGTAAGATATACTCGGTATAAGGGGGACAAACCAATTTTTGTCTTCTTTTTTTCTTTACTCAATAATTGTTTTTATAATTAAGTCTAATTAATTAATAATTAATATCAATTAATTATTAATTGTTATTAATTAAGTCTAATTATAAATGTCTTATTTTTACAACCAAACTTATTTTTGGTATGCAAAATATGAATAAATCTAAATACATTAAAATTTAAGGCGGGTGCATTTATTTTGTCCTTCAGTGGAGATTAAACATCTCAAAATATAGAAAATCTTTTATCCATTGTATGAAACGTAATTTTGATATATATGTATTTATAAAAGACAATTATTAAATAATAAAAAAAATAATACTTCATCTCTGCCAGCCAGGAAAAACAATCTGCAAAATGAGAAGTCGGGATCATGCAATTACCAAAATTACATAACAAAAGAATAATTGGAGCTTCAGTTCATAGAAGACTGAAAACAGCTCTACACTCCATGAACTCAATTTACTAAATAATCTTTTTACACATACGAACACACATTCACAACAATGTACAACACACATAGAACTTACACGACCCACGTTCATAAACAAAAAAAGCACAGTTCAAGGAAGACTGAAAATAACTTCATACTCCATGAACTCATTTTATTTATATATAACACACAAAAACAATGTTCATTTACAAATGCACATAAATAAACAACTCAGTTGAAAGGAACACTGAAAACAACTCTATACCCCATTATGTGCTTTCATTCTTTCATCTCTACATGCACACACGCATGAACAAACAGACAACTGTCAAGTACACAAAAAAATACACAAATGATTGTTCTACACACCAAATGAATATTTTTCAGTGATCCAGATATCAAAAACAAGATTTATATTGAATCTTGAACTATGATACCAGAAGAATAAATACAGTTTTTACAGGTGCAACATTGAAGAGGGAAAATGCTGAAAAACGCCTGAAATTCCAATCTCATGAGAATAGGCAGACCAAAATGATCAATAATGACCAAATTTAGAGAAAAAAATGTTTATTTTGCAAAATAAATAAAGGTTAGTTAAAACTAATTCATTAGTTTAGATTTTATAATGAGTAAAATGGTAAAATGAATAAACAAAAAATAATTGAACCTCCCATAAATGCATACACCAGTATTAATTCTAATTCTCTATATAAGAAACACAAACTAAACCAAAAACATTACATTCTACGTTTATATATAAATAATTTATTTTTTGAGAGAATGTTTGAAAATTTGATATAAAATTATGAACTTCTGGCACTACACCTTCCGTTACTACTCTCTGTATTATTTTTATCCTTCTTGTCTCTCGATAAAACTAAAGAAATAATTTGATATAAATCACATTTTGATTAAATAATTTTTTATACTTTATTTCATATTAATATTACTTATTAATTTTTGTTTTAAATATTAAAAGGATGCTACTGATGAAGTTTGGCTGTTTGAACTTAGGATAGACATTTCTTCATTTTTGTCTGACAATATGCCGAAGTCAACTCCTGGTGGGAAAATGGTGGAAGGCTCCTCTTCAAAAAACTTGTGTATTTTATTGTACAATTCCTCGTGATTTGAATTCTGTTAATTTGAAAAAAAGTTTTTATAAAATTAATTCGGCTCTGAGAACTTAATGTTTCCCTAAATCTAATGTTATAATAGTTTTTTTTTGTACATCGTTTTACCTTAAACTTTGGGTGCAGATATTGCTGCAACAGCCTCCTAAGCTCTTGATTTCTGGCTTTTGTAGCCTTTATTTCTTGGTTTAAATAATGTCTCCCTAAAAATTCACACTTTAGACAAAGCAATTTTTAATATTTAAAAAAATGCTTACTTAATAGAATTCGGTAATAATCCTTTATCTGAACGAGAAAAGCATTCCAAAGAGCAATTTTGTCTCTGTTGAAGATTGTAGTGTACCGTCGCCAAAATCCCTCAATATCATCAAGGTTTAACAAACGTGCAAGAGAGATATGCTTCTTGGAAGCCATGTGGCTCAAGAGCTCTGTGTTATCACTGAAAATACACAAATTTACAAAATTTTCATTGTTAAAAATATTCGAACCTTTTACCTTCCTTTATCCTCATTGAATTTGATCGCAAATTCTTTAAGTGCTTTGCAAACATTAACTGGGCTCACTCCCGGTACATGATTCACCTCTCTGCAATTCAGGTTCGCCAATTGCTGTTTTACTTCTACAAAATAACACACGTGTAATATGCAAAATGGTTTTTGTTTAGATTCAATACCTTTTGAAATCTTGTCACTTGAAACATTCTTATCGTTTTTCTCTTGGAGACATTTTTTGCCCTTTTCAGCCAAAACAAATGGTAAATCTGCTGTCTTACCTTTTACATTCATCCCTGAAACATGTTTAAAAGATGATTTATTGCTTTTATTCATTGATAAGCTACTATGTATGGGTAAAGAAGCAAACTACAAAGTTGGTCAAAGAAAAAAAATTTCTATCTATTTTTCAAAATTATTATTTGAAACATTTTTGACAGATAACATTAGCTCCTTAGCAATTCTATCAATATGATAAGAGGATCTTGCTATCCTCAAAAGCTAAATCTGAGAATATCTTAATGTAGATATTTATGAACATGTATGTTATATTTACAGAAGAAGAATAAAAATGTCAGCAACAACCAAGCAGAGCTTTGGGCAATCTCCAAATCGTTAACGTGGATCTTGGAACAGGAAGGTCCAAAATCACCAACCATCAAAACAGTTGGCCAAGTAGCCTAAGTATGGAGCTGTCGATTCAATCATCAAAAAGACCTTACAATGCTTAAAAAGTAACGGTTGGGAAATAACATTCCAATGGGTCAGACTGGTAATAAAAGAAACAATGCAGCAGACCAAGAAGCTACGGAAGTGGCAATGAGCAATTATATGGCAGTAGAGTTCTGGAAGGTACCACTTAGCTACGTGAGGCTCCAAAATAGGACTAATATGCTAACTGAATGGAATTCACAATGGGTTGAAGCGAAGTAAAGCTCCCACACAAAAAGGTTTTTTCCCACACCATTTGTAAGGAAGAAGGCTTACCTTGTTCACACATATAAAACTATGTAAATTTTAAGCAGTCAAGTGGATGTAGCAAGGGAGAGTTACAAATGGGTGACCACTTTTTGCAAGCTGCAGGATCCGGCTTTGGAGGGAAGTACTGCTGCAAGAATCCACTAGCAGTATTAGTGGAAAGGCACCTGATTCTTAACTTTTGTAAATAATTTAAATTTTGATACATTCTAAGTTTAGCATCTAGGGAAAGAAGAAAAAATGTTCTCTTTATATACTTAATGTAATATACAATTATATGGATATATATGTTAAATGCATGCAAAAAAAACTAATATAGTATTTGTTTTGTTTATAAAATAACTGTTAATTTGTTTGAAAATATAGGGGCTGGCGATGGCCTTGAAGCCCAGGTCAAAAGCTTGGCAAAGTTGGAATTTTGTTTTTATTCTACCCTCGACCATAATACTAATCATACATCAAATTAAACTTCAAGTAGTCAATACCTTCTCTTCAATAAATACTTGCATTCAAATTGAGAGCATGTAGTTTTGAATAAACTCCCTGGCTACAGGGTTGCTGTGACCAGAAAAAAATATTGGTAATGCCAGTTGTAAATTTTAGTGTTTGTGAATAGAATACAGTTCGTGATCCGAATGACCAATTAACATTTTTCAATTAATTAATATTTATGAAAGGTATTGGTTGAGATGGGAAGTTGGCGTCCAAGCAGATCGAAGTTACGACAGCTCAAGTGGTAGAGCAGCGGCGTATTTAGCCGAAGGTCGTGGGTTCGAATCCCACTCGTGACACTGACTTTTTTATCTCAACCAATGCCTTTTATAAATATTAATTAATTGAAAAAAGTTTGTAAATAATTTTGTATGCTTAATCTGCTAGTTGCGATAATCCTTTTCATTGAAAAACACTTCCTTCCTCAATCTTGCTGTTCTTCTCTTATGAAGCACCTCTTTCTAATTATTTCTCCTATTTCTCCTCTTTTCATTATAAATTTGATTAATTTTCTTATTCAGTTGTACAAGTGCTTTCCCTTATTTTATTTTACCCAAGAATTATCAATTTGCTAAAGCTGTTAGCTGGATCCCTCCTGGATTATTCTTGAGCTGAAATTTAATTTCATTTTCCTATTAATGTAAAACCTAGTCCCTGCTGATTTCTCTTTATTTAAATTCCTTCTTTAAATTTCTTCTTCTACAAAGATCTTTTGAATCATTATTAAACGATTAAACAAGGTGTTCAACGTGTTCCAACCCTCTAGAGCAGAGGTCGGCAAACCGCGGCTCTTTCACTAAATGTGGAGCGAAAAGTATGACAGGTGCAACAAATGGGACTGTCGCTATATTTAAAGAAAAAATTAATCACGAGATACTTACTTACCAATGTATTATTCATCAGGAAGCACTATGTTGCTATGAAGAAATTTGCTCAGCAGGTTCAAACATTTTAAAAGCAACAAAGCGACGCTAGCCTTTGTTTAAAAAAAACTTTTGAATGCAACGGTAACAGAAATTAATTTTTTGCCCTTTAAATTGATATTGGCAGATTTGAAATGCAGTTGCTGGACTTAAAAAATAAAGAATTTTGGAGCTCAAAATTCGAGCGTCTTTAAACCGATTTGCAGCTATTGGAGAAAAATAAATGTGAATTAAGTTTACAGAAAAATTGGTCTACTTTGAAAGATCTGGCGAGGGAAGATATGTTGATTTTTAACACCTGGATGATGTTGATGATCAACTGAAGAAACTAGCGTTTCCTGTTCTTTCCTTACTTGGGCTTACATATTTACGCAAACAATCATTTTCAAGCATGAACTTTATCAAGAGTAGATTAAGAAATCCTTATCGATGAGAACTTGGAATCGTGCCTAAAATTAAAAACAACTTCAAACCTGACTTACCCCTACTTTCCGGAGAAATGCATTGTTCACATTAGTGGAGTATTTGTAGTTTTTTTTTTTAAGGATACCTTTTATATTATTTAACTTGTTATATTTTTAAATAAACGTTATCTTTATATAAGAATGACACCAAGTTTTAAGTATTTAATTACAGTTTTTTTTAACTTATTACTTACTTGGTAACTTATTAAAACCGTACTTTTAATTCTAATTATTTCCATAAAAATGTCTAATAAAGGAAAGCTTAAGATTAATAAACATCAATTTTGTATTTTTGATTATATCTGGCTCTTTTGGATGACGAGTTTGCCGACCACTGCTCTAGAGAATAAGTTGTTATGTTTAAGATAAAGTAATCCGTACCCTGCACCACCTTCCCTTTTAAAAATATATTAAATCAATTATAGTCCTGCTCTCGTTCATTGCACACCTCTTATGATTCAGTTCTTATTTTACGTTGCATTGCAAATTACATAAATCATTAATTAATAATTAACATATTATAATAATGATAATAATTATTTCACGGAATCCCCAACACATTTTACCATATTCGACCATAGCTTAAATCCACGGGACATCTGTCAAAACAACTGCCATGAAGTCAGAAGGAATCGGGCCTGAGCTCCTTGCGCTTCATGCAGAAATTTGTATAGGAAGTGGGTAAGTAAATTAAAATTAATAATACACCCACCACCCATTATTGCATTAACTTTTCATTGCAGAACCTTTCATTTAAATTAATTATTTATATATTTTCCCCTGTTTTTTCTCTTATCCATTCTTTCCTTTTTCTTTTTTTTTAACTTGACTTTATTTTTTATATTTATTTTTATTTTTTATTGGGCTGGTAATGACTTTAGTTATTTGATACCCTTTAACCCTTTAACCCTTTAATAAAAAAACTAATAATAATAAATATATTTTGTTGTGGAGATTTTGAATTTTGAATCAGTGAGTTATGCCTTTCAAAATTTACAATAAAACCCCATAAAAATATGACTATTAAATCAGATTAATATCAGCTGATAAGTTGGAAATTTCACCTAAAACATCCTGCCTGTGTACAATGTCTGATCCTCTTGGCATTGTGTCCATCTTCAGAGTGTAGTTGCCCTCATCGTTCATAAAGTCAAAACTGAAGAGATACCCATTAGACCGGTGTCAAGACAAGGCGTACAAATTTTCTTACCCGCCCTCCAAAGAGCAGAACTCATTTTGTACAATCATGTTTGCCATGTTGAACTGGTTGCGGACCTTCTCAGAGATGACATCGGTGATGGGCTTCTCTTGTGTGATGTCGTCATGCTTCACGACCTCTTTTCCATCTCCATAAGTGTACTCCTTTTCATTACCACTGCAAAACGGCTCTTGAAGAAGACAAGAAAAAAAGAACAATTTTCAAACTACATACATTACTTTTTCACCTAGGCTGTCCTCATCCTCATCATCTTTCACAACAATTTCTCTGCCCTCATTTAAACACGTAATGCACTTTATGTATGGTAAAAAGAATTTTGATACATAATCTATGTCTTCTAGCTCTCTTATATTCAATGCCTAAAATAAAGTGACTTTAAACATTATTTGTATCACCTATTCTTATTCATTAATGATAATGGAATTATATTACTCTCAATTTGATTTAATAGAATAGCCAAGGTTTAAAAGTTTATGAATTTATAAATAAATCACAATTGAGAAATATTTTTTAAACAAAATAATTTTAAAGTTATGTAATTTTTTGCATGGGATTCCATGATATGTGATTTTATACCGTAAATAATGTGTCCAATGTTACTAGTTTCTTGTTCTTATTTTTTAGAGGTTCCACAAAAGCTTTGATGTTGTCTTCAACAAGAAAGTCAACCCTCTCATCAATGCTGTCCATTATGACTTTCAAGAGACGATTTTTCTGCTCAGCAGACATTGGTGGCAGTTTCCTACTTATGCCGATGTTTCCTTTCATGTCTAGAACATTGCCGCATATAACATTAATCTTAAATTTATGCTGATGATGCGTGTTGGTCTAGGGTTTCTAGTGGGTGAAGGACCCAGTAGCTGCCGTTAAACATTCTTAAAGATATTGTTTTACCTTTTAAGGTTTTTTTTGCCGCAATGTAAGATGGTAGGGCCTGCCTCTTGAAAGAACATTGAGGCGGCTGCCACATCAGGCAGAATTGAAAATCATAAAACGCTTTATCAGCTCCCACCAACTGAAAGCAAGATGAAATGATTTTACATAAATATAAAATAGTAGTGTTTGGTCATTTCTGGTCCTTTTGGTTTGCCTTCCTCACTAGGTTGGACGCATTTCAGAATTTTGCCACTTCAGTATTGGGGATCTCATACCATAGACAAAATACTACAATACATCTGGTAGACCAACCCAATAAAAAAAGGCAGACAAAAATGACAAGTAACAGCATTACAAATCATTTTTGGAATTGACATCAAAAACCAACTGTAAAAAGTTAAGCAAGTCTGTTTTATTGTAATTTAATCATTTATTAAAATCAACATTAAACCTATTTCAGCTCCATTGATCACATGGAGAAATCTCATGAATAAATAATATTCTAATAACTTTGTAATTAGGCTATTTAAAAGAGTTTAACCTTAAGAGCTTATTTTACAATAAGTATGTCCAAAACAAAGAAATTCTGTTGTGGAATCTTTGTCTCACCTTATTGATAAGTTCCTCAACAACTTTTTGATTGTAGTCCCACAGTTGAAAATATTTTTTTGAGCTTGATACTGAAAATAGTTGAGCCCTGTAGTATGTGTCTTTGACATTGTTGTGCAAATATTTTAATTCTTTTGTCAAACGGTCGATCTTTATCTTGGCATTCATGCTTTCTTCTGCTGACTTCCTCCTCAAAGCAGTCACTGTTTCTTGCAAGCTGTAATTCCACAAAGGACAAATTATGTTGTTTTTATAGTCAAACAATGATAATTTCGGCTCACTGGTTAATGACTTGTTTCTGCTGGGACTTGATCAGACGATTCTCACCCTCTCTCTTTTGAAGAACATGGTAGTTATATGTCAGTTTTTCTGTGTTTATCATACAGACATTCCTTATGTTGTCAAGCTCCAATGTTAATTTCTTTAAAACAAAAAATCAATGTTAAGTACAATCCTTTTAATATTAATTAATGTTCATACATGGATTTTTTTAGTCAATTCGAGTTTTGTCAGTCGCATTGCTTCTTCTTGCTCGACCATCATCTCGTCCATTTCATTTTCATGATCCCTAATCATGAGAAACTTGCCTTTTAAATTTGACATCTCAAGATTTTCCTTTTCTTTAGCTATATGGTCAAAATGCAGCCTCCGCTTTTTCAGAAGACATTCTTTTTCCATTGTAATAACTTTCTGTACACAAATACATATAGTGTAAAATATATATTATTAAACTTTATTTTTAAAAAATAGAATAATGTGTTTTAATTTACTTCTAATCTTTCCAGTTCTTGACGAAAGCAATCATTCATTACGTAGATCTGAGAATTTATCCTGTCCGAGAGTATATCTATATATTCATTTTGTTTATTTAATTCACTAAAAAATACTTTGTCAGACTCAACCAAGTTGCTTTTTAACTGTTCTATAATCTCATCTTTTTGTTCAAGCAATTGTAAGCACTTTTCTACAATTAAATTTTTATAAATAATTAGCCATTGGCGGTGGATTTGTGAATTTGGTATGTAGAGCAAAAAATCTTAATATTTTACCTCTTTGTAAATTGGTCTCGTTGTGAATGTCAAGCGGATCATTGAGGTGTTTTATCTCTTCCCATTTGTTATTTATCTCCATAAACTTTCTATGTGCAGAATCAGCTTCTTGTTTGATCAGGCCTCTGATCTGTTCTTGTTCTTCCATTTGCACTTTCTGCCTTTCCTGGTCACTCTTGACAGCAGCTACCCGGATATTGGTCACCTGAAAATAAGATTATTTCTTTCAAGAAATTGCTCTTTGAAAATACAATTAGTATGTGACCTTCACACTAATATTTTTATGCAACTTTATTTGGGAAAATCTGATAAAGGAAATAACCCTTTTTAATCAATTGTGGACATAAAAATTTGAACCTTCAACTGCCAAATTTGATCAGAACAACCTACTATTTTATGTGCAAAACAAAACACGGCTTTAAGTATGTAATTTTTTGCTGTTTGATTAGTAACATAGCTATTGAAAACCGAAACTATAGAAAAAAATCCAGTCAAAGCTTATTTAGATTCAATAAAAACATTATAATAGTATAATCAAAATTTATTATTTTTGGTCATTTATTTGCTGTATGCTTGTCATTCACATAACAGAATAAGACACACATTTTCCGTACAAATGCCCAGGTGCAACACCCAAATGGTTGATTAATCCTCTGCCTAATATGATGGTTTACTTCCTTGCATGCCATCTAATAAAATTTTGTGATATGGCGGATTGATCTATCTGATATGACAGTTTACCTACTAACATGCTGTACAATGAAAGTTTTTAATAATGGTTGATTGATTGATCCATCTGATACGACAGTTTACCTACTAACATGCCGTATAATGAAAGTTTGTAATGATGATTGATTGAATGATCCATCATATACCACAGTTTACCTACTAACTGCCGTATAATGAAAGTTTGTAATTATAGCTGATTGATCAATCTATCTGATATGACAGTTTACCTACTAACGTGTTATGCAATGAAAGTTTGAAATTATAGATGATTGATCATGCTATTTGATATGACACTTTACCTACTAATATGCTACACAATGAACGTTTGTAATGATGGTTGATTAAATGATCCATCATATACCACAGTTTACCTACTAACATGTTATACAATGAAAGTTTGTAATTATAGCTGATTGATCAATCTATTTGATATGACACTTTACCTACTAATATGCTACACAATGAAAGTTTGTAATGATGATTGATTGAATGATCCATCATATACCACAGTTTACCTACTAACATGTTATACAATGAAAGTTTGTAATTATAGCTGATTGATCAAAATGATTGATGAAAATTAGTAATGATGGTTGATTGAATGATTTATCTTACATCACAGTTGACCTACTAATATGTTATACAATAACAGTTTGTAATGATGGTTGAATCCATCTGTTAAACAGTTAACCTACTAACAACGTAAACAAAGAAAATTTGTAATGATGTTTCATTAATCAATCCATGTGATACAACGGTTTACCTATAAACAAACAATCATACAAAGCAAGCTTGTATTACGATTCCATCCTATCGTTACCTACTACTACACCATATTATGAAAGTTTGTAATGATGATTGATTGATCTGATACGAGTTAACCTATTACCAAAGCAAACGAAGAAAGTTTGTAATGATGGTTGATTGATCAATCCATCTGATATGACAGTTTACCTACTAACAAACAAGCCGTACAAAGCAAGTTTGTAACTATGATTGATTGATGGATCTATCCAATATGTCAGTAGATGATGTTTGGATGGATAGATCAGTAATGAAAGTTTGAGATGATTGATTGATCATCATATGACAGCTTAACTAATACCACGCCTTATAGCGCATGTTTGTGATGTCTATGTAAAAAAGTTTAATTTAGCAGTGTGGCCTGTTTTATGCTGTCTGAACTGGAAAAACAAAATGGCTAAAGTTTCTGCATGAGGAAGCCATGGCCTTTTAGTAGGCTGTAATGCCATTGATATATGTTATGTTTAAGTTTTGAAGATCCATTGACACGTATAGAATGTTTTAAACAAAGAAATTATTTACAGACAAATAGCTTGTATTTAGAAGGTTCATTATACGATCCATGCTCTTTTCCATCTGCTTTTCTGCTTCCGTCTTTGGAGGTACCGTTTTTTCCCTGTAAAAGTTTTGGTTTTATTTAATAGTTCCAACCCTGGATATTAAAATGAATCGAAATACCTCGGTTCCAACTCCTGTTGTCTTTTTTTAATCCGAATCCTCCTCGCAAGCTTTCTGAGCTCGGCGTCGTCAGAGACGAGCATATTCGAGATCTCCTCGCTGTCGACGGAATGGTCGTCGCGACCGAACACCTCCATCCTCGTTCAATTGAAATAAACAAATCAAAAAAACAAATCAAACTACTGTTGAACAGATGTAAATTGTACGTGGAAAAAGCACAAACGAGCCCGGTATCCATCGCGATCGTTGCTATGCCATAAAGTCGAAATTTACCCGAACAAACATTCCTCTCGTCAATCGTCTAAGTTTTTATCTTAAAACTTACAAAGTGTTTTAGAATTTCTTATACGATTTAACAACAATTTTATAATCATTTATTTCCGCTTTGCAACAAATTCAACATAAACACCTCAAAATTAGCCGTTTTCTTGTAACAAGCTGCATTTTCACTATTTTAGTGCTTTGCTCTTAAAATTAAAGTATTAAAAAAATTATTAGAAGTGTTAATATTCAATAAAATCAAATAAATTTTTCTTAAAGCACTGTTTTTAATTAATAACAACTTCACCTTTCAAGAAAAACTTCCAGCTGGGTAGTATAAGTCAAAAACTGACTTTTTTCCAGTTTTTGGTTCATACCAGTACTAAATCAATGGTAGATTGAACCAACTTAAGTTAATTTTAACAAGCTCTGGTATAGCTAATATCCACGAATAATCTGATTTTCTTTCTCTCTCTGGATCTCTGGATTTCCTTTCTTTAGCCCTTTTTGCCTCCATTTTTTTTTTTTTTTTTTTTTTTTTTAAATTTGGCCTTTGCATTTTCTGCAATTATCACAGTGCACCTTCAATTATAATATACATATTTTTGTGTGGTTCAGTTTGACTGAATATTAATTATATTTTGCATTGTATAAATTCACCTTTTTTCCACATCCTACATGTATTTGTTAAATATAAACAATGTTTGTAAATCCCAGGCCCGGAAGATGATCTCAATAAAGATCGAAACGTTGGCACGATAAAGACAATGTTCTTCTGAAACCTACATCATACCAGACCGTAGTAAATTACATAACATCATTGTATATTTCTAAGGTACTAAGTAGTTACTAATAGAGTTTTATAATGAAGTGGTTTTTCTATTGATTGTGATTTGATGATTCTACTGATAGATTTTTTTTTTTTTTTTTTTTACAGCTCATCTAGCTTGTTTTTCTTAATTTATTATATTTTACAGACATTATTACGTGTTCTAAATCGTGTTTTTTCCGTACAAATTGCACCCATTTTGCATCGATTGTTCAGTATTTTTCAAATAGACTCCATATATTCTGTGATTTGATCTTATTGTTAGCCAGTTTAATGTAATACAATGAAGTACATTCTCCTTTTGTTAGCCAGGACTGATGAAGCCATGGTCTTGTGATAATGGTTGGGCTTATATCTGGGTAGAAGGCTCCTGTGGAATAAGAACCAATTTGGCGCCATTTTTCATATTCTTCCTTTTTGGCTTCCTCGACTGGTTCAATGTTCAAATTTTTTTTTTTTTTGCCATTTCTATTTTGTTCCATTTTATACCCCCGTGGGTACATACCCAGAAGAAATTACACAACCTTTTTCATCCAATTTGTGTGCAATTCCATAATCCTGGAAACTAGATATGTACAGATAAACTTTTTTATTAATTTTCGCTCTTAGAATCAGTCAAAATAAAAACCTTGTTCTTTTCTATATTCCCTTCTAAAATGGCTTCCATTGTTTAGTATCCTGATTCGTTCTGCTGAATAAATATTATTAAAATGCAAATATAATTGTTACTGCCAATTTTGAGCTTATCATCAGGGCAAACAATCTTAAATAGGACTACAAATTGACATAATTAATTTTTTTACAGAGAATTTCAAATTTCTTTGAAGTCCCAACATTTCTATGGAAAGCCTGGCAGTAACAATTGAATTTTTTTTCATCAAGACCATATTGCAATCCAGATTATACATTAGTAAAAATGTGGTCCATACATCTAACATCTAACTTTTTTTTTTAATTAAGTTTTAATTTTTTTGGCATATTACCCATAAAGTTTTTATTTTAATTTTACTGAAAAACGGCGAAAAACCCCACCCCCACCCACATCCCCCTGCTAGGGTAGGAGACATCTAACACTTCAAATAGTTAATATCAGCTTTCAATATTAAAAATCATGGATAAAGATAACAAATGATTTTAGCTGAAAATTAAAAATTTATTGTGTAAAAGTGGGTCTTGAAGGAAAAGTTTAAATCAATTTCTGTGGATTGCTGAATGATTGACAGGATTTTCAGCATAATGCAGACTTTCTACGTTAATCCCATCACAACATATAATATTATCACAGCACAAATGTAAGCTCTAGATTGCTGGAAGGGTTAACAAAGTAGTGACCTTTTTCTTAAAGGATATACTGTAAATTTTACCAACAAATCGTCTCAGATAGATCTTGTTTTTACTTTTTAGCAATAAAAGCCTAACATTTAACCAAATATCGAAATGGGTTATATTCTGTCTCTTTGTTGGGCATCTTTGGCATTTGAAATGGGCTCTGTCATGCAATTATCTACACCAAGAATAATTTTCAATTTAGTGGCTCAATAAGAAAAATTGAGACATTCACTTCCAGTTCTGAAGGTGTCTTTAACAGCATTTGTTCTTTTGGGGACCACTATTTCTATGCCATTAAATAGATCATATAGAAATCTTGGATTTGTAAAGAAAATTACATCTGATTTCACAAATATCATTGCAATTAAAATTCTATTACACTTTGTAAATGCCTTTTTTTAGTAATATGTTCAAATCTTGAAAGTTTTAAATTTAGATGCTTTGGATTCACGCCAATCAGTTCCATTTATGATTTTTGCATGTAAGCCTTTTAACGGGCTTGTTGCTCCTGAAGTTTCTCATCTGTGTTTTAAAGTCCGTAACCATAATTTATCCCATGTTCTGACTTTCACGGCAAATTTGTCATTGACTAAGTGTGCCATAAGAATAGCCGGTCTCTTCAATAATTTTAAAAATTAAAATCTATTTGGCAATAGACTGGGAGTTTTCAAAATTTTTTGAAAAGTTAACATGGAATTTGTTTTATTATTTTAACTTTATTTATTTTTACTTTAAATTTTAAACTTTGATTTGTACTTTTATATTTCTTATTACCTTTTTGTTACCTTGTTGTTATTGTTTTTAGTTTTATTCTGTTATAATTGTCATTAACACTGATAATAATAATGATCAACTTAGTACATTTTTAATTTTTATGAATTGTTTATTTAGTTGTACTAGTGAATATTAACAATGAATTTACCACCCCTAGAATCATAAAGATCCCTTATACAGACCTTTTTCAAATATTGGAAACAAGAATTCAAATAGAATGGCAAATTGAATATTCTGCCTCGGATAAGGGAATGGCCTATAAAACATTATTTCCAGTTGTGAAAATAAAACCGTGGTTTAACAAGCTAGACATGGCAAAAAAAGACATAACCACCATACATCGGTTAAGAACAAACCATGGCATCTGCGCACAAGATTGCCATAAAACAACTCCCTAATTGCGACACATGCGGAGTAAAGGAGGACGTAACGCACATAATGTTTCAATGCAGCCAACATTCGTCGGCCAGAAATAAATTCTACCAGGACCTGGAGAAAGAAGGAGTAGAACACCCAACTACGGAAAGTAGAGCTCTATTCAAGAATCCCAGTGTGTTGATAATAAAATTTTTAAATGATGTCTGTGAAAATATAATTTGAACTGTTTAAAAAGTATTCTTTGTATCATGGCTATGTAATTGTTTGATGCCAAATAAAATTTAAAAAAAAAACAACTTGGGATTTTGCTTGGACTACTTTGATAGAGAAATAAATAAACAAATTGTAGCAATATGTCAAGTAAAGAGAATGCTTCCAGAGATTTCCAATGTTAAACTTGAAAATTTTTAACTTTTCCTTTTGTCTTACTGGTTGACATTTCAGATATCTTTTTAATGTTATTTACTGTAAAATTCACACAGTATTCATTCCCACAACAGGACAGATACTAAATAAAATTAAACAAATTTAAATGTAAAAATAATAAGCCATTTTATTTATTTACCTATAATCTTATAATTGGTGCAGATTGGATCTTTATTTTGTCAATGTGACCTTATAGAGGAAATTATCCATTGGCAACCGACCTGGCTTAATCACTTAAAAGGGATCCATATTTTTTCAGACATCTACAGCGTAATTGTGGGGCATGTAGTAATTGAATTTGTGCATTAATGTGACTTTGCAATGTGAAAACGTTAGTAATAGGTTTTTACGGAGGAAAAAAACAGTTGTCATGTGAAGATCTCTGTGAAGTGTGTATTTTTTACATATAAAGGGGAAGAATCAATTGTCATAAAATATTTTATTGAAAACTTTTTTGAATATTGAAATATTTGGCCATTACATAAACTTTTTACCCGTACATCTATATAAGTTTGAGTAAGTATGTGTATGTTGAAAGTTTTGATTTTAATGGGTTTTTTGATTGTCAATTCACTTAGTAAAACATTATAATCTGGCTGTGGTGTCTATTTAGACAAAAGGTAACTTTGTTCTATTAGGTTTGATGTATAACAATATATTCTATATAATGTAAAATATAACTCAAAGACAAAAAACTGGACACTCATATTTTGAATATATTTATTTTTATTGTTATATTAATAACAACTTACTTATTTTAATGTAAACCAAATTATACGAGACCTGAAATTCATGAGTTTTAATAATATTATTTAATTATGATTGTTTGAAAGAAAATTTACCAAAACATCTGAAAAACTTTTGATGTTAGATGAAAATTTAACTTCATCTAACTAACAATTTATTAACCTAACCTAGTTTTGCTCTTAATAGCATTTATTACCTCTTCTACCTCATAGAAAGCCTTAAATCTCCTAGTCATATAAATAAGCAATCCCATTTTATCTTGTGAAACAAAAACCCATTCTTCAACATGAGGAGTTTGAAGCTGTTCAATGCTTGTTGGAGGCGGCAAAAGATGTCTAACCCGTCTCTTTATCATGTGCCATAAGTATTTTATGGTATTCATGTCAGAAGAACTTGCTGGCCAATTCATGGTAGTCATCCCGCACATTAGCACATGCTTCCAAAAGAACTTTCTTAATGTGCCTGTTTTTTTGTTTTTGTTTTTTTGTTTTGTCTTATGGTCTAGCATATTAGCCAAAACTCTAAACTTCAAGTTTAAAATGTATACTTTTGTTGTATTATATTACTATATTATTTTGGGATAGGAGCTTAGAGAGAGAGGAAATTATTTTGGGATTGCGGGTAAAAGAGAGTATAACGGATATTGAGGTAGGAAGAGGGATATTATTAGAAATTAGTGTGTTGTAGAGGACTCTCGGTTGATGGAGATTAGGACAGGCTAGTAAAATATGGTTGGAATCAGCTATGCACGAGGAGTCGCAGGAACAGTAAGGAGAGGCTAGGATATTTATTTTATAGAGGTGGGAGGGAAGACAATTGTGGTTTAGGCGAAGCCGAATTATAGAGGTGAGAGAATGGCGAGGACTATTGTAAGATCGGAACCAAGGGAAGGTAGGAATGATAGATTGGATGAATTTATAAAATTTTCCATTTGTACTGGCGGAGTATTCATTTTGCCAACGGAGCCTGCAGTAACTGTTTATGTGGGCTCTAAGATCTCTAGGGGAGATAATAGAGCAGGGAATGCCAGCGGAGGCCGCAGTCTTGGCCAGCCGGTCTGCTTCATCATTAAATTTGTTGTTGCTGTGGCCTTTAGTTCAAATTATGTGCACTACGGTGCCTCTATCGGTTAGTTGAATGGTGGTGTTAAATATATGAGATATTAAAGGGTGGTTAGAATTGTGGATATTGGAAATGGCGGATAGGACACTCTGACCTCAGTTGTTACATGCAATCAGTTGGTGGGCATAGACGTCGATTCAACCTCATACCATTAACTGTCTTTGAAAAGGCTCTAACTAATGCATGGCACATGAAGCAAAGCATTCTCTATGGCTTCTCCACATCCGGTCCCAGATATCTGATTGCCACAAATCAAACTGGCAATCATCTGCGAAGAGAACAACTCCTTATTGAAGTATCTAAGCATGATGCTGATATCGCTTTTCTGCTCCAGTAGTACAAATTACAATTTTTCAATAAGAAGATGAAGGTGGCAAAACGTTTGGGTCTTTCTTCCTTGACCTTCTAGCTGTTTGTAAACTTCTTAAGCATTACATACTAAATGGGCATTAAATTAAATTAAAAAATTTCAATGGAATTATGATTTTGATTCTCTCTAAAAATTAACGGGGATTTCAACGGTGCTTATAGATTTTAAGAGAAATGTTTAGATTAAAAGATATCACGATTTTCCGACGCCAGGACGTGATATCTTTCAAAATCGATAAAAAGCGAAATTACTCTGAAATGGTTGAGAATCGGACCATGGTCAATATGAACTTTTTTGTTCATTTTAGGGTCAAGAATCTACTGGTGAAGTTTGTAGCACGAGTAGCAAGTCACTCTCAAACATTAGCAATCCTTGAACCACCATTTTTTCTCTTTTTGTCATCAACATCTTGGTCTCACAACCACTAAATAAGAAAATGACGAGTGCGTTGGAAGCGTTATTAAATCAGGTAGTTTTCCTCAAATTTGCTGCCTTCTGAGACTAAAATTAGAAACTCTGGATTACTTTATACACTTTCCGATTTACACAATTTTCCACTCTTTTTGTAGTTCTGGCTGAAATAAAACACAAAAAATTAGCCCAAACATTTTGCCACCGTCATCTTCTTATTGAAAAATTAACGGGAATTTCAACGGTGCTATTAGATTTTCAGAGAAATGTTTAGATTAAAAGATATCACGATTTTCCGACGCCAGGACGTGATATCTTTCAAAATCGATAAAAAGCGAAATTACTCTGAAATGGTTGAGAATCGGACCATGGACAATATGAACTTTTTTGTTCATTTTAGGGTGAAGAATCTACTGGAGAAGTTTGTAGCACGAGTAGCAATTCACCCTGTATACTCAGTTATTATCCCGGCCGATCCATTCATACTGGGATCTCACTCGTATAACCTAGGTCTGGGGGTGACAGTACTCTTTTAAGCCTATTTACATCACAATCATTGTGTTAGATTCTTGGCTCTAAGAATTCCACTAAAATTCCTGTCATTCTGGCCTTAATTTTGCACACCTCTTCTCCTCCCAAAAAAAAACGCATATATCAATGACTTCTCACTTGGCAATATGCAAATATGCAAGGCATAAACCATTTAAAAAATATATATAATAAACAATTTAAAAAATGTTTCAAACAAAGAAAAAAGGATTATAAAATTTAAAAGCTAACAAAGAATTTAAATTTTATTTTAAATTTTGTCATTTATATAAGTAAAATATAAATTATAATAAACTAGTTGTTTTACAAAACAAATTACAAGAAAGAAAGAATTTATTGATACATACGTCTGGTAACATTTAACAATAATATATGATACAAGATCAATAGGCATATTTTAAATAAAAGAGGATATTCATTATAAAAATATATATTTATGAATATTTAGTGTCTATATTTAATTTTTGAACCTCACAACAAAAAATAAATCCAATTTTCCAGTCAGATCACAATGATGCACTTATTAGCCAAACTAATTTTGTGTTAATAAGTAAAATTACAAGGATATTTTTTTTTTTCAAAAATAATTTCTATTACATATAAAAAATAATCTTATATATACAAAAATAAATGAAATAATTTCTTGTATCACTCAGTCTTTTTTACACATAGAAAATATCTTTCTTCTGGTAATAATTATATGTACTGACAAATAAAGAGTATGTATTTACAATACTTGAATTTAAGCACAATGACAATATTAAGCTGTCTTGGCAAGAGTATCGCCTTCCATTTATGCTGACTCGTCTTGGGAGTTGACAAGAGTTTCGTCTTTCTTTCTTCTCGAACACGGGATGAGATCGTTGTATGTTGCCATACCGATAAGAAGGAGGATGAACCCAACGATCTAAAAGTGAAACGAATACAATTTTAAACAAGATGAAAAACGGAAAAAGTCTGTATTGTCGTACCTGCAAAGGATGGAATAACTGCCATCTGGTAGACAATGAGAAAGCCCAAATGAAAAGCGTCCTGACAGAATCGAGAATCATTCTTGTCGTAGCGGACATCTCCTTGGTCACACTTATTCCAGCAAAATTAAAGAATGCAATACTTATTATCGTACCTGCAATTTCACTTTTATTAACTATATGTTTTATTTCATTTTATATGTTTGTAACAATAATTAAATTTATCCGCTTGACCAATTAATACATTACAATTAATTAAGGTTTTTAGTTGAGATAAAAAAGTCAATGGCACGAGTGGGACCTACGATCTTCGGCTAGATACGCCGCTGCTCTACCACTTGAGCTATCGTGACCTCAATCCCCTCAGACACTAACTTCCCATCTCAACCCCACCTTTTGAATTTTCCCTCCTTTTTGCCATTTTTCAAATGTCGTGTAATCGGATTNAGTGGATCGAGGTCACGACAGCTCAAGTGGTAGAGCAGTGGCGTACCTAGCCGAAGATCGTGGGTTCGAATCCCGCTCGTGCCATTGACTTTTTTATCTCAACTAAAAACCTTAATTAATTGTAATAAATGTTTTATCATAAGTAGTAAACAGAATATCCATATGTATTTTAGTCAAGTCTATTCAACAAAAGCAATAATTTAAATTGATTTATAATTTTTATGTAAAGTGTGGTAGATGAAAAGTTAGTGTCACGAGCGGGACTTGAACCCACGACCTTCGACCCAATATACCGCTGCTTTAACCACTTGAGCTATCATGACTTCCATCCTGTGGGTCCCCCAACTCATTATCTCAACCTACAACTTTTTTTCAAATTTCCCCTCTTTTAGCCATATATTCAAATATCCTAGGATTCGATTCCCGGCAACTTATGAAATGGCTACGAGGACCTGTAGCAAAGTGCAATTACATCATTAACTAGTATATTAATCCATATGTATTTTAGTCAGTCTTATTTGACCAAAGTAATTATTTAAATTAATTTACATTTTTATGTAATGTGTGGCTGAGATAAAAGATTAGTGTCACAAGCAAGTCTCGAACCCTAGCTATTGAGCTACTCTTGACTAACAAATCAAATTAAATAGAATGTCAATTATCATAAAAATAATTCTTAAAATAAAAATAATACAATCTTAAATATGAGGGGCATTAGTGCTCGCAATGGTTTATACGTAGACACAGTGGTCATCACTGTAAGGTAAAGGTCCTGGGTTCAAATCTAACATACCTACAAATGTTTTTCCCCAAAAAACATCGGCACCCCGGGGGTTCATTAACCTCTAGTTGAAATACCCTTGTGAAAAAAAAAAATTAAAAATACAAAAGTCTTCAAAAAGTTTTTAATCAGCATAGCATGTTATATCTTATCCAGCTAGCATTTGTTTAAAAAAAAAAAAAAAAAAAAAAAAGTGTTATCTTCTAAATAATAAACAACTTTCTTTTTATTTTTTTAATATCTTACCTTTTGTTTTTCATTTTAGAAATTTGAAACCATTTTTTTTCTTATACATTTGTAGTAAACATGGTAAAGCTTTGCAAAAATCGAACTTATTTCTTTTTTTTTTTTTCAAAATTTACAATACCTCACTGTTGAACCAGCATAGATTGTTTACTGTGTCCATTTACACTCGAGGGTTTTGATGTTGCTCAAACATATTTCAGCTTTGCGCCATGTTCAGTGAGGAACGACCCAGTAAATGACCCAATGTCAGTTCGACATGTGTTAACCGACTCGCAGGACAATTTTATTGATTGTGATTATTCGGAAATCATGAGATGCGGTCTGGTGTGACCTAGGTTTCATAAAAACATTTTCTTTATCGTGCCAACATTTCGATCTTTATCGAGATCATCTTCAGGGCCTAGGATTTACAAAAATTGTTCAAATTTAACAAATACATATAGGATGTGGAAAAAAGTGAATTTATACAATGCAAAAAAAATTGCATTTCACGATTTCCGAATAATCATAGACTAACGGTCACTAACCACTACACATTTATTGCTTGTCGTTATTCTTACCTATTAAGGAGACAATCAGCAACTTTTCATTCCAGCACTGAACCATCGCATCAATAAAATCCTCAAGTGATCCGTTTGAGTTGTTTTGGAAAGGCTTTGGCACTTTTATATAGTAAAATGGGACTTGTAAAATTCCCAAAACAAGAAATCCCCAAATACCTACCAAAAAACAAACATTTAAACATACTCATTGTTAAAAAAAAATTAAATTATCTTTTTACCTTCCCAGCCGACTGCTTGCAAAGGAGGTATGTCTCTTGTGGAGACAAATTTTTCCTCATACACCATCTGACTCGCAGTGATGACTTGCGCTACGACTATAATTAGATCACCTGAAATTAAATAACAGCATTTAAAATTTATTCTTTACTCTTGCAATGAGCAATTTGCCCCATACCGATTATCATGTTAGTCGTGCTTTCCTTAGAGGAACCTGAGGAGAGAAGAAAATCGGAAACGCCGACAACGCAAAGACCGATTATAACTAAAATGATTCCTATCCATTTCTTGAGGCCCACTGTTCTATGAAGAAAGAACTTTGATAAAAGTGCAACGAATACAATCACAGAACCTGGAATGAAAAATTAAAATGTTACATCTGCTTTTTTAATTATGAATAGCCAAAAACATCCAATGAAAAGCATTTCTTTCAAACTTTTCTTCACAAAAATGTGTTACAATTATTTTATGTCTCTATAAACAAATAGTAATAGTAATAGTAATAAAACAATAATAAAATTTTATAAATATACTGAAAAATTAATGGCACAAGTGGCAAATATTAGAAACAATGATAAATTAATGTAATTGTTCAGAGGGAAATTATGAGTAAACTTGTAATTATTTTAATTATTAGTTCAATCAGTAATTCTTTCCTTTTCTCTTGAAATTTATCTATGTGCTATGAGTAAAATTTATCTGGATCTGGCATAAGCAAATAAATTCAAAAATTAACATATCTTTGAAAATTTCTTTATTAAGGAAAAAAGAAAGATTGGCACTGCAAGCTGTTAGAAATTGTTTACTCTGTTTGTTTACTATATTTGAAAATAAAGAGCGACTCATCATTACACAAAATCATTTAATTTACATATAATGAACTTAAAAATTATTAAATTGTAATTTTTTTTATATTTATAATCTTCAGTTTTTGTCAAAGGCGAAGTGCCACTCAATGCATTTTTACCATCAATAATATTTTATCAGTATATTCATAAAAATTAGTATTGTACTCGAATTTTAGAAAATTGATCGATATCAGTAATCAGTATTATTATTTGATAACTTCTGATTCTTGCCTCTTAACATTTGGAACGAGCTGGGACTGGTGAGATTGAGACCGATGTACATCATCGACGTCCCGATCATGTCACACATCGAGGCGGGAAAAAAGAGGAAAGGGTTGAACTCCTGGTTTCCTTTTACAAGCTCGTTTTCATCAACGGTCTAAATTTCATGGAAAAAAATACTTATTAACAAAATTGTGACTTACAATTCAACAATGAATGAATGTGATTAATTATGTACACAAAATAACTAAGATTTTAAAAAACGTGTGACAAGGACTGTTACAAGATAACTTTTTTTATAATATTTCTACTTCAAAAAGACCTGTTCAATTTCAAAAGAATCGTGTTTATCAAATTTACACTTTTTTATATTTTATCAAAATTACTCTCATCACAATATTTATTTTTTAAATTCAAATGGTGGTTTTTTTTTTTTGTAAATACTTGCAATTGTTAAATTAATTTTTATTTTTTTTCTTATTTACTAGATATTTAAAAAATAAGATATAGCTAAATAAAAAATTAAACTGAATAAAACAATTTTACCAAAAATGTTGCTATGGAAACAATAAAGCATTATTACAATTAAACAACCCTGATTTATCAAAAAATCGGAACTGGGGACCCAGATATTCGCTGCTTAAGCATGATTCTCATATAAGGTGTATTCCTATGCATGGCGCCAAGGAAAAATTTAATACAAAGTATTTCCTCCTCTTCCTCCTCTAGTATAAATCACTGCTTGCATTTGACATGGCATTGATTTTATGATGTGTTGAATGTAGTGCTGTGGAATATTTTCATACTCCAAAAGTGCCATTCTTAATTTCTGCAGATTCTCTGGCATCACTGGAAGATTTTACCCCCTTTGGTAATTCACCTCAAAGGTGTTCGATAGGGTTTAAGTCGGGACTACATGCTGGCCACTCCAAACATTGAATTGGAACCCGTTCCAAGTAGTCACCAGCGATCCTAGCTACTTGCCTTCCATAGTCATGCATAAAAATCAAACCGTCACCAATTAGTGGCACATAAGGAACAAATTTTCTGATAACACATATTCAGTGTACCACGCAGCTGTGAGGGAACTCTTGATGAAGATAAAGTTTTTTTGACCATTCAAAGAAATGCCTGCCCAAACCATAAAACCACTTCACTCCGGAGTGAAACTAGTGGCAGGTCTTCTCACATGTAATCCAGCTTCTGAAAGTATTCGCCTTACAGTGCGTAACCTGACATTAACTTTCTAACTTATTGAAGCAGTTGCTTGATCTCAACAGCGGAAGAATGTCAATTACAGAGTACATTCGAAACAATAAAACGATAGGTGATGTGACACGATAGAGACCTGATCCTTGCCTTCTTGGCCTGCAGTATCTTGGTATCAAAGGAAGACCTTTCAGACCGTTGTTCTCAGAATGTGTGGTGATTAGTTACCATTTGTCGATGATTATTCAGAAATCGTGAAATGCGGTCTGGTGAGTTGTAGGTTTCAGAAAAATATTTTCTTTATCGTGCCGTTTCGATCTTTATTGGAACGATTTTTTTTTTTCCGAAACTTTGACATGAAAAAGAAAATGTTTTTTTGCAACCTACATCTCACCAGACTGCATCTCACGATTTCTGAATAATTGTTCTCGGAATGTTAACCACCCTGGCCACATACACTTGACTTCTTCCATCTTCCAATAATATTATTATTCTAGCCGAATTCTGTATCACTTAAAACCATCACTCAAACAAATTTGAAACTTAAAAGTGGTACTACCTACAAATATCAAACCACTTGAACGTAAGAAAGAAGCTTTATAGAAAAACGAACAAAGAAGAGATTGACTAATTCAAGATTTATTTACAAAATCCACTTGTAAACACAAGTTGTTGATTTTATCTGGGTTTTATTTACTTCTAAACCTTTAAAATTGACCAAATATTGTTGTAAGATAATGAATGGAGGATTTTCTAATGGATAATTAAAAATATTAAGAGTGGCCACTTTTTTGCTCCCAGTGTATTTATAAAAGTAATGATGGTAGATAAATTTATTTTTACAAAAACAATTTACATTTCATAAATGAGAAAAATATAACAATGAATGCGCTCCGGGTCGCTATAACATCCTTTGGCAGGTCAGTAGATTTGAACTGTGTGATTTTTAAAAACAAAAATATCAGCGATTGTGGAGAAAATTTATACAAACAAAAACCCACAAACAGAAAACCCCACTAAACAAAAAAACACTATGTAAACAAAATTTTAATTAAATTATGCACCAATCTTGCCGCTTTTTATCAGAATGTGAGTTATCTCAAAGAAATTAAACCAGGTGAAATGTGATCTATTTTATCAGGATTGATAACTCAATCACGACTGACAAAATGAGAAAAATATGATTTCTCTCATATTTAACATTTTATTCTTGAGGTCTGTGGGGTAACGGATCTGTCTGGTCATTCTGGACTGTACTTGCGGTTTTAGTACGTCAGGATTTTGACATATTCAGTGGTAAAACTGTGTTTGTGCAAACAGGTCGTAAAGATAATAATGCTTACAGACCAACCACTGATGACAGTGACGTTTATCTGACCAACCAAAACAGTAAGAATAGGCAGACCAAATTATATAACAAATGATAGCTTGCAACATCGACAAGTTCCTAATTTGAATAATTAATATTTTGCAGAATGTATAGTCAATAAATAGCTTTCGACAAAAAATCAGTCATTCAGATAGATCTGTTTTTAAGTCAACTTTCTATCACTTGAAATATTAGTGAATTACCTAATCAAAGAATGGACTGTTAAACTTCAGCCTTTTGTTCTCCATGAAATCATATAATAAATATGTTTTTCGACTTTTATTTTTTGGAATCTACGACAAAGTAGTGAGGAGATGGATAATAAATTAAATCCTTACCCCTCTTTTACGATGGTATGAGTAGACTGATTTGAAGACGAGGAAACAGAGCATCTCTCCGAAGAACATGCAGCAGGCTTGGACAAAGGGATGGTCGAAATCCCTCGTCTTCCCGTCGGACCCAGCAGCTTTCAAATGGTCGGCCCATCTGCAGACGAAGAAAAAAACTGTTTAGCACGTTAATTATAACATGGATATTGCTGAGAATCACTTTGTGGTCAGGGTGTTGATCGACCCGGTGAAAACCATGAGGACGGCGAGGCCGATTTGGTACTTGGTCCAAGCCATTTCGCTCCTGACAAGTCCGACGACGACTGTAAGATGACTGTGCAGAACAGCAACAAAGGAGTATGTCAGACGTCTTAGTCAGAACTCAGAAGTCATAATTGGTCTTATCATTGATTACTTCACCATCCCCCACCAGAACCAGCCATCTCCATTCACAACAGAACGCACTGGCGCCCCAATTCAAACTGAAGTCGAGTTGAATTGAGGCAGTTGTTGGGCACATCAACAAAATGGATAGGCACGGAGCCTGACAGAACCATCAACACATCCACTTTTCCTCTAATGACATTTCTTTTGTTAGAAGACGTCAAAGTTACTGTTGGCCAACTAGAAGAAGTGGTGAGGAAAACTACAGTCAGAAGTAGAATGAGTCCTAACTAGTACCTGCATGAATACCTGACCATCACAAGAGTCCCTCAGAAAAGTGAAAATGTTCACCTCTTCTCCTAGAGAGAAGCAAAATCAGTTGCATATCCCATGCCGCCAAACTACTAAACTTTACAGGTTACGTTCAAAAAGATACCATAAGTTTTAGTTGTAATTTCCCAAAGAAATGCCAAATTTTGGTACCTTACTCTCATGCAAAAGTTATTATGTACATATTAAAAACTGTCAATTTGACTGGCACGCACCGAGCCATCAATACATCCGATTTTCCTCTAATGACATTCCTTAGAAGACGGTAAGGATACTGTTGACCAAATAAGAGAAGTGGTGAGGAGAACTACAGTCGAAAGTAGAATGAGTTCTAAGTAGTACCTGCATGAAGACCTATTACAAGAGCCCCTCTGGAGTTGCTCACATCGTCACCTAGATAAAAGCAAAATCAGCTGCATTTAAGCCAATCCCATCTTGCCAAACTACTAAACCTTACAGAGTACCGCTCGTGACACTTTTTCATTTCAACCAATGTCTTACATAAAAAGATTAATTGATCATACAGAGCACGTTCAAAAGGATACCATAAGTTTTAGTTGTAATTCCCCAAAGAAATGCCAAATTTTGGTACCTTACTCTCATGCAAAAGTTATTATGTGCATATTAAAACCTGTCAATTTGACTGGCATGCACCAAGCCATCAATACATCCGATTTTCCTCTAATGACATTCCTTAGAAGGCGTTAGGGATACTGTTGACCAAATAAGAGAAGTGGTGAGGAAAACTCCGCAGCCAGAAGTAGTACCAGTCCTAAGAAGTACCTATATGAAGACCTATCACAAGGACATGTTCACATCTTCACCTAGAGAGAAGCAAAATCAGTTGCATATAAGCTAATCCGATTTTGCAAAACTACTAAAACTTACAGAGTACTTTTTATGTAAGGTCTTGGTTGAAATGACAAAGTTAGTGTCACGAGCGGGATTCGAACACACGACCTTCGGCTAAATACGCTGCTGCTCTAACCACTTGAGCTGTCGTGACTTCGACCCACTCGGACACCAACTCCCCATCTACTACAACCTTTTGAATTTTCCCTCCTTTTTACCATTTTTCAAATGTCATGTAATCTATTCGATTCTCGGCGACAAATGAAATGTCACGGAGAGGTGTTAGTGAAATTATACTTCATTTTACTAAATTTGACATTTCGTTGAGAAATATCCCTAAAACTCATGGTATCCTTTTGAACGTACTCTGTAAGTCCATTATGTTTAGTGGTCAAATTGACCAAATTACTTCTTTAAATTAATTACACTTTTTTATGTAAGGTCTTGGTTGAAATGAAAAAGTTAGTGTCACGAGCGGGATTCGAACCCACGACCTTCGGCTAAATACGCGGCTGCTCTAACCACTTGAACTATTGTGACTTCGATCAACTCGGACACCAACTCACCATCCCGCTCGTGACACTAACTTTTTCATTTCAACCAAGACCTTACATAAAAAAGTGTAATTAATTGAAAGAAGTAATTTGGTCAATCTGACCACTAAACATAATGGACTTACAGAGTACGTTCAAAAGGATACCATGAGTTTTAGGGATATTTCTCAACGAAATGTCAAATTTTGGTACCTTACTCCCATACAAACATGCTATTGTGTGCACATTAAAACCTGTCAATTTGATTAGCACACATTCGCTTTTGCACTATTGGCATTTATAGAAAGACGTCACAGATCTGTTGACCAAATAGAAGTCGTGAGGAAAACTCTGCAATCAGAAGAAGAAAGGGCCCTAAGTAGTACCTGCATGAATACCTGACTATCACAAGAGCCCCTCTGGACATCTTCACATCTTCACCTGAGACCACAAGAGAGAAGCAAAATCAGTTGCATCCAATCCCATATCGCCAAACTACTAATACTTACATAGTTCGTTCAAAGGGTACCATAAGTTTGGTTATAATTTCGCAAAAAGATGCCAAATTTTGGTACTTACTCCTATGCAAACATGTAATGTGCATATTAAAACCTGTCAATTTGATTGGCATGCACTGAGCCTGCTGTAGCCATCAATACATTCGCTTTTGCACTAATAGCCTTCATCAAAGATACTGTTGACCAAAGTGATACTCAAGAAAGGTCTTTTTGAGAATCACGTGAACTCTATAGAGATGTAACCTCTAAAAATCTTCATCTAAGAAGAAGTGAGATCAGCTGCACCTAAACGCATGGTAGGACAAGTGCACTTTGAAAGAATGCCATCTAATCAGCATGCCTCTTGATGCCATCACTCCTAGGTACAACATCGAGAGAAAAAAATTGTACCTTACTCCTATGCATATATGTTATTATGGGTACAATGAAATCTGTCAATTTGATTTGCATGCACCGTGTCTGCAGTAGCCATCAACATATCTGCTTTTATACGAATGACGTTTGCCTGAAGACGTATAAGATACTGTTACCGGTGTATCCATGTCTTGAATAAAGGTATTCTTGGCTTGACAAAAAGGAAAAAAATTACAAGTTCCGGAAGGAGTGTTAGAGATTTATCTATCTATCGAGAGGACTCTTTTGTACCGTACTTCCATATTGCTAACCACCAGGTGTCTCGCCCACTTCATACCTCGGTGACGAAGCGTCGATTGACGCGGCGTCGTATAGACCATAGTACGAAGAAGGGTTGCAGACGAGAATAGAAGAAGCAGAAATCGGGTCGTGAACTGAACCCATTCCATTCTCTCTAATAACTTACTTTTCCTCTCAAGACGCCACACACTCATCCCAGAGTGCTCGATATTCCTCGAGGCATGGTTGAACCCACTCCATTCTCGCTAATAACTTACTTTTCCTCCGTCACACACTCAACCCAGAGTGCTCGATATTCCTCGGGGCGTGGTTGAACCCACTCCATTCTCCCTAATAACTTACTTTTCCTCTCAAGACGTCACACACTCATCCCAGAGTGCTCGATATTCCTCGAGGCGTGGTTGAACCCATTCCATTCTCTCTAATAACTTACTTTTCCTCTCAAGACGTCACACACTCAACCCAGAGTGCTCGATATTCCTCGGGGCGTGGTTGAACCCACTCCATTCTCGCTAATAACTTACTTTTCCTCTCAAGACGCCACACACTTACCCCTGAGTTCTCGATATTCCTTGGGGCGGGGTTATAAACACAGCGCCTTCATTTCACGCGAATAAATGACCACGCTAATAAATTCCAATAAATTGTTATAAACAATTCGCTAATTGATTGTTGAACTGGTTTTATTTCTTCTTAATAGCTCGAATGAACATATCGGAAGAGTTAACTCATTCAATTGTTTATTTGAGTAAGAAACTGTTCTGTTGTTTTTCACCCTTTTCAAATTATCAAATACAACCCTATATTATTTAATAATTCCACGTTCGCCTCGAGGGTCCTCGATATTATCGGACTCTCGCTTTTGAATGCCTCGCAGGGGATTTCCACTTTCAACACGATATCAATTAATCTTTTTTAAAAAACTAATTAATACGTTCCTGGTAATTTTGATTTTTTACGATATGCGATAAGTTTCATTTTCAAAATCAATTCAAAATCAACTATGATTTTCGGACTGGATGATTGAAGACATATTTTTCAAATTTACACAACTGTCCTGGTTGATATTCACGTTAGTATTTTTAAATACGCGCGAAAAATTCGTCCAATAAACTTAAAAATCTCTTTGAAAAATGATGATCGATAAATTTTATGTAACATTTTTTTCTTCACCTAAATCAATTGTTAGACGCGCAGTTGCAGAAAACGCAAATAAGTGGTGCGACGAAGCGTTTTTAAAGAATGATTCATTCATTCGTTCATTCAGCACCAGAACACTTTTTCCTTGACTCATAAAATGCTTACATACCTATATACTATATTCTTTCCATTTTACTTCTCACAACCTGAAAATTGCAATATTACAAATTCGCCCAACACTAAAACAATCAAAATTGCAGATCGGAGATTTAGGTCAAAAGAAAATTTGATAATCTACGAGACGGTGAAAACATATTGAAATTATTGATATCCACTTTACAAGGTCCATCTACTCTGTCTGGTGTACGTTTTACTTAAACGTGTTTCTGCTTCACGCCATCCTCGGTTAGGAACAGGATATCGAGCAGTTCAACAAAAGAAAAATGTTATACACCGAATTATACTGACCTGAAGATCTATATTTGTTAAAAATTTAAAATGGAATCCCCCATGGAATAATTTCCGTCACAGGAAAGCGTTTCCACTCCGAATAATTAAACTTAAGAACCAAAACTGTACCAATAAGGAAATGGTGAGGGGCGTCGGTGGCCGCAACGGTTTAGGCGTTGACACGGCGCTCATCATCGTAAGGTAAAGGTCCCGAGTTCGAATCCAGCGGCCCTGCATTCGAACCCGACATGGAGGCTCTTTTCAAAAACACCGGCACCCCGAGGGTTGATATAACCTTTGCTGTTGCGAACCCTATAAAAAAATAATAAATAAATAATAATAATAAGAAGAAGAAGAAGAAAATGGTTATAGACGTTACATTGTTTACAGTTTACATCTCTTTAGAAGCAGTGACGACAGGTCTAAAGATTCTTTTTTTTAAATTGACCCTCGAGGTGCCCATGTTTAAAAAAAACATATTTTGGTAAGTCCGGTTTGAATACAAGGCCGCTGTATTCGAACCCGGGAACTTTATCTTTTACCTAGCGTTGTCATCTTCAGTGTTGTGTTTCGAAATCGAATTCGAATCGTATGGTATGTTATGGTGAAAAAGGATACTAGAAAGCGGGATTTGCACTCCCCAAGCACTGCAGCCTTCTGGCTTCCTAGTTCCTAAGTTCAGTGCAATAGACTCAATCCTTCTTCTTAGAAGTATCAGGTCGTTGACTGTCGCTGCTGCAATTTGATTCCATAAGTTTTTCCGTACTTTAGGTTAAATCTCCTTTGAGCTGTTGCTTCGCTTCGAAGATGATATGAGTGGCTGTTTCCTCCTCCTCATTACATAATCTGCAAATGGGATCTTCGTTGTATATGCCCATGTTGTGTAGATGTTTTCTCAGAAGCCAGTGACCGGTTAGTAGTCCTACCACTCCTCTGAGTTTGACCGCTAGAGTTTATCCACTTCTCCTTTTGTTTTGTTTGGATCCATTCTGCGATGGAGGATTCTATATTTGTTTTCATTATCCCAAGAATAGGTTCGGGGCGTATGTATGATCTTGCAGATCCTCCTCTGGCCAGTCTGTCTGCTTTCCCGTTACCCAAAATTCCCCTGTGCCCTGGCACCCAAGATATCATCAGGTTGTTGTTTCCCCAGGTTTTGGAGATTTTGAATGCACTCACTTACTAATTTTGATGTGATTCTTTTACATGCTAATGCTTTAATGGCTGCTTGGCTATCTGATCTTATGAGGATTTTTTTGTCAGTGTGAACACATGATTAAATGATCTACACTGTTCACTTTACTGGGTCCGTCTGATCTCACTTGTTCTATCATTCACGTATCGTCCTCAGTGTGGAATCCATAAAATCAATGTTCTTTGAAAAAATCGTATATTTTTCCAAATATATAGGCAGTTATCCCACTGCTGGAGCTACGCAGTGTCAAAAATCAAAGAATTTCTTAGCAAAAAGACTCAAGAGAAAAAGTGATAAAAGCTTTCAATTGAATTAAAAAAAAAAAAATCCAAAATACAAAACATTAATTCTCTACAATGTACAATGCTTTTATAAAGAGCGCACTCCATTTTTCAATTTAAAAGATATTAACAATTTGGGATCGTTAAAATGTAAATTCTAAGATTGATTTCAAAATATCCTCTTGGGTTTCTGAATGTTGAACCTGTAGTTCGGTTGAAAACTTTAATTCCTAAAATAGTAACTTGTCCAATTTAAAATTTGGAATATTCCTATAAACGACTTACGATTAATACAGATAAATGTTGTTCGATCACTCGAGATCTCTACCCAATCTATCACTTCGTTTATCAAAGAGGAATTTAAAAAAAATAATATAAAAAACCTAATAAGGCTTATGACGAAATTTAAACCTCGCCCATGTAAAATGTGTACAATGTTCATTTGGTTACGTTCTGTTATATATAAAGTACTGCTTGTTTTTGAGAGAGTGAGAGTGAATGAGTGTATGTGAGAGAGAGAGTGTGAGTGAGAGGGAAGAGAGGGGGAGGGGGAGAGAGACTATGTACGTCAAAGTGGATCTCGTTTCTTTTCACATTTTTTATCATTTTGTTAATATTTTAAAAGAAAATCAACAGATATGCGAAACCAAAAGAGAACAAGGATGAAAGTCAATGTTCCACAAAATACAGCCCAAGGGTGTCTACTGAGTCCTCTTTTACTTTCATTGTTCTTAGGTGATATTGATATTTTGATGCGGTATTTAGATGAGAGTGTCATGTCTGCCGATAAGCCCCTTTTTAATATTTTTTTCGCAAATTTTCGAATCTTCTGACAATGATTTCTAGATCAACTCTGACAAATTAAAATGCAGAAAATCCCAAAATGATCAAAATATTGGCCAATTTGTGCTCAGTACAATCTGGTACAATTCGAAGGAACGTTATATTTTATTATAATGTGTTCTTGGTTAGGGAATTTCATATTTCGTGTTGCCCTTATCTAACTCAGCAATAAAAACTGCATCCAAATTGAGATTTACTCTAAGGCCAAAGTTTTACCTTTTCAAGTTGGCACATATTGAAAAATAAACATTGTGGTGTTATTGAATCCCCAACCATGGGCTCCATGGTCAAAAATCTGAAGATTTTGTACAATTCACGATGCAATAAAACGGATAATTTTAAGCTTTAGTTTTATACATTAAGTGTAGCTTTTGAAATATAAACTTCTACAATATTAACAAAAGTAACAACAATGATCCAATGGCCAGCACTATACCCGGAGGACACTTGGAACGAGATGGATAAAGAAACAAGGAGGTCTCGAGACATAGTCGTTCTAGTCAACGTGGCGGGTTTCTGAGATGAGAAAGAATAGGATGGATCGAGAGTTCAGCGTAGAACTTTTGGAAGCGGGATTAAATCAAATCGTTTATAAAAGGAAGGTTGAGGTGTTGTGATTACTGAAAGTTTGTGTCGTAGTAAGGAACTTTAACAATATTTGCCTGAGGGTTTAGATTTAAAGGATTAGATGCATAAATATTGGGTGGCTTGGTGGGACCATACCGTTTCTTTCCGCATGTCCAAGGAGGTCGGAGTTGTGACATGTAAGTCAAAATAGAATCGCTACTGAAAATCCTCGTAGATGTCCAAACTTTCTGTTATGTTGTCTTTTGAATCCAAGGACAAGGACTTGTGCCACGTGAAACGAAGGCTTGTGACAAAAAGCCGGGGGGGGGGGTTCCTCAGCAGTACTAAGACCTGAACCATCCTGTAAAATTTCAAGCTACCATAGCAATTCCAGAATGGATCAGGTTAAAAACTTAGGGGTGGAGCAATCCCGCAGAGAAGACGTCGTCAAGAAAGTTGCCGATCCACGCTGTTTTGGTTCTTTTCCTACATATGGCATTAATTAGTTATCGTTGAAACTTTTCAGCTATTTTTTTTTAAGTCCTCAATGCTTGATCATAGATACTGTGCGCTAAATAACCTCATGATTATAATGATTCGTGACTCATTACCCATTCATTGGTGAAGAATTTGAGGCCATATGAGCATTGTAACCGGGGATCTAATTACTAAAAACTTACCAGCCGGCAAACATTTTTCTTTGAGTAAAATACTTAACCGTTGGTTTTCGTTTGTTAAAAAGCAATAGAGATCAGGCCATTGGAAGAAACATCTGCCCTGTGTCTTGGATCTTAAAAAGGTCTGAAGATACTCTGAACCCAGAAAATAGAGGCGCGTTAAGCATAAATTTATGGAATTTATGGGCAATAGTAGCTTTATTACCTAGTACAAACTCGTGCACAATGGTTTTATGTCCATTTATCCAGTTTATATGGCACTAGCACACAAAACCTACCAGGAATGTTGAAGTGGTTGTAGACAGTGAGGTTGGTGACGTAGTTTGAGAAGTTTTGATTTCAAGGCTTGGATGTGCTGGATGAATGATGATTTGAAGGGACCACAGTTCCAATCCGTATATCTATTTAGTAGTCGCTATAATGTCTTCTATGGAGTTAGTTGAGTTTTAATAGACAAACCAGATTTCTGCTGTCCACGTACAGTCCAAAGCATCTGACTTGATTGGAAGTCTGTTTTTGTGTGTTTTTGACTTTTGTTGTGGAAGGCAAGGGTTTGTCAATGTAAATGTACACAGCATTTTTTCATTCATTCTCGATCTTCATTTTTTGCGCCAGTCTTTGGTACACCCTTCGTCTTCTTGGGTGCTAGAGGTTGCTTGCATAAGATCCAGATTGAAAGGAAAAATTGCAGTGTGATCCGCGAATTTAGTAATGATGGTGTTGTCGGTTCAGCAGTATAAATGGTATACAGGATGGGACCAAAAACGCTCCCTTGTGGGAGGCCGGCTTGTAATTTTCTGATATCACTCGTTGCCTCACCTCACTCAGTAACAATGTTAGTTAAATAGGACACAAGGATAAGACAATTAGGATTGGTTTATGGACATTGCTTTGGTACCAAACCCTATCGATTTTTTAACATATCCTTAATTAAATACTTTTTGAATTACGATTTTTTCTCAATATTCTGCTAGAAATTTTTACGGTTTCAAAAGTTTTTGACCAAATTTTCCTACTTCTTGTTCGAGAAACTTACTTGAGGGGACTAACTAACTGACGGCTAATCCGCACACAGAAAATAAGGGATTACTGGTTTAGTACAACAGCCAGATTATCTTGTCTTAAATCCCGTAATCCAACAAAAAGATTCTATACTGATTTTTTAACATATCCTTAATTAAATACTTTTTGATCCTTAATTAAATACTTAATTAAATTATGATTTTTTTCTCAATATTCTGCTAGGAAGTTTTACGGTTTCAAACGTTTTTGACCAAATTTGGCTAATTCCTGTTCGAGAAACTTACTTAAGGGCAGTAATTAACTGACGACTAATCCACACACACAAGATAAGGGATTACTGGTTTAGTACAACAGGCGGATTATCTGGTCTTAAATCCCGTAATCCAACAAAAAATTCTATACTGAATCAACGGTGTATGGGAAGTCTCGTGCTTATTAACCTTTAACATTTGATTTTACCAACTTTTTTTTTTCAAATGGACTCTATCTCAGTAAAAATTCTTTAAAAGCTTTAATTAAAAAGTAAGTAGCTAAGTATGGTACAGTTCTATGATCTACCATCTACCAATCTATCTATCTACCATCAATGAGGTAAACGGTAAAATGTTTTATAATTTATCTTATTATTTAATACACTAAATCTTAAGAACACAACTGACTATGAAGCAGCTAACGTAAAATTTATTATACCGTAGGAAAATTTTATGGCTCTTCATTCCTCGAACCCGCGGGAAATAGAAACATTTATAGAAATCTGTCTTCATATTTGTCAACATCAAGTGAAGATAAGTAATCTTTTTCGACTCTCACCCAAATCTCATCAATCCGCACAACAAAACAAACAGATAACACTTTAAAGGGTCAATTTTGTTATCGGCATTAATCATAATTTGTCACGATTTTGTGTGACAAATGGAATGTAACATGGAAAAAGTTCAACCTCAAAAGTAATTGCATTTATGGGTTTTTTTGCCGATATATTTTATGTAGTGGCTTAATATGAAACATGTGTGCACAAAATTGTAAAATAATTATTCAGAAATGGTGAGATGCGGTCTGGTGTGACGTAGGTTTCAAAAAAACATTTTCTTTATCATACCAACGTTTCGATCTTTATTGAGATCATCTTCAGGGCCTGGGATTTACAAACATTGTTTAAATTTAACAAATACATGTAGGATATGGAAAAAAGTGAATTTATACAATGCAAAAAATATTTTTATATTCAATCAAAGTATTTCTACTCACTCTATCTATCTAATATGAAAAGTACATCTATTGGTACTAAAATTCTATTAACCAAGTTTAATCTAATAAAGCTATTTTAATTTAGTTTTTAGACGAAACCGAGAGAAAAGACTAATTTTTATTTCATAATTACAGTGAAAGGATGAAAATGTTCCAGGTACTGCAAAATCGTGTAGCAGTCCGAGTTGAACATGAATATTTCAATGTAACAGCAGCATCTCACGATTCATTAAATTAATACTCTTAATTGGAATGTGTGATGAATGAATGGCATGTCTGCACGTTATCCCCTGGAGAATTGTGTTTAAGCATAATTAACGTTATTAATTTACATCAGTGTTATTCGCCCCCCTGTTGAATTCAGCGAAAAAGGGCACATTCGCGACCATGGATTCGGCGGCATCTGTAGCACTTCCAGTTGTTGCTATGTGCAAGTAATGGAATTTCTAGAATTTTTATTTTGCCTTGTAAAATTGTTAAATAGTATATTTCAGATTTTTTTAAACAAACAATCTTCTTTTTGTAGGAAAAGGGGATTGATTTACACGTTGAGCTACTTAGCTTTTACTAGCTTTTCAATATGTTATTATTAAGATGTTGGGAAAATGCCTTTAGAAGCGATTTGATCAATTGCCTATTCACCTCCAACTTTTATGATAAATTACTTTAGATTGCGGTGGATCTTCCAGGTAACAAGAAAAGTTCGTGGGTTTTATTATGTGTTAATGTTTTAAGGCCGTTAATCAACATTTCTATGTACAAAGGTGTTTACATCACATAATACCAAGAGGGTAATGCTTCAGTTCTTTTTAAAAAAATGTCGAACAATTTTCACTATAAATTATAAAATATTTTCTTTCCCGCGGCTTCGAAATCAATAATATGTGCGTGTTTTATTTTATGATCTTCAGCTCGATACTAGGGCAGCCGAGGCAGGTCATAACATTTGCGCTGCGTTCGGTGATGAAACAATAAATGAGCGCACTGCCCCAAAGTGGTTTAAAAAGTATTCAATAAAACATAATGTTGACCTTTTGTCGGCAGATATTCGGTTTTCGCGTCATTGGGACAGGGTCATTTGATGACAGCCAATGGTATGGCCTCCTGACTTAACCTGTACAGGATTCATTTTTTGTCGCATGCGACAATCCTGCCCAAAAAAACGTCTCTGGTTTGTGCCGTGAAAGTAATGAAAGGCAAATGTTACGCGCTGAAGCTTGTCGTCTGTCAATTTATGAGGGACCTATTTGCTCAGCTCCCACGTTCGCATGTAGTAGTTACAGCAAATGATAGGTGGTGTTTCTTGTCGGCGGGATGGCGGATACATGATTGGAGAATTTGTCAGGGTGCCGGCCAGAGAATGAACAACTCAGCAGTTCATGACGTTTTTTATTATTGGCGACGGTCGGACTAATCCTAGTCCTTCATCAGTCAAAATCAAAAGTATACCTTTTTATGTTTTTATACTTTGATTTCTGAATTTTGATTGGTAACTTGTGCAAGCATCTTTTCATTTTCGCTGTCTCCATTTCCTAAATGTTTTCATGGTGAAGGAATGAAATAAGTCCGAAACGTCGCAAAAACTGCTGAGTTGTTCATTCTTTGGCCGCCACCCTGACAAATTCTCCAATCATGCAAATGGTTTCATCGTTTACCCTGAGCATTCTGACGAGCATGAGACATGTTTTTCACTGGAATGAAGTTCAATAGCTAAATTGAAGTTGGAGTTTGTAACGACCTGACAGTAATCACATTAGAATTTTTTCTTGAGTGTCTTCATAAAGTCTTTGTGATGAAGTTGACTTTTCTGGGTTCACCAAGCTTTCGGCGATTTATAGTCATCCTCAGGACCTTTTTTTTATTAACAGAGTTACAGTAAGATATTGTAATTCATTGTACTGTTATGTCATTGTATTTGTATATGTATTGTTATGTAATTGTAGATATTGTAATTATTATCTATATTATTATATCATATCTTATCTATTGTATCTTACTGTATATATATTACGCAGGGTGGGCGACCAAGACCCGAGGGGTTAAATGCCTGGGTAGACCCGTACCCCATCCCTAAAAGGTCCGGGACTTGGTCGGCTCACGTGTCCTGCATAAACCTCTTGGACCTGTTCACAAACCCCAAGATTTTGGACCATTTTATCTTGGGGAGCGATTTGGCAATGTCCTCTCGTTCGAAAGTTTCAAATCTATTCCTGGCATACCTATCACATTCAGTGAGGTAGTGCCATGCCGTTTCTTCTTTTATTTCACAGAAGCGGCAAAAGGGGTCTGGTAAAATACCCATTATGAAGAGGTGTCTTCTCAAGGGGCAATTGCCCGTCAGGATACCTATCGCCTCCTAATTCCCCTCCTTGAGTTCGAGAATAGCCATTTCGATTCTTTTGGTTTGATTTCCTTCACAAACTCCTTCGATTGCCTATGTCCGGTGGACAGATTCCATTCTTTAAGGAATTGTTTCATGCCCCAGCAATTAATACTCTCTTTCGCTGTATTTGAGCCTTCTTTGGCCAGGCTATCCGCCTCTTCATTGCCATAGTGTCCCTTATGAGCTGGTATCCGTATGAGGGTTACCCTATTCTCGTACCTGGTAGTAATTCTATGAATAAGTTCAACAGGTTCCTCCACCAGCCTAGATGTTGATAGCTCTTTTTGTAATGACTTAAGACTGGCCTGACTGCCGGAAAAAATTCTAATATCTTTTCCCTTAATCGTGTTACCCATGAGTGTTCTGCAGCAAACATTGATGGCCCAGACCTCCGCCTGAAAGACAGAGGTGTTATTACCAAGAGGGGAAGAAATGCTGATCCCTAATTTAGGTATATGTATTCCAGCACCGCTTCCCTTGTCTTTAATGAGTGAGCCATCGGTAAAACAGTCTAAGTTACGATGGTCATCATCCGCACTAGAGTTATATTCACAGGGAGTAACTACCTGAAAGTACTTTTTCCCTAAAGGTGTTTTAACCTTTCTATCGCTAACGCTTAATAGTTAGTTGTTGACCTTACTCAATAATTGTAGAATTTTCGAGTGACCTATGTTGTTTCCTTTATGGTTCCAGCTGCCTTCACTAATTAATCTACAGCAGCTGGTTAGTGCTCTAACCTTAACCTCTATGTGTATAGGTGTAGTGTTGGTTATAATCTCAAGTGATAGGGTGGGTGTAGTGGAAAATGCTCCCGTCATCATCATACAGCCTAGTCTTTGAAATAACCTTGTTGTTAATATTCCCTTTATTTTCTAGCCCTTTCCACCATACTAGGGCTGCGAATAGAAATCTAGGTAGTATAATTGCGGTATAAATCTTACTGTAACTTTGTTAATGTATGTATTTTTCAATACATACGCTCTAAAGATGGCGAGATAAATCGCCGAAAGAATGGTGAACTCAACAGTCTACGTCGTCTACTTTCCTCAATTCGCTATACCGGACCAGTTCATCGTCTATCCCCTCATTCCCAGAAACAAACTTTTGCAGCCACTTTTCGGCAGTGCGCTCACTTATTGTTTCATCATCGAACGCAGTGTAAATTTTAAGAGTTGCCACTGCCGCCATACTACCAAACTAAAATTCATTCAGTAAAGACGCACGAATTATGGGTTTTGATACCATGAGAAAGAAAATATTTTATAATTTACAGTAAACTGTTTAAAAACTTTTTCTTACACCTAAACCTCCTATGTAAATAGATGTGTTAATTAACGGTATTAAAACAATAACAAATGAAAAACCACACGAACCTTTTTGGTTACCTGTTGCGTGGATGATATCCCGCTCGACCCCCAAAAAGCTAAAAGATACGGGTCATAAAATGTTATGGAACTGTCTTCTCGCCGACCTCAAATTTTCACTATGCTTAATTTTTTTCAGAATGAAAAAAAATGCCAAAAAGGCAAATCTGGTCCCAAAAGGAAGTGTGAAGCATCACTTTGAAGATTATTGTCAGAGCACGTCGATCCATGGCATTAAATACCTAGGAGAGAAAAATAGACCACTGGGTGAAAGGTCAGTCGCGCGGTCCAAAATCGTATTCAGCTAGTTTAAATTTCACAAGAAAAAAAAATTGTCCAGGCTTTGGTGGTTGCTGGTTTTCCTCGTCTGCCTCCTCGGAAACGCCTACCTTATAGCAAAAGTCTGGAAAAAGTGGAATGAATCTCCAGTGATCGTGTCGTTTGCGGAGACGACGACCCCAGTCTGGCAGGTGCCTTTTCCAGCCATCACCATCTGCAGTGAACAGAAGTCAAGAGCATCGATTTTCAACTTCACAGAAGCCTACTATATGGTTTTGAACACGTCTGACGACTCGGCACCGGACGATGATCTGTACTCTTGCACCTTTGCTTCAAAAATGCGCGATGTATTTGTAACAATTTTCTTTACAGGGTGACAAAAACTGGAAACGTCGTCTTGCTCTGTGATGACCACGTCTTAGTGAACACAACTAAACAAAAACAGTTCACAGACGACTCCACTATTGAATTTCTCAAAGAGGTATACTTATTTTTTATCAAATGTCCTTTTATAACGCACCCGCAACAATTTTACGATTATCTGAGTGATGAATTTTTTTACTATTGGATTAGTAATATTTTCTTTGCATTAATTATTCTACATCTTAACGATGACCTCTGGTGAATTAGCGACAAGAATTACAAAAATCAACCCAACTGTTGGTTTATTAATTTTATAAGCTAAATGACCATGAACTGATAAATTTTATTATCTCGTTTTTTGATTATACACAACCCTTTCATCTTTAATTTCTATTCATAATGCTATTTCCGTTAAAATAACTCCCATAACTTTGAATAAAGATAAAATTGACACAACTTCAAATAGAAAGAGACAAGGTTAAGTCTTGACAGCTTTATTTGGCTCGAAATAACTTGCTGGAAGCAGTGGCGGCACGATTCGACTTGACCCCGATTTATCAACATTCTTCACCCTTGTCATGAGGGCAAGACAGTTGGTACAAGAACTGAACCAATGTCCTCACAGGACGCCCTGTCATCAGACCTTTCTTCATATACGGATACCCGATCCCGTTGGATATGAGACCCGTCCCAGTTATGTCCAAATGAAGAAAGTCGACGGAGGGAGCGAACTCCTGCAGAATCGAATTAATATATTTTAAAATTTACAATTTAAGGCTCGCCTTACCAATAGAAAGGCCGCGCCGAGGCATGGCCCGCCTCCTCCTCCCAGTCCGACGTTGTTGACGTCCACCTCGACATAATCTAAACGGAAATTTCCGTTAAACTGGATATTAAAATGACTTTATATAAAAACTTACTCGTGACCAGATTCGAAAAGCATTTCCAAAAAGGAAACCTCCATACCCTGTCTCCAGTTTCTGATCCAGCTCTGCTCAGTTCTCTCCAGACCGCATCCGATGTGGAAAACGCACCGCTCGCTGAACCACCGAGCCCCCTGCGAATTCCAGCTGAAATAAACATAATTTGCATCTTATTAAATTGAAACTGCGACGATTTCCCGTTTTAAATAAACCAACAAACCAAATATGAATTTAATAAAGGTCACAACTCTACAGTTCTCGACCATCACAAATCCATCCCCTCTCCTACCTCACCACATTTCAGAATTTAATTTTGCTTTATTACATGCACACTTTAATTATATAAATGGACATTATAGTTTTGGCGACTTCAAACTACAAAGAACAAGGAACTTGTAGCTATGAAAATAGAACACCCAGTGGCGTTCCTCACTTAATGATTACAAATAATTCTAGAATAAGGGTGGAACAATTAATAGAAAATGATAGCAGGGCAACAAGGGCAAGAGATTTTCCATCCAAGGAGTTTTCTAAAGGAAATCTTTGGAGGTCGCTAGTTGAGAGAAATATCTTATGTAAGCTGGTTAGGGGGGTTATATTTGGCTCATGATGGCTGCAGAAAATATCTTGAATTACTGTATGACCTTACGTTATGCCAAGCATACAACAGTTCCAAACATACCTCATACAATAATTGAAGGTATGGGTTTGTATCGAGTGTTTGACTAGCAAATAAGATACTGTGTGTTAAGGGCAACTAAGCTAACTACGAACATAGTATTAGGGGTTTTATAATGAGATGTTTCAACTATACATTCTATGGTGGATAGGGAAGAGGCGGCCTTCTGCAGCCCGACCTGAGTAGATCTATTGTGCGTCCCTGTTTTATAACTTACTGGTCAGCTTCAAGTTGTTAATCAACCTCCATAGTATAGCATCTTGCTTGTGGCTTTTCCTGTCCTAGTTGCTAGAACCTGCACCTACATAGACCTTCACAAAAACATAAAATATATTCTGAGGTCTCCTCCTCTTCCTGGAAATATCTGCACAGTGTTTCTTCTGTCTGTACTTCTAACCGGTGCATGTACTTTCTTAAGTGACCAGAGTCCTGGTTTGGTTGTGTAATTCCTTTGAGTTTTGCGGATGACTCTTCAATGAATCCCTTTGTGTGCCTCATGCCTGTGGTATTGTTCCACCAGGTTTTTAACTCATTAAGAATCCATTTTAAGATTTTGTGGCAAGATGCTAGGCCATAGTAGAGTTCAGGACCTAGGGAGTTTATGTTGGCTCCCTCTTTGGCCAACATGTCAACTTTTTCATGCCTCCATGCCCCAGATACCCTGGGTCAGGTCATTAGTGTCGCTGACTTCCACCAGGGCCTCCATACTCCCTTTGTGGATAATTGTGCATCCTTTAATAGGATTTCTTCGTTGGATACGATGTGATGACTTAAGACTTCGTTGTACTGACTTGTACCCTCCTCTTTTACACCATTCACTATCACCCGCAATGCCCTTGAGTGTGCTTCTTTGCTTGTTTTGTTCACACATTTCCAGCAAAGTGGGGACTATTTTTGAAAAGATGGTTGTAAAAAGTAAATAGAGGCATGGGTTAAAGTATACTGCCTTGACATATTCCAGATGTAATCCTACTTGACTGGAAATAAGTTTATGAGTTGTACAGCCATTGTTAAGGCCTAACTGCCCCATTTTTTCAACGGCTTTTTCAGTATCTATGAACAACCCAGGCTTATGTGTCTAGCATTTCATCAGTAACCATAAGGAGTTGTAAGCAGGGGTGCTGAGCTCTAAATCCAAACTGGCTTTATTGAATGACTGCAGTTGAACCAAGGGCTTAGGTAGAAAAAGTATTTCAGAGACTGGGAAAAGAAAACTAAGTAGACTCACAATATTTAATCAAACATCATAAAGTTGGTAGTCATTGACTCTTTCCTGCATTATAGACAATGTTTGTGAATTTGAGTATGGTCAGCTTAAACAAGAATACCAAAGAGTCCCGTTTTTCCTTTGGTAATTGTACATTGTACATGTTAATTGTGTACCAATAGTTAAAAAATTAAAGATTTATGTACTTATACTTCAGATTTGACAGCACATATTGTCATGTAACGGTGTAAAAGTTATCATATGCCTGTCCAAAGTCCTGTCCAACTGTTTTCAAATCATATTGAACTTTGTCCAGAACAAATTGATTTTTACTCAATAGTTCGTGACAAGCTATAACAAGAAATTTTTGGAATAACTCACGTGTCAGAGTAGCTATTGTTGTCACGAGACAGGGCTGGTAGATACTGGAGAAATTGAGGGCATCCAGGAGAATTATCCTCCCTTCATTGTCTGTGTCTTCGATTTGGATGGTTTTTCCATTTCTAGCAACGACCAAATCCCCTGGTCGCACAGCCATCCCTCCTATCATGTTCTCACATAATGGAATGATAGCTATAAATATTAAAGAAAAATAGTGTAGTACACTAAATTTTTCATAATAATTCCTTTGATTTATGACAAACAAATTTTACAATTTTAGAAATAATAGCCTTTCAGCCTGGAAAAACTTTGTTTCTTTGTTCACCTGGTGATTTATAATTAAAATGAATCACAATTACCTCTGACGTTTATTGGCAGAGCTAGCTGAGCAATGCATTTGAACATTCCGACGATGACAGCCGCCCCGGCCATATCTCCTCGGTATTCAGACATTCCGATACAGTCTTTCAGGCACGTGCCTCCGGAATCAAATGTTATCCCTTTGCCTTAAATATCAAAAAGATTTAACCATCCCGACAGACATAAAAAATTTTAAATTGTGTAGCAAAATAGCAAAAATTAAAAAATAACCACTAGTTTTCGTGGTCCACTTGACCAATTAATATCTTTCCATAATTAAGGTTTTAGTTGAAATAAAAAGGTCAAAGCCGAAGGTTGTGGGTTCGAATCCCGCTCATGACACTGGCTTTTTTTATCTCAACTAAAACCTTAATTAATTAAAATATAACTTTCATTCCTGGCAAATTATAAGAGTAACTGAGTAGAACTTGTTACCGATAAATATTATTGGTTTATCATCTGATGTGCTTCCACAGTAACTGAGCTCAAGAAGAATCGGTTCCTCGCAGGATCCTCTGGCCATTGTCAAAAAAGCTTGCATTTTCTTTGTTTCTATCCAGTCCCTTTCTCTCAGCTCTACCTCAACGCCACATGCACAAAGGGCATCAAGAGTCGCCTGTGAAAAAGTGGTGTCAGACAAAATGTCACAATAGCTTAAACAAATCTTAAACCTGAGCAAATATCATGGGTGTCATCAGATTGGCAGGTGTCTCTTCTAATCTTCTTGCCATATTTTGGCATTCAGCCTTTATCAGTCCTCGCTGCCAGCCCTCACTATAAAAGAACCATATTTCATTATAGATATTTTTATTAGTTAATAACTCATGGCAAGATATATCTATGCTGATAATATGAATTGATGCAATGCATTTAAGCATCCTTTTAAAATATTTTTCTTCAATAGTTATAAAACAAAATCATTCACGTGTCACTTCCATCGAAGAACTCTAGTTTTGGAACAATGACTTGTTCTTCTTTAGCTTTGAATGGCTGGAACTTCCAGATAGCTAGAGATGCTCCTTCTGCAGCAGCTTCCGCATTTGTGAATTCTTCGACATACACCAAGTTGATGCCCTTTTAAAATTTGAGTTACTACGTCTTTGTTTCTTTTTACTCGCATTCTCACCTCATCTTGGAGAGCAGAAGTGCCCACACCAGAGGCCCACCTGATGTTTTCTTTGCAAAGGTCTAGAGTTTCAGCTTCGTTGAACCCGACCCCTTCCTCGCCCAACCCTGCTACTGCGATTGACAAGAATTCCGGGTGGATATTTGAGAAAATTCTTGCTGTCCCCTTTTTAATTCCCACGCCTCTATAATAAATTCAGTAAAATATGTTTAAATTCGATAATCAACCCTTATTTTTTTTTTATTACCCTTTTAAGAGCTGTGTTAGCTTCCCACCCGTTTCAGAATCAATTTTCATAGCTGTTGGAGTTAATTTTAGCTCGTCTGCTGAACAACCATCATACGCTCCAACAACCAATCCTTTCTACAAGTGGTTAATAGATCAATATTTCTTAATCTAAATTATTTCATAGTAATATGAACCTAGCCTAAGACTGGCATGTGATCTGATAGAATTTTTAGGAAGACGAACTGAAGTCCTGTTGAATTTGCTATTTGATTAAAATAAATATGTACTTTTTAATTAGGCATGTTGTCTTAACATGTATGAAACATGGTATTGAAATTAAACGTTTTGCTCTTAATGTTAAATGACTGTGCAAATGTTAAATAAATCCAATAATATAATTTTCAATTTTTACAACACTATTGTGAACAGATCAGAGAAAACATCTAAGTAGACTATAAACCGAAGAGTCCCCCCATCATTTGAGCTAATTATCCAAAATATACTTTGCTGTGCTTACTTTTACTGCTGCTGATCCACAGTCAGCGTAAGTTCTGTTAAATCCTTTCAACGCCCCATTCACTGTCACTAATTTAATCCTTCTAATCATTTTCATCTTGACTTCCTTACTTTTTTACAGGCTACTCGAGAAAATAACTGTATTGCATAACTATAATATCTACATAAATCAAATAAGAAATAACAATGTAATATGTTTTTTTAAAGCATATGATTCTTAGTTTTGGTTTTCACTAGTTGAATGAAAGTGCATAAAATTTGTGATTGAGAAAAATTATTTTCCTTGTTCACATATCTCTTTGAATAATATGGCCCTTCAATGAGAAAACGACTATTCCAGCTGTTGAAGAATTTCAAAACTTTACAATTCCTATAAAAGTCAATCGATTTGAAAAATAAATTTAGAATAGTCGTCTTAATTTTTGTGTATCCATTGGTATTCTATTGTGTTTGTTTGATAAATATTTATATCTATACACATACAAACTTAACAATTTAGACTTGTTAATTGAAAATAACATTTTTTTAACTGTATTCCTTAATATTCTTCTGCCTCAGGGAGAATGATCTCAAAAATTGAATTTTCTTCTATGTAAAGATAAGATAAAGGTTGTTTGTCAAATAACTTACTGTTATTATGAATAAGTTACATTCTAATTTTTTTCTTTTTTTTATTGCTTTGCTTGAAGCACACAAGAATAGTACATTCATATACATATTATATAATAAATAAACATAATAAATAAATTAGTAAATTAAAATGAGGAACTCAGGACAATGAAAAAAATAGTTTTACACATAAGTAAATAATTACCGTAGCACATACATACAACAAAGACTATAATATTAAAGTCTATATCACAGTATTACACAACAATATCATATTCTTTCAAAAATGCAAATATCAATTTATACATGTCCATATTTCTAGTTGAGAGTGAACTTTCCCAGCAAAACAGTCGTTCAAAATTTCTCAGCGTGTACACCCTGTCAAAATATTTCTGTCTTCTCTTTGTATTCTGGGCATGTCAAAATTACATGCTTTGTTATCCAGCACATCTCTCAGTTTGGAGTAGCTCTATGGCTAATTTTATACATGTATACAATGAAGTGATTAGATTCACTAATTTCGTAGTCCACTTGACCAATAAATATATGACAATTAATTAAGGTTTTTAGTTGAGATAAAAAAGTCAATGGCACGAGCGGGATTTGAACCCACGATCTTCGGCTTGATACGCCGCTGCTCTACCACTTGAGCTATTGTGACCTCGATCCACTCAGGCACCAACTTCCCATCTCAACCGCATCTTTTGAATTTTCCCTCCATTTTGCCATTCAAATGGAAGTTGGTGTCCGAGTGGATCGAGGTCACGATAGCTCAAGTGGTAGAGCAGCGGCGTATCAAGCCGAAGATCGTAGGTTTGAATCCCGCTCATGCCATTGACTTTTTTATCTCAACTAAAAACCTTAATTAATTTTAGAAGTGATTAGAGTTAATCTAGGATATCGAAGGAAAAAATTCTTTTGTGCCATTAATTCCAGAGAATCACAGTTTTAATCCTATTTCCGGGAATATGGATTAATATGCTAAACCTGCAGTTCCCTGGGTGTACCAAGTGCATTCTTGCATTGTTTGGTGAAGAAGAATTTTGTGTCTGTCTTTGGCAGCATTTTATTAATTGTGATATTCCCTGTGCTTTTTCCGTTCTTTGGCCAGTTGGTCCCCTACCTCACAGATGCCACATGTCCGTGACTCCAGCAAAAAACTACCTTTTTCTACAGAGACTGTAAAACCATTAATATGGGATTAATGATTTTCTCTAATAGATAATCACACATTGGATTTGTGTGAAAATGCTCAATCTGCTTTATATAGCTCATACTGTCTGTGCAAATTTCATTCCCTTCTAACATGGTAAAGTACATAAGGACTCTTTCATTCTAATTATAAATCTATTTATTTACATATTATTAAAAATCAAAAAAGGAATTATCTAACTTCATATACAATGTGCACATATTGATTTTATGTATAGATTCTAATTTAGATTGAACGGTCTAGGTTTCACCTGGATTGAATGATTCTCTTCTTGTATGCAAATGGAAAGGAGAACTGCGTGAAGATTGTTCTCACATTTTAAAAGCTGTGGTCACAGAAGAAGGAATGTGTTTCTCGTTCAACATGCTATCCCCGCAGGAATTGTTTCGTGGCAATGGGTAAATGATAGTTTTTGTCTTTGTTTGTTATAGTGTACATTAATCTTTGTTTGTTTTTTTTAAATCAGAATTCCATATTATGAAGAACACGACAGATCAGCAAATAATATGTGGGCTTTGGACGGCGGTTACTTTGAAGATGCACCATTAGAAACTTATCCAGAAAGGGCTTTGTTCCCCGGAAGCAAAGCTGGTATTACCTTTGTTTTTAAAGCGGAACCAGCGGATTCGGATTTTTTGTGTAGAGGACCAGTAGAGGGATTTAAAGTAAACAGTTCTTCGTTGTGCAAATTGTGCATGTTAACGTTTTTTTAAATTCCTTCTTCCTGCAGGTATTGCTGCACAATCCTGCTGAAATTCCAACAATAGGTGAGCGTTACCTAAGAGTCCCATTAAAGCAAGAGGTGAGTTTTGAATGTACAAATATACACTGCGAGTAAAAAAAAATGGCCACCCTAAATATTGCAATTGTTATCATTTTTATTTTTTGGTCATTTCCTGGATATACTTAAAAAATATAAGATATAGCTAATTTTAAAAAAATGAATATTTAAATAAAAAATTAATACTGGGTAAAACAATTTTACCAAAAATATTACTATGGAAACAATGAAAAAATATTCAATTCATTATTTTTATTTATTACATCTATTAGGTTTCATGGTCTGATTGACCAAATAAATTCTTTTCAATTAATTAATCTTTAATTAAGGTTTTGGTTTAGAAAATCGCAAAAATGAGGGAAAATTCAAAAGGTTGGGTTGAGATGGGAAGTTGGTGTCCGAGTGAATCAAAGTCACGATAGCTCAAGTGGTAGAGCAGCGGCGTATCAAGCCGAATGTCGTGGGTTCGAATCCCGCTCGTGACACTGACTTTTTTATCTCAACTAAAAATCTTAATCAAAGATTTATTTTTATTTTTATTTTTTCCTCCTCTTGTGTTGATCACCACTTGCATTTGACGTGGCATCAATTTTATGAGGTTTTGGATGTAGTGCTGTGAATTTTTTTTTTTCATACTCCTCAATCAGTACCATTCTTAATTTTTCCAAATTCTCTGGCATCACACTTTTACCCTCTTGACAATTCATCCCAAAGGCTTTCGATAGAGTTTAAATCGGCACTACAATCTGGCCATTCCAAATTTCAATTGGAACCTGTTCCAATTAGACACTAACTGTGTGGGGCTTTGCATTATCATGCCTAAAAATAAAACCAGCCAATTAGTGGCATATAAGGAACAACTTTTTCTGATACCACATCTTCAATGTATCCCTCGATGAATATCTAGTTTGTGCACCTTCCATAGATAAGCCTGCCCAAACCCTTCACCACCAACCTCCAAAGCTACTCCAGAGTGAAAATGTTGCGGGGATACATCACTCTCCTGTTCTTCTCCAAACACACTCTTGGCCATCAGAAAGAAGACCTCAAACAAAACCTTGACTCATCCGAAAACATGATTTTAGTCCATCCCTAATCATCTCTAATCTTGCTCAGACCAATCACTATGAGTACATTCAAAACAATAAAATTGTCATCTTTCTAAGATGTGACACGATGGAGACCTCATCCATGCCTTCTTGAATAACCTCCAATAACTTGGTAGTGATGGAAGATCCTTTGGACAGTAATTCTGGGAATATTAAGCACCCTGATCACATATGCTTTGACTTCTTCCATCTTCCAACAATGCTATGATTCTAGCCAAATCTGTATCACTTAAAACCTGTCTAAAGGATAATTAAAATATTAAGGGTGACCACTTTTTTGCTTATCAATGTAGTTTAAAACATCAATATTAATCAATTCTACAGGTCATAGTGGCAGTTCAACCGAAAATCATGACGACAAGCCATGGACTGAGAACTTATTCACCTCACGGTCGCCAATGCTATTTCTTTAATGAAAGATATTTGCAGTTTTTCAAAATATACACACAACAAAATTGTCAACTTGAGTGCTTAACCAATTATACATTGAAAGAATGTGGCTGTGTAGCAATACATATGCCGAGTAAGCCTATTAAAAATCTTTCTGAATATATTTTTTGCTTTTTATTAAATCATCTTTTTTTAGGAAACCCAGACACTAAGATTTGTGGATCTGGAAGCAAAATTTGCATGCAAAATGCAAGCGGTGAGTTTCATTTCACTCTACATTTACATTTAATCCAGTTTAAGATGAAAAATTATAACAAATTTGATATTTATTTGAGTCCTTTGGTATTAATAATTTCAGCTGTATTAAGGCTTTTTGAGATAAAATCATCATACGAAGGAGAAACCGGTCAGAAAAGTTGTGACTGCTTACCTGCATGTACTTCACTGCAATATGACGCTGAGACTTCCCAAGCTGACTTTAACGCCTTTGCTGTTCTAGCTGCATACAAGGATAATACAAGCGAAGTAGAAATGTAAAGTTGAATTATATAAGGTAATTCAATCAATCATTTAAACCTTTATAAAACACAGGGCTGTTTAAACTTTTAGGATGCAGTTTGCCCGATTGACGGTGTTTTTTAAAGATATGCAATTCACAACTAGTAAGAGGAGTGAACTGTTTGGACTTGTAGATTTTATGGGTATTTCAGTTTATTTTCATTATGTTGTCATGAATTATTGTATTGTATGTATTTTTTTTCCCCCAGCCAATTGTGGAGGACTTCTAGGACTTTTCTGTGGAGTCAGTTTTTTGAGCTTGGTCGAGATCATTTACTACATTACTTTGCGTTTCTGGAGCAACATGAAAACTCTAAAGCAAGAAGAAGAACAATTAGCAAATTCAACCGAGGATCATGTTCCAGACAAATTAAAAAAATTCATGGATTAATTATTTAAGTTAATAATGAATAATTTAATTAATTCTAGATTATCTCATACTGTGTTCAATTTTATTGCTGATCTTTTGTTCTTTTTCTTTTGCCAATATTTTGCAACATCTGGTGCTTAGAATTGTAAAATCAATCAAACCTGCGATTGTAAGAAAAAAAATCAATGAATGTTCTAATATTAGAAATGTATAAATTTTTCTACCATATCTTCCTCTAAAAAAAAGTTGTACATAAAAAATCAAGGCTAAGGCGAAATAGCAAGAAAGAAAAATACACAGTTCCTTTATCAATCTTTCAACAAACATTAAAACATTTCTTATGATTTACATGTTTCACGATATAAACATTTACTTACAATGTTAAAAATTGTGGCTTCAACCATAATGAATTTATTTTTAATAATTTAGTAGTAATAAATTAATTTTAATAGATTAATAGAGTGGAAAAGATCTAATTGGTGATATATTCCTTGAAAGCTTAACCAAGAACTGAGTGTTTTTCTTTCTTTCAATTTTCCCTTATCTCTGATTTTTTATTTACACTTATTGCTATATTAATTGGATTTATTTATTATTCCCTACAGCAATGTTTTTGTTATAACAATGAATAATAAAAAATTAAAAATTAAACCTTTGTCAAATACTAAAAACTGTATAAAGGTTTTTTAATTGCTCTAACTTAACATTCAAACAACATGGTACAATGTGCATCAAAATATGTATTTTTTTAAAAATTATAATTTTAATGTTTAGTGTTTAAAAGCTAATAAAAAATTAACTATTAAAATCTATTGTATTATTTTTTCTCCTTTAAAAGTTTCTTTGAGGACAAAAAGTAATCAATCCCCATATTTATTTTCAAACCAAACAGTATTATCGCTATAAAAGAAAAATATACATGTAAAAGTCAAACATATATTTAAAATATTCTACATTTGTTCTATAATAATAGCCATTTTATTCGGTTTCTCGCCCACCAATCTGCAGTGAAATCTGAGGAAGTAGGTCTCCCAGAAGCCTGGGTTGATATTGACTTGCCTCTTCGTCAGATGGCACTGCTATTCAAGTTTCATGAAAATTTTTATTCAAAAAAATTAATTTTAAATTGAATCAGTAAAATAAATGTAAATTACCTAATGCAAAAATATCATAGAGCGAAAACAAACAACAACAGACAACAATCAGTACTGCAATGAAGCCCATGGTAAACGATAATTTAGAAGTGGGGTAATGCTATTTTATAGGAAACAAGCTGTCATTCTGTCGTGTCAATTCCACGTGCTTATCAACCAAACAATTAAAGTCACATTTCAATTTGGTAGTAGATAATGTCTCAAAAAATAAAGTGATGATAATTTAAATGCATAAATTACATTTTCAAAGAGCTCCTGATTATTTAATTTTCTAAATTTAAACGAAACAATAGAAAAAATTTAATAAATGTTAAATTTTTTCCTACTTTAAAAATGCTAACTATGTATATGAAAACACTTCCTCTTAAACTGAAATTAAAATGAAATGTGCTAAATTTAAAGCAAAACTTTGTACAACAACAATCAATTTCTCAACAAAACTCCCTTTGAATTGAAAAGAAATATTAAAATATTACAGCCGAATTTCTCATAAGTGTGAACACCACTTGGGAATGGGATTTGGACCTTTAAACGGGTCCGCTTATTCAAAGGTCCACATATAGAAAAATTATTGGTACATTAAGTGAAAGTTAAAAATGAATAAAATTCTAATGAAATGTATGGACATAGATAACACTACTTTTATATTTATCATGTACTTTTCTGTCTATGAGCTTTTCTCTGACAGAAAGAATCTTTTTTCTCTCATGTCCAAATTGATTTGACACAAACACCATCTTTAGAACTGCCTAAATGAACTGAGAACTGACTAACTGGATTGAAAACTTACTAACTGAACAAAGAATTGACTAATACTGAGAACAGACTAACTGAACTGAGAACTGATGAACTGAAACTAAGAACTGTCTCACTGAACTGAGAACTGATTACTGAACTGAGAACTGATTAACTGAAATGACACCTGATTAACTGAAACTAAGAACTGACTAACTGAACTGAGGTAGGGGCATCAGTGGCTGCAACAGTTTAGGCGTTGACATGCATCCTTGATTCGAATCCAGAAGCCCTTTATTTGAACCTGACATACTTAGAAAAAAATTGTATTTTCAAAACACCAGCACCCTAATATTTCATATAACCTTGTAGTTGAAATACCCTCATCAAAAAAATAACATGAAATAGGAAAAATAACATGAAGGAATAAATATTTGAGCAAAAGAAGAAAATATCCACTGAGAAAATCCAGCTTTTTGCACCTTGCAACTTGTATTTAACTGGGATAATGCTCCAAGTTTAAATCTAAAATAACTTTTACAGCCGAACACATTTTAATTTATGTAGCCTTCACATATCATAAGTCTGACCACAGTTTCTTGTACAACACTATCTACAGGATACTCGAGAGATAAAAGGCAGAAATTTCAGATGGTTGTTTCACATAATGGGCACTTGATTTGCACATGACCGACGACTCTATTACAGTTTCATTCCGGCTATCAATTAAGCATCTGGTTTTTTTTCTGTATTATTTCGGAAAGTATGAAAAATTTTAACTTTTCAACAACCACCAAAACAACTAAAAACGAAAAAATATGCTTATGTAAGAAAGTTGATTGTTTCTTAACTAATGTCATTGGTAAGACCAATTATTTTTTCTTACCACTAGCCTAATTCTTTTTTACTTTAAATAAATACTTTATTTTTAATAATTATTTATAATTTCACTAGTTTCGTGGTCCGCTTGACCATAATTTATAATTTTCTTGTTGACCATTACAGCTTGCGATTGTAAATACGCTAAACCCGCAATACCTAGCGGTCTTGCAGAAGTTTTTGTCATTTTCATCCTGGTCGTTGGAGCACAAAATAAATTTGATTTGTACTCACAGTTGTACGTTATTTAGTATTTTAGTTAAGGTATTATTTATTATTTCAGTATTTTGGATGGTGATTAGAGACATAATAGGGAGCATAGATGTGTTGGATATTGGATTGCTATGTCCAAACATTATTGATTTTTAGGAATAGCTTGTAATTGTCATCATGTACGATTTTGGTCCAAACAGACTTTGTAATTTAAGTCTTCTGTTCAGTTTTTTGCTTCAGTCTCATGTGGGGATTCCATGTCAACTACTCTAGATAAGTCTACCATCACTTGTGCTGAAGTTGATAATTGCTTTTTTTATGTAAAAGTGATTAGGGTGTATTGAACCTTATTAATTTTCTTACAGTTTTAGCACCAATCTTTGATAAACATAGTGTCTGTGTCTGTTTATTAGAAGGTTTGGTTGTTTGAAGTACTTTTCTTAGTAAAGTAATGGAAATAATGTCGGGAAAAATAAAATTATTCGGTTATGAGAGATGTCTGGTTATTAACAGTGTCTGAGTAAATTTGACTGTAGATTAATATATTAAGTAAAATTAGACTTTTTAGGCAAATACATAAATTTTACTCTCCATAAACATCAAAAAATCAAGTACAACATTGACGAGATTTAATCAACTCTTAAATTGAAACCGTGCAAATCATTGTAGTATTAATTGTTTCTAATTTTCAGTTTTTTCTTTTTACATGCGTATTAATCATTCTAACCTTCTTACCATTGATCAAAGCATATATATTGCAAAATAATAAAAAGGTTTCTTTTTATCCCATGCGTTCACAGACAAGAAGGAATTGGATATGGAAAAGAAGGTCATTTCTCCAAAGACTGACCAAAGCCTGTCTTTTTTAGAAATAAAAATGGTTTTAAAATGCTGTATTAATATTATATGATTTTAGATTTAAAACATCTTTATTTCACATGGTTTAAAGTTTTTGAAAACTGAAAAAATAAATTAGATTCAAAACAGAACAAGTTATATTTCTATTTTTGTGTGTTATACCAAATTAATTGAATTGAGCCTTAGGTTTTATAATAAAAAGTGCTAAATTGTTATAATTGTAGGTACAAATAATTACATATTAATTATTTGTAAAACTGAAAATTGCATAATTTTTGAAAGATTCACTTGAAAAATTTTCATGTGTAACATTACTTCACTCTTAGATTATTCTAGTTCCTCAACTTAACTTTAATATAAATTTTCAATACAAAGTTATTATGGCCGTTATTAAAACATTTATTAATAGGTGCCTATGACTAACAAAACTTGTGTTCCATTCACATAGATATAGTACTATAAGAAGAAGTTTTTGTAATATAGTGATATATTTTTTGGAGATCTTCTAAGATACCTGAAAAAATTGCCAAATTATTCATAATAGCCAGAAGACAATTATTTTAACTTACTTAAAGCAGAAACCGTCGCCGAAGTGGAATCTCATCAGCATATTCTTCCTGGAAAGGCATAACCGGTGGGATCGAATCCCGGCCCTGAGAGTAAAACCCATCAGTATGTTGAACATATAATTTAGGAAAAATGATTACTCACAAATCGTTTGGACACCATAAAACGTTTGTGTTGCCTTGGCCATGCAACTTCCCTTTCACGTGATGGATGAGAATAGTAATCAACTCTGTCGTACCAAGGTCCTTAAAACAAAATTATAATATTTAGTTAGTTTTTAAAAATTAAAACAATAATAACAAACCATTGTCATCAGATAGAACTGGCATTTCATCTTCCTCATCATATGGATCATTTTCATGTAAAGAATATCTGGGATAAACAATTTCATTAGAGAGATGTATATCTGAAATAAAGAATATAAAGGTTTTTACCTTGGATTTGCAAGTTTCCGATTTGGCTTTTCCATATTTTCCCAGACTTTTAACAAAACGAGAAGCTCTTCGGGGGTGAGCGAGTCCTCCCTCTTCCATTCCTGGTCTTTTGAACTTTTTTCCTTAATTTCCCTCTTTTCCCTTGATTCCATTATGTTGTAGTAGGGAAGGTCAAGATTGTAAGCTGCAAAAGGTAACGGACAATAAGAAAAATGTTTTACCGACAATATTGAATAAATTACCAGGTTCGTTATGGAGGTTCTGCGAGAGATCGAGGTTCCTTAGAAGCATGTTGTAATACAAGTCCCGGCTAATGTGCGATTGTGGCTCTCTTCCTTGTCCAAGTTGGTTGTTGTTATAAACATGCTCTTCTAAATCTGAGACCAGGGTCGGCATAGGTTCTTCCTCATCAACTAGCGAATTGTCATCTAATTCGGCTGCTGAAAACACAGGAAAAACAAAGTCTTTTACGACTGTAAAAAATACTACAGTAATAATTACATTCATTTTGTTTCCACATGCAAATGAAGCTGCAATAAAAATTATATAAATACCTCGTTTTTCGTTTTTAGTACTTCCAAAATTATTAATCGCCCTATTTTGCTGATTTCCAAACATGATGAATTCTTGTGCCCTTTTTACTATAAAGGAAAAATACTATTACTTAAAAACAATTTTATTGGGATTGTAATTTACATAAAAGCATAAATAAAAACCTTTATTTGTTCTGACGGGAGTGTGGAATTGTGCATCTTTCATATCCTCTAAAAGGCTTGTCGGCAATGCCAGTGACACGGCACACAAACCGAATATCAGAAATATTGTGTCATAGAAAATCATTTCTGAAATTATGCAAACAGCAAATAATTATTATAAATATATNATATATATATCCTTATTAATTAATTTAAAAAACAAACAGATTGTCTATCTTCTCCTCATAACACAGCCCTATTAATTTTTGTCCTAAAGTTAAAAATCTCAGTGTTATTTTTAACACCAAGCTTACATGATTATGTATGCTCTTGTTATTAAAAAAGTCAACTCAAGCCTCCATTCTCTTCGACGCCTTAGCTTTTTCACTCCATAGAAAACTTAAAACACTTAAAATAGCTCTCCTTACTAAATCCCTAATAATTCATTTATTCTCTTACTGTAGCGCTGTTTTCCTTATACTTTCAATCTGCTCATCACCTTAAATTGCTTGTTATTCCTGCGTTAGATACTTACTGCTATGATCTTAAACCAAGAGATCATATTTCTTCCTACTATTAATGTCTTCAGCAATCTTAACATTCAAACCACTTGTAAACTTAGTTTTAATGTACTGATTTAAAATTAATCAAATGTCCTCAATATTGATCAATTTTTTTCCCCAAATTCCTTATTCAAATGCACCAAGACTTCAACACTCCTTTCAAGCTTAACCCTTATCCATCAAAATTGCAGGGGCTAGACTATGGAATTTCCTTCTTCGGGAGGTAAGTCCTCCTTCCTCACCGGCTTGTTTCAGATCCATGGCATCTGAGTTTTTAAAAACGACATGAAACCCACATCTGCCAACTGAGGATTTTCCTTGCATTAATCACAGCGCCCCTTTAAAACCCTTCTCTAACCAGGTTTAAAACCTTGGTGTGACTTTTAATACAGTTTATCTTGGGATGATTATGTAGGCTTTCCTGCTAGAAGGGTGATTAGATTAGATTTTACAAGAGCCAGGCTCTTTATGACCTGCACACCATGACCATTTTTTTTTTTTTTTTTTTTTTTTTTTTTTTTTTTTTTTTTTTTTTTTTTTTTTTTTTTTTTTTTTNTTTTTTTTTTTAAATTAAGTAGAGCTCCTCGTTAAGCTTAAGGCTTTTTACCAGACCCCAAAATTTTTTCAAGGGTTCCTGTGTGTATCCTTCAGGCCCTGGCTTTTCCACTTACAGGATTAGGAATCTCAGCCTTCATAGGCCTTCACACTAACAGAGGACGTGTTTCGCTATTTCTTCTTCTTCTTGGCAATATCTGCATAGGCTTGTTTTTGTCACTCTGTGTCTATACAGATGCCTCCAGAGTCTGCAGTGTCCTCTCAGCAGTCCAACTATTATTTTAATCTATCATGTTCTAGATTTAGTAGTTCTGCTGTTAGTATCTGCAATGCTATTTTGATATACTTTTTACTCCGTCCTAGGCTACATGGAAACTCCCTTGAATGGAGGACTTATTTTTAATCAGTTGTCTAATGTATCCACATTTTTGGCAGTTTGGTAAACCACAAAAGGGTTCAGAGTCAATAAGTGTCTTCATGGGCCTTTTCTTGACCAATTTATCAGCTTCACTGCCTCTCTGCCCAAGGCAAGGGCAATTTTGTTATTTTCCCCAATGTCTGGCAGGGCTCTAGTGCAGTCCCAAATGAATCTGGCAATTGCCTTCAATACCACCTGACTATCCGAATAGATGGCTATGCTTCTATTGACAACACCCAGCCTTTTTATTTTCCTGGCGCAATATTCAATAGCCACAATTTCCACTTCAAAGAAGCTTATATCAATTTTGGTCCTTGGTTTATTTCCATAAATGCCAGTTCCTAACCCATATTCGCTTTTGGAGCCATCAGTAAACCAGATATGGTAGGCATTAATTGGGATACCTTTCTACCATTCTGGTCTACAAAGTGTTTTGCTTAGAAATTTTTTCTCAAAACTGAATTTAGCAGTCATGACATCAACTGATACCCCCAGAGTTCTGTCTAGCTGGAGCTTCCTCAAAGCCTCAAAGGTGGACAGGACTTTAAATTCACTTTGGAAAAATCATAAATTTATCTCCCCGACACTAAATCTTAGACTAGTCCAAACTCTTATTTTACCATATTACAGAAATATCTGCTCTTTTTCACTTAATTACACTTCTACTAAAAAAATTAGAATACTTTTTAATAATTGCACAAGATTTGTATTAAGTTTACGAAGAAGAATGAATACTATATCAATTCATACAAATTTTGTTCATTATTATTTCTTGTTATTTTTTGTAACATTTTTATTATTTATTTTATATTTTTCTACTGTGTAATGGGGTGAAATTTTTTGAATAAATATATTTATATTTCTTTTTTTCTTTCCTCTTCCATTTCTTTCCATTTCCTTTTATCTTCTTTCTCTTTCTGATTTTTCTTTCTTAATGTGATTTCGGAATTCGATTATACGTAATTAATATTCTAAAGAATATATTATTTTCATTATTGTTCGGTATATTTTAGTATGTTTTACTATCGATATTACTACTAAATGATGTCCTTTATGATGAAATTTGTTTGAAAATTGGCATTCTTGGCCAGGTTCATAGATTCAGTCCGTCGATTGAATCTGTATCTCTGTGTGATTGTACAAAAGAAGTAAAGCAGTCATGGTTAAACAGGTATCAATCTTCAGACTTAATCATGTAAAATTGACTGAAAATCTCAATTAGTACATGCCTTGAGGATGTCAATAAATTTGATGAAACTTTAGCTTACTTAAAAAAATAATTTTACATTTACATTCCATATCTACCTGACGGAGCATCCCAATCATAATAAATTTTACTGTTTATAACACTTTTTTTTAAAGAGCTTGTATAAATTGTATAAATTTGCTGAAAAGGGGCAACAGAAGAGCCTGAAACCAGTCCAAACTAGTCCAAAAGTAAAAATGTTAAAACGCTCATAGTTTATCAAGGATTGTAATAATCCTCATCAGTTTACAATAAACATCTGGAGGAAAAAAAGCTATGTATATCCCCTATTAAAATAAATAATTATTTAAATAAATAAAATAAAAATTATTTGAACTACCTTCAAGAAGGCGTAGAAATGATAAAATTAATGTAATTATTGCTGTATTGTGTAATACTTGACCTACACCCATTTTCAAAGGTTTCGTCGAGTTTTGATGTACTTTCGATGAAGAGAATACAAGAAATCAAAAGAAAACAATTTCACCCTGGTTGAAATGTGACAAAAGCCGCAACAAAAAAAGTACAAAATACAAGACAACGTAACAGGTGTTTGCTCGAATGTCGCAATGGGTCTTTCTAAAATGAAGCCCCGACAAGACGGAAGCGGCCAAGGGTCGACATTTCCGAATCGACTGTACGTAAAACATATCGAATTTACAAAATTCCAATGTGAGAATGTGGTAAATCAGGAAATATCTGTTGAATATAAGAAACGGATGGTATTTACCTGTTGGATGTCGCAGATTTGACAGGGGGACCGGATCGATACGAAGAGAGATCCACTTCTGCGCTCATCCGTTTTGCACCTTTACGCCCCTCGCCGTCATACGTTTTAACCCCGAGTTCACAATTTTAAGGAGAAAGTTTTCACAAAAAAAAAGCGGTGCTTTTAATTTTCAATTTCCAGTTGAATTTGACCACATCCGACTATAAAACCTTTGCCACATATAATGTACACTAGGCAGTAATCGTCCATTGCAAAAGACCTATTTTTTTTATAAACGAATTGAGTTTACAATGAAAATTATAATTTTATTTACAAAATGTATAGAATTTAGAAGACTTGTAAGTAAAAATTAGTGTCCAAGATAATTTATTGTGCTGAGGTATTAATAGGGTAAATCATAAAAAAATGTCCGATTTCGTTTTATTTATTTATTTAGAAATCGTGAGATGCTGTCTGGTGTGATGTAGGTTTCAGAAAAACATTTTCTTTATCGTGCCAACGTTTCGATCTTTATTGAGATCAACTTCAGGGCCTGGGATTTACAAACATTGTTATATGTAAACAATGTTTGTAAATCCCAGGCCCTGAAGATGATCTCAATAAAGATCGAAACGTTGGCACGATAAAGAAAATGTTTTTCTCCAAACCTACATCACACCAGACCGCATCTCACGATTTCTAAATAAATATCGATTAACGGTCACTAATCACCACACACTTATTTATTTATTTATTTTCCGGCCGGCTAACTACTTCGGTCATTGCCGGCACCAATGGCACAACCAACACGTTATCTTTCTTACATTTTGAAAAATCTGCACTTTCTACTGATAACGTCATTCTAATTGGCTACTCTTCGGACCTTACGGTTTTTGTTGCATTTCTCTTTGTATCCCTCCACATGTGGTAAACTGAAGTATTTGACCATTTACATACCCACACATTCATAATATACATTTATACTAATAAACCTAGTTTCCTAATATTACAACTAAAGTGGAGGACGGTAAGATGGTTCTAACCATGCCGACCTCCTTCCATTCGAACGGTTTGTACAAATTCGACTCATCCATAAAACTAATCCTAAGGTTTTTTGACGGGCCTGTGGAGTACTCGATGTTCGACGACGCCACGTACATTCACTCATAACCTCTCACGCTAATAAATACGATCATACTAGAAAGGACGCAGCATCTCGGTAGTATTACTACAACCAAATGAAAGCGATCACGTTCCGCCTCGTATAATTCCTTTATGCGCTGGTAGATGTTTTTTACTAAAGGGTCCGTGGAGAATTTGTTCCGTATAGCCGAGATTGCGCTGAGTCTGTGCATATTACGAATTTTGATCTTGGCAGTTTAACAATCTCACTCAGGGCCAGCGATATGGCGGTTAGTTCTGCAGTGAAGATGCTGGCCGTGCTCGGGAGGGGAGTTTTTGCAATTATCTCCCATATATATGGCACAACCAACACCCTCTTATGTGTTGGATCAGTATATATGAATTTGGCTTCATTGTATTTCTCCCTTAAGGAGAGGAATGCTGTTTTGTAGATATACGAAGGAGTCTCTTCTTTTTCCACACCGCCAGATCATCTCGCACTGGAACGGAGGGCAATAGCCAGGGTTCCGATGTTGGGACCTCCGTTGTAATTTTTCATGGTTGTGTCCCTTGTGAACAAGGTTTCTTTTAATCTTATGGCCAATGGTCTCGTGCGGGTATTCAGCGTTCCATACATTTCTTCTAACTCAGCATTAAAGATAAGGTTATGTAGAAAGTGATCTTTTTGCGACCATCTTAGCACAATAGGACAGCATCAGTTGCGTCTTTCCTCGCCGGGCGGTAGTATCCCGTCTTCTACGCACACTCTGCAAACTGGGCTGGTCCTAAAGGCTCCTATTGCAATTCTTACTCCTGCCATATAATTAACATCTAGTTTCTTTAATATAGTTTTTCTGGTCGAACTATACACCATGCACCCGTAATTCAATTTTGGGCATAACAGCGACTTGAAAATTTGAAGTAGTGTTTCTCGTGAGGCACCCCATCTAAAGTTGTTCAAAAATTTCATCATATTAATGACTTTTTTGCATTGGACGGCTGTTTTCTCTATATGTGGATGCCACCGTAATTTTGTATCAAATGTGATGCCGAGGTATTTTACGTTACTCACATACTCAAGGGATTTCGTTTTCTTGATAATTGTAATTCCCTATAGGCTTTATTTATTTGTTTTTCAAATTCAGTTTGATACTACTTTAATCCGTATATCATATTACATGAATGTGTAAAGAAATGATCTCGTCTTGCCTTCAGTTTTGTCTTAGAGTTTGGTTAAACAACATGACGGTGAAATTTGAAATTTTGGTAATATTACGACATTATTGGAAACGAGTTTTCCGCCGCCGAAACAGCCCGTTTGGTGCGGCAATTTGAAGAAGGGGTATGCAGATGGTGACAATAGACAAATTTGAAATCGGTGACATCAGCTTCAAGGTGAAAGTGGGTTCTGGACGAAAGTCATTATTGATGAGGACGCTCTACTGGCCTCTGTTGAGGCATACTTAATTGAAGCATACTTAATTGGAAATAGACTGCATAACTTTGGAAAAATTAATCGCTCATTATGAATGGTTGCTCATGAATTGACAATTGAGCAGGTACGACGCCGAGTAGAAATTTGTCAATATTTTTTGAAAAATTCAAAAGAGCTTCGGTTCTCCAAAAGAATAATTACTTGTGATGAAAAATGGATAATATTGGAGAAACCCCAAGAAACAATGGCTAGATTGCAATCAGCCTACTCTACCAGTCACCAAACAAGGCTAATTCAACAAAAAGACTTTTTTTTTTGCTTTTCATTCCCCATATTAGCCATACCTTAAGCCACATATTTAGGGAAATATGTTATTTGTAATAATATTGTTTTATCTTGTGCAGTTTTGGGAGTTTAACATTTATCTACTTCATTAAATCTCTAGGTCAGGGCTTCCCAAACTTTTTAGCCAGCATACCCCTTAAACAGAAATAAATCCAGGGCGGACCTCTTGTATTCAAGTATTTAAAATTAGATACTTGTATGTAGCATTAGCCAGTCCATTCCTAATTAGGTGATGGGGAGAGATATCACTATGAAAACAAACATTAGATTGACATACTTAACTTTATTTACAAATCCGGAACACAAAAATCAAATTGAACAGAACGGAAGCAATAGGTATGTCAAACCTGGCCCAATTTCAAAAGTAGTAATTTGAACATGATGTTATTTGGAAGAGAGAGGTTGTTTTAGCCTGCATAATTTGGATATATTGGGTTTAATGTTTGTTAGCTGTAAACAGACACCGGGTGTTTAGTTATGGTAGCTGTATAGATAGAAAATCTAAGTTCGCATAGGTAAGATGTTGCAGATGGAAGAAGAACACGTTTTGCTTTTTCAATGAGTGGTGGACATTTTTTTGTTTTCCAGATAGAGTCAAAATGGCGGTAACTATCAGACTCACTGTGGGACTAGATTTCAAGGTGGAGTCTGAACAGCATTTGCAATACATCTTCTAATTGAAGATAGACTGGTTGGTTTGTCGAAATTGAAAACGGTTTGACCAGCCATTCATGTTCTTGCAACAACTGTTGGGAAGTAGTGCTCAAAGGACATGTCTCAACTTTGAAAGTGTTCACATATTTCATCAATGAATGTGCCATTCACAAGCTCCAGTTTGTTCTTTTAAAATAATCACTTAACAAAAGAAAACACTCCACCTCTTCCTTCCCAACAGATTCAACCCAAAACTGGATTTTTCTTTTGAACGCGTGAACTTTGTCATTAGCATCGAAAGTTGTGACCCTCTTCTCATGCAAAGAAAGACTCATCTTATTCATTTTAATGAAAATAACTTATAAATGCAACAGTATACATTCAAATATAAGTACATACAAGAATTCAGAATGTAATTCCAGTAGTTGTGAAAGAATGATGAAGGCCTCCCATATCAACACATAGTATTGTGAAATGTCTTGACTTCAATGGCCGCAACTTGATATAATTAATAATTTGAACAGACTCATCCAAAACTTTCTTAAAAGAGGCTGGCATTTGTTTCATAACTAAAGCATGTCTTTGGAGAACACAACTGTTGCTGCAAAATAAAATTTTCCATTCCAAAATTCCATTTTCAGTACTCATTGTTATTAGTTTGTTAATTTTGTTAATTCATTCTCCATTTATTATTGTAATTATTTCTTTTTCTCAAAATTCGCCATAGACCACAGTTTGGGAAGCACTGCTTTAGGCCTTTATCAAGCACTATTTTGTAAACCGAGTCGATAATATCTATGTTCTCTGTGTGGATCAATATTAGACTATCCGATGTTGGTAATGGGTAGTTCTTTTCTATTAATTTTTTGAAGAGATTGTTTCTTCCTACTGAACTGTTGGGAATTCTAGGATGGTGTGATTAGCATCAGCCAATGAAAACATTTCACATTGACATATTGTATTGTCTATTATTCTTACCTTATGCAGGTGATATAGCAACCTGTTGTGAGTAAAGCATAATTGACATAATATGGTGAAAAATCTCCTGGGTCTGTTTACTTTGCTGAACAAGGGTTTGGTTTGTAAGTTTGGCGTAGTAAAGTCCCTTGAGGTATTTCGACTCGTATTCTCTTTGCCACTTTATCCAAATCACTTTTCTGGTATGAGCGTTAATATCCATGCTTGAGATTTCCATTACAGATGTTGAAATTTCTTTTGCAAGTAGATCTTTGTTATTGTAAGGATTATTGCTATGTCTTTTTACCCACACGGAATAGACATTCCTATATCTGAGAGCCAGATCAAATACCAATTTCTTGATTGCCAAGATTGTTGGATTTTGATATTCGCTAATAATTTTCAAGGCTAACAACACACTTAGGCTATCTGCAAAGATTGATTGAATTTTTTACATTTTGGCCACTGATTTAAATGTTTTCTTATGGCTATGGCTTCTACTGAAAAAATTGTTGTTGTGGGGTTTAATTTTATCTTGATCTGATAGTTTTTATCAACAAGCGGTTGCTCCTCTGCGAGGATTAATTTTGACCCATCTATGTATATGACGGATGCTACTGGGCTATTAAGCCTTCCCTATTAAAGTCTGGTTGCCCATTCAGATCCTCTTGATTTGTTATGACTTTTAATTTTGTCATTGCTCAGCCCAACTTAAATCGGTTGGGGTGAATACCTTAACCTAGCATTTCTCACCTAATAAAACGTTTGTTCCTTTTCTGATGCAAGTGCAAAACACTGTGGTTCTAGGAGTGAAATAAGGTCATTGTGACAGTTACTGTTTACAAGCAATCAACCTCAATGGGTTATATTCTACCTCAATACTCATAAATAACCAAATTTTACTACAGGGTGGTTGAGCAACCATGGGATCAGATAAGCCCAGTCGACCCCTGGGCACCCTTTACACTAAAATTTGTCATATTTATATTTACTTGTTATTGCACAGATCATTTGAGGAGTGTGCATGCCACGGCCAACGTCCACACCCATCCAGATGTGGGAGTGACAAGAGGCTCCAAGAGAGGTGTGTGTGCCCCCAACCACCCCTTGCCACTGCATCAAAGAATCTCAATCCACCCCACAGTCCATACCCAGTTATCAGATACCCGTGGCTAGGCCCTGGACAAATGTTACAGACTTTTCAATAACTGCCAGGTGGAGAGACGTACACAATGGCCGACGGATAGCTTATCACATTTGAATTCCGGCGCCGGATAGTATCGAGGCATACGTCGATAGTATTGAGGTTGTATTTGACAGTAGTAGTCACTGGTCCCTGGCGGTCGTCCTTCAACAGTTTGGTGTTTTGGACAGAGTATTTTTAATAAGTTTGTTTATACTCTATCCGTTTTTCACGGTTGGATGATGTGGGACTGCGAGAAGTCGTGTGCAGCAGAGGCACACGGTGACCTCCTGACTACTGCAGTCGCCGTTGCTGCAGAACGTTCTCTCGCTGACAGCCAGATCGCCTCCTTCCTCTACAGGACCTGCAAGAACTTCCCCAGAGTATGTCGACATTTTAATCATTTATATTTTTTTTTATAATGTGCTAATTCACTAGTTTTTTTTCTCAATGTATGACCTAGCTTGATACAGCTTTAATGTGTAGAACAATACAATTGATTAAGTATCTGATCTTGGGTTTACTGTGTTGAAGAAAACTACAAGACTGTGTCCAAAAGTTCCAAAGCCAAAAATAACCACGTCCTAACTTGCCTGGTTAAAGGCATAGATGGTATTGGAAAAATGGGCAAATGTTCTAAATAGAGAAAATCTGCAAGATCGAAGTTGTAGTAAGCGCTAGGAAATCCACTTTTCTACACATTTCTATAAGAAAAAAAAAATCAAAATACAAATAGCCATTTGAAAGTCAAGACATTCTTTATAAACTGACAGGTTGTTTAGGAATGGTTAAGGTAAAACAATAGGAAAACACCAACAACAACAAACTAAGAGGTACAAAACACAAGGTCCAAACATAGAGCTCATCCGTGAGAGAAAACCAGTGTGAGGAAGTGGTCCTGACCAGACTCAGAATATGACACACACGTCTTACAGGTATCTAATGACACAGTGCTCTCCACCAATGTGTGCAAGCTGTGACGAACCACTCAATGAGGCACATTCTGGTGAGGCCACATTTGTGAGCATCTGTTAGATTGATGAATGATAGAGACGTTGATTAGCCAATAATATGACAGACCTCGTCGATAATCAGTCCAGGTGTCCGGATGAATAGTTTCAAACCCGTTGAGCCTCCAATCTATACCCGAAAATTTAACACAGATGAAACCGATGTATGATGTTCCAAATAAAATAACCTCAGTAAAAATGTAATCCAAAAATTAAGTCTTATTCATGATCTGATTTATCTTGCTCCATTCATTTGCCTTTTATATCAACTATAGATAGATATAATATTTCAGGGTATGGTATACTGCACCCTTTAAGAGCTATTGTATCCCCCGTGCTCTGCCTAAAGCACATCGGTGAGTCCTATTTCATCAAGAAACTTGATTAATAGGCCCGGTTTCAGTGGTTGTAGTTCTTCTATGGTCACATTGTACATCCCAAAACACTTCCTCCTGCGGGCTAGTGTAGCTCCGCAGTTTGTTAGTAAGTGTGTTGGTGTCTCTTCTGCTTCTTTGCAGAATCTACATGTGCCATCTTGGATTATTCCAATTTTCTTTAGATGTCCATTTAATCTACAGTGTCCTGTCAGGAATCCTGTTAGGATTCGCAGTCTGTTCCTGCTTCCTTTGACACATTCTGTGATTTCTTTCTTGCCAAAGTTGGTTAGAAAATTCTTGGATTGTCTGTGTCCAATAAGTGAGTTCCAAAGTTCGCTCATTCTCTTTTTATCCTTCTGTCTGAGGTATTCGTTGATAGTGTGTGTTCCTATTCCACAGAAGGGTTCAGGTCCTATTAGCGGTGTGGCAGCCCCTTTTCTTGCCAGGGTGTCCGCTTCCTCATTACCTTCTACTCCCATGTGTCCTGGGACCCAGCAGAGGCTGACTTTATTCTGCGAGCCTAATGTATTTAATTTGGTTTTGCAGTTCAGCACCATCCTTGAACTAATGGTATTTGAGCTTAGTGCTTTGATGGCTGCTTGGCTATCTGACATGATAGCTATATTCTTGTTTTTGTATCCTTTATTTAGGTTGAATTGGATACATCTTTCAATTGCATGAATCTCATCTTGGAAGATACTGGTGTGCTTTCCCAGGGGTTCTGAGTATTTGGTTCCGGGTCCAAACACTCCTGCCCCCGTACCTTCCTGCGTTCTAGATCCATCTGTGTACAAAAGGAAGGTGCCATTTTTGAGAGAGTTATTTCCCTTTCTTTCCCATTCCTTTTTGGTGCCCAGATGTAATCGGAATTTTTGGTTAAATTCATACCTCCTGTTCATGTCATCTCTTGGAGCCATGAGTGATGGATAGTTTTTCCACAGTTTGTTTCTGTCTCTCCATTTCAGTTTTATTCCTGATGGAGGTTTTATATCAACTATAGTTGAGTTATAATAAAATTTGTTGGTTAAAGCTAGGCAAGGAATCAAGGCAAGATAGCTCAGGTGGTTTTAGCCCCTTAAATATTGACCAAATTACTTCTTTCAATTATTCTTTTTATGCAAGGTCTTGGTTGAGATGAAAAAGTTAGTGTAACGAGCAGGATGGCAAAAGAAAAAACCTCCACCGATTACCACGAGTTTTACCTCTCTGGCAAAATATCAAGAAAAAATCGAACAAAGAGATACCCTTCCAATTTTCTCTACAGAGCTAAAAATAATTAGAAACCCCCTTTATTGCTTGCTATGTACTAAAAGACTACTCCAGACAAAATCCCATAGAGGTCAATCAACAAGTGCTTGCTGATCTTCAGGAACTTTTCCCTAAGGACCACTTAACTGTTTACACCGATGGATCCCTCATGTCTGGTAAGGTTGGATGCTCCTGGTTCTATTTATTTATGTATGGATCGAAATCCACTATAAAAAAAGACATTTTACAATAACAAAAAATATAAATGATATATGTAAAAATACAAATNAATTTTGTAATTGTAAGCAATCGGAAGGAGAAGTGATTATGGAATAGATTTTCAGATCATCAGCAAATAATAAAAATTTTGGTTCTGCAGAGATAGCAATTTATTCGGCGGAATTATTATCAATTAAGGCAGCGTTAACTTTCTTTACACTCAACCTTCCTTCAACGAAGAACATTATAATTTGCACAGACAGCCTCAGCAATCCAGTGCTTGCAAAACACATTTACTAACATTAAGAATTATATTGTAGCTGACATAAAAAAGACTGTCAACAACTTTTCCACTTTTTAAAAAAAGTCTCTTTCGTGTGGATTAAAGGACATACTGGCATCTATGGAAACAAAAAAGCCGACAAACTTGCAAAAAATGCTACATAGTTACTCTTCCCTCAAATCATAAGGATTCCTTATACAAGAACTTTTTCAAATATTGGAAACAAGAATTCATATAGAATGGCAAACTGAATACTCTGCCTCGGATAAGGGAATGGCTTATAAACCATTATTTCCACTTGTGAAAACAATACCGTGGTTTAACAAACTCCTAGACATGGCAAAAAAAGACATAACCACCATATATAGGTTAAGATATCTTCACAAGATTGGCATAAAACAACACCCAAATTGTGACACATGCGGAGTAAAGGAGGACCTAACGCACATAATGTTTCAATGCAGCCAACATTCGTCAGCCAGAAATAAATTCTACCAGGATCTGGAGAATGAAAGAGTAGAACACCCAACTACGGAAAGTAGAGCTCTATTCAAGAATCCCAGTGTATATAACTGGATAGTAAAAGTTTTAAATGATGTGTCTGTGAAAATATAATATGAACTGTTTAAATTGTATATATTCCTTGTAACATGGCTGTACAATTTTTTCATGTAAAAAAAAGAAAAAAAAACGAGCGGGATTTGAACCCCCTTCGGCTCATATGCCACTGCCCTACCACTTGAGCTACAGTGACTTCGATCCTCTCGGACACCAACTCCCCATTTCAACCTACAACCTTTTGAATTTTCCCTTTTTTTTGCCATTTTTCAAATGTTGAATCCTGCTCATGACACTAACTCAACCAAGACCTTACATAAAAAGAATAATTAATTGAAATTGTAAATTAATAGGCTCTTTGTGTTTGGGTTTAAAATCTGTATCAATTAAACATCTTTAAATTGTTTTTATTAAAGGTGAATGATTCATGTGGAAAGAATACATTACACATGGCCGCATCATGTGGGATGACAGAACTATGTGAGTGGTTGATAACCGCCGGGGCCGATCCTAACTGCAAGGACTCTGAGTCAGGCTGCACACCTTTGCATCGCAGTATATACCATGGCCATATTGACACTGCTGTCAGACTGTTGAAAGTGAGAAAATTCTCTCGTATATTTATCGCTCTCTCAACTATTTCAACGATAGTTTGTTTTTTCAGTATAGAGCCGACCTTGACATAATGAACAATGAAGGCCTCACGCCTCTCGACATGCTGAGCATGGATGTAGTGCGCAACATCTCGCTTATCCCTATCATGCCCTGTCAGGTGTACGTTTGGGGTACAAACTTGAACTACACGCTCGGAACAGGAACAGACGATCATAAAAAAATACCAGAATGCCATGAATTTTTCAAACGAAATTTTACTTCAATTAAACAGGTATTACAAATCTACCTTGAAAAAGGTGTTTCACTGTACTAAAGTAAAAGGCCAAGATTTTTGATTAATTTTATTGTAGGTATGCATGGATGAGTTTCATTCAGTTTTCACCACTACATTCCACTCGGCTTGGGTTTGTGGTCATGGGAAGAGAGGCAGACTCGGTGTTGGCAAGGAGCAGTCATTAGTGATCCCAACTGAGATGTTGACAAAGGGTGAGCAGTGCGAGCAAGCTGCTATCGCTGTAGACCATACTCTCATCCTCCTCTCCAATGGATCTGTAAGCGTTTGGAACATTGTGAAACCACTAAGAGAAAAATGTTAAGGGCAGTATTTTTAGGTACTTTCAAGTGGGTCAAACCAATACCACCAACTCGGGTTGACCCCATACGTAGAATCGAGCAACACGCTTAAATACATTAACCTAAGAAATGGTAAGTCAATAGGCATAGTCACAGGTATCGGTGCTGGAAAATACCACAGTATCTTTTACAACAGCTGTGGTATTCTTGTATGTGGCTTAAATGCGGGACAACTTGGTGCTAAAATTGACAATGACGATTTCATCACTATTCCTTCTCAAGTATGTCTCTCGTGTTTGTATATTTCAAAAGGTACAAAGTAAATTTTTATGTTTCAGCTCTCGATTCAGTTAAAAAATAATGTTTCTATAACTCACGTGGCAACAAGTAATGGAGCAATTACATACGCTTTGAACTCTGGCGACATTTTTGTTATTCACCAATTTCAGTTCAAAAGGATAGTCTCAAAGTTAGTACAAGGACAAGTTTAAAAAAAAAGTTCTCTTCCATTCTACAAAGCTTATCTTTAAAAACAAAGTTATATCACTTAAAAATAAAACTTTTAGGAATTAATTTGTAGAAATGTAAGTTTGATTGATTCAAAGTCACTTTTTTTTCTTCCTTGCCTTCTTAACTGACTACAAGTACTTATCGTACTTACAAGTAACGGTCTTGAAAATACTTTTTTTCATTCATTCTAGCTTGATTGTTTATGTACTGTTTTCTATTTGAATGTGTGCGATCTGTTTTAATTAAATGATCAAATTTGTTTTGATTTACAGGCAAAATATAATTAAGTTATCTTGTATTGGAGGCCAATTACACAGTGATTTTATCCAGGACAGTGGTGAACAGTTAAAGATTGCATTTCTTAATTCTAAAGGTTCTGTTTTCGTTTGGCAGAAAGATACAAATTTGCTGAAGTTAGTTGCTTGTTGAGTCTATAATCCTTATTTTGTATGTATAACATCTTCGTGTTCAAATCAAAGGTGCGAGTTTGGTATTGGTAGGAGCCTTTTGATCAAGGACATTCACCTGAACAACAACGGTTTGCTGCTCGTAAGCAAGAGAGGTGAAGCGTACATCGCTAGCAACAGAGATGCTAACAAGAGAGGTCCTCATATTTCACGGCCGTCGTTTAAAGACGCAAAATTGTACGAAAATTTCAAGCCACTTCTGATGTCTGTCGTAAGGATCCCAAATATTCATCGAGCTGTCGCTATTTCAAGTGATCCTAAAGGAAATAATTTTTCCGTGATACAGGTAAATATTTCAATCATGAAAAATAAAATGATGTAAAAATTGCGGTTTTCATAGACACACCCGTCAAATGCTTTAATCGATGTGCCTAAAGTAAGAAAGAAAGGGTTTGCCAGTGAGCTGAAAATTTTACTTGATGAGACATCAGAGCAAGATAATTTACACGACCTGCTGATAAATGTAAAATAAAAATTTCAGCTTTCATTTTAAAGAAAGGTTTTCAATATTTTTTCTTTTCACTATAGGTCAAAAGAGAGGTGTTTCCTGTGCATAGGTACATTCTTGCCTCAAGGGGTTGTTCTTTAGCGTTCCACAATGAAAAGGTCTTGAAACTTGACATAGAGCCAATGATATTCAATGAATTATTGCAGTACATTTACACTGGTGAATGCAAATTGACAAATATTGATGAATGTAGTAAAAGGTAAAAATTACAATTTCTCTAGACATTTTGATAAATAGTTAATAATATTCGTTGATTTCAGTTTTTTGGGATTAAAGGAGAATCCAATTACTCTGCTTAGGGAGGTTGCTTTAAATCTTGGTTTAGACACACTAAGCAAACAGCTTGAAAACATAAAGTAAAAAATAAAATCATTTCAATCGCAAATAAAACGAATAAATTATTTAACTTTAGGTACGTGGATGGAAAAATAAGTGCAAGTGATCATCCCAGGTGCGAAGATATATTTTTTGACAGGAGTCTTTTCCAAGAGTTCTGCGACATTAAATTTATCTCGGAAGACGAACAAGTTTTTCCAGCACACAAATGCATTTTGTCAGCGTCCTTGGAATATTTCCAGAGGATGTTTCTAGCAGGATGGTCTGAGGTAAAAAAGCCAACATGGCATTCATAATATTGGGCTGTCCGGAAAAAATGCAGGTTTTCATATTTTCTTTGAATTACTACTTTGTATAATCAACTGCTTATGTTTGGTGGATTATTCTTTTGTACGAATGGCAACACTTTTTAATCCTCTTCCAAACAAAATGGGTGTTTACCTCAGTAGCATTTTGTTACTGGGGGAAAATTTACTAAAATGCAATGCTTGATTTTCGTGTAATATCACTTCACGATTTTAAACTTGGTCAAAAATATTAATGAAGTCTGGGGCGATGGCAGTGTGAGTGAGAGCACAGATGGTTTAAATATTTTTGAGAAGGAGACGGCCTTAAAGGCAATGAAGGTCGCAGGAGGTTTTCTTCCCTAGATGATAATGTTCTGCGAGCTTTGGTTGAAGAAAATTGTAGAACAACTGCTCGAGAATTTGCAGAGAGTCTTTCAGTTAGCAAATCGACCGTTGCTGACATAAGGCAATTGGAAAGGTGAAAAAATTCGAACGTTGTGTATCTGCTGCAATAAAAAGCGCCAAAAAAAAAAAGAAAAAATTCTGAATTTTGCACAACACTTCTTTGCCGAAACAGAAACGAACCTTTTCTGGATAGAATTGTTACTTGTGATGAAATGTGGATTTTCTGGACAATGGTTTGATAAAGGAGAAGCAACACCACATTTTTCAAAGCCTCCGACTCATAAAAAAAAGTGATTTACTGCAGCTTCTTGAATCATGGCGAAACAATCGATGCTGAAATGTGTTTCTCTCAAATTGAAGCAATGCACCATTCATTGGTCAATCAGTAAAGACCGATTCTGTTACATGACAATGCTCGGCCCCATTTCTCACATGTGACAACAGAAAATGGTTGGATCTTAGTCACAATTATCCAGACCTCTCGTCTACTGTTAACTATTTTTTCAGACACCTGAGAAATGTTTTGCAGCATAAAAAATTAATTGATCAAATGTCATAAGAAAATGCGTTAATAAGGAAGACTTAAATTTTATTCTAAGGATATAGAAATGTTACAAACACGTTGGGAGAAGGGTATTGAAAGTGATGGAGGTTATTTTAATTAACAAAAAATGTTTAAAATCATTTATTCAATTGTTTTTATTTATGACCATAAACCTGCATTATTTTCCAGACAACATTAACACAAGACAACAAGCGTTTATTATAAAAGTTCCAAATTTCAGTCTAAAAATGTACCTTTGATTCATTTGGATTGTTCAGCGTTGGTTGTAAATCAATTTCTCCACTATATCTACACCAAGGACTTCTCAGATGTTGTAAATTCAATTGATATTGAAGGTTTAATAAGGCAAGTTTTTGAAAATATTTTTTTCAGGCTTGACAATTTTAAAAAGCTGCTTTATACAATCCATAGGCTTCTCCAGATCTCTGATCAATACCTTGCCAGCCAATTAAAGGAGGAATGCGAATTTGTACTTTGTACCTTGTTGTCTCTGCGTAACTGCACTTACATCTTGCAGGTCGCTTATAAATACAATGCTTTTCAGTTGAAAAAATCAGCTTTCGACTTTATCGCTCTTAACCTGAATGCAATGATTGAATCGAGGTAATGGGGATTAACCATTCTTTTTTATGTTTTGTTTATTCGCTATTTTGTCATTTTCAGACAGCTTGAATTGTTAGAGCCTGAGCTGTTGAAAGAACTAAGCGATCATTATAATGGTCGAATTATAGTTGATTTTCAGAAAAGACGTATTGTACCTTGCTTATGTGCTCACTCGGAAGCATTCCTCTCCTTTGTAAATAATTTCCCAGGTAAAGAAAGATTTAGTAAAATCTTATCTAAGTAATCTATTCGACATTTTCATATATTTGTAATATTGAGATTTTCATTACTACTTCAATTAATAACGAGTCAATTACAAAATTGTATTTTCAGCAGATAGGGTTTTAATCAATTTTGTCTAAATTCCACTGTTTGTTTATTAGAGGAATGTTTGGAATTGCCGAAATTGGACAACACCACAGGCCTGGAGGGAAAGAACATCAAAGGAGTAAATATACAAAAGAAAAGAACGCACAGAAAAAGTACCTCCAGTACTTCTCCAAATACAAACGATACACTAGAACAAAACATGAGATGTCAGGTGACGCCTGAAAGCCCAGAACTCTTTGGCGATGATTATTTTAACCTCAATTTTTTAAGCATTGACTCTTCACCGCCAAAGCGCAAGTAAATAAAATAAAAATCTGAACACGCGTCTGAAATATTGTCATGAGTTTAATACAGCGTTAATTTAGACATCTGCCAAAAAGATTGTTTCCAAAGATGACCAAAGCCAAGAAAAAGGATTTACACGAATTAGAGGAGAAGAAATCTCCACCTTTAATCACTCCTTTCAAAGGATGGGCCGTCATACCGCCACCTGAAGTAAATAAGGAACTCAGTAATAAACTCTTCGATACACCCAGGTGCGTTTTCTTGATATCAGAATTGTTAAAAAGGCAGCTAATAATAAAAACATTCCAGGATGTCAAAAGAGGATGGACCCAGCTTGTCAGAGGTCATTGCAATTGAACAGCAGAAGCGTACTAAATGGCTTCAGATGAAAGCCAAGCCTTTTCAATTCACACAGGTCATTATTATTATTTTTTTCATTTGATTTTTTCTTATAAATAATCTCATTGCAGATGGAAGATTCAGCAATTGATGATCTATTAAACTTTTACAATGCTGATCAGGTTTTTGATGAGAGAATCTCCGTCAGCCGAGTACTGTCAGAAGAAAAAGACATTCCTCGGCCAATCTGGATTCATTAGAAAAATTATATTTATTTATTCGATAAATGAGTTACAAAATGTTAATATTTTTATATATATAACTGTATCATAATAAAAATTATTTTTATATAATAAGATGAAACTTTTTTGCAAAAACACCAGAACCTGCTGTTGCATCTACCGTCATGAACCCTTTTAAAATGTAATATATTCTGTACCTGATAGATTTTATTGGTCATATTTATTACTCGCATGACAAAAATTTATAGTGGAACAACTACTGCAATCAGCAGGTCTAAATAGATTTAAGCGTCTTTTTTTTAATACAAAATGAGCAATCACAATTACATTTTACATACTTTACGTTCAGGAAAGACCAAATAGAGAAATACATTGGAGGATAGATTTAAAAAGAAAATAGAAAACAAGCAGAAAAAAATTCTCTAGGTCTTGAAAGAACCCATGATGGTAGTGCGACCTGTTATTAAAACAATTCCACCTCTTTTGAAAGAAATGAAATAATTTATCCTATGAGTGGAATAGACAAAGAGAAAAACATCTGTTATAGTTTTACTTAATTAACAGACATAAGTAAAATATTAAACTATTTCAGGGACCATTCCGTAGGAATATGACTGCAATTGATAGTTTTTATATTACTTGGACCGCATCACATAAAAAAATTAGCAAGTCTTCACAGGGCCATGTAGTTCACTCCCCAACAGAATTATAATCCTCTCTCATAAAATTGTATAATTTATTCAAAACAAATAAAAAACTAATGTAAACACAATTATTCTGAGATCGTGAGATGCAGTCTGGTGTGATGTAGGTTTTAGAAAAACATTTTCTTTATCGTGGCAACGTTTCGATCTTTATTGAGATCATCTTCAGGGCCTGGGATTTATAAACATTGTTTAAATTTAACGAATACATGTAGGATGTGGAAAAGAAAGTCACATCCTATATGTATTTGTTAAATGTAAACAATGTTTGTAAATCCCAGGCCCTGAAGATGATCTCAATAAAAATCGAAACATTGCCACGATAAGAAAATGTTTTTCTAAAACCTATGTCACACCTCACAATCTCAGAATAATCATCAACTAACGGTCACTAATCACCACACATGTAAACACATAATATAAAAGTAATAACACAATCTTTATATTGGATTTTAAACACTTATTTTTACATTAAGGTAAAGGGTATATATTTATAAATTACTACTCCTCTTCCTGTTTTGGTAGATTGTCTTTTCTTTGATGATAGATTCAAACAAATAGCTCGTATGAAGCAGTCTGATCTTTGTCTGGGAATATACACTGATGGTCAAATTTAACATACCACTCAATTTATTTAGTTTAAAGTTAAATCCATTATCTTTCTACATTATTTACAGGTAATTAGAAGCTATCGTAGTCAAAGTAAACAGTAAACAACGCTTTGGTTACTTTGTTTACTTTCATATTGATTAATCCCATTTGCACAAAAAGTAGTATTATGACTTCCTCTCCGCTACACTTAAAGATTGCTTTTGGTTAATCTTTTTCCCTCATTGTTTTGATTTGACATCGTTCTTATTCTTAAACCTTTTTCAATGGCTCTAGTCAGGCATTTGAGTGAGTATGAGAGTGCCAGGGTCATAATGTTATTAGAGGAACGTTATTATTACAGCTAGGGTGAAGTTGTACTGAGTGTAAATCATTCTACAATAGGAAGGGTTATTCGAAGCTTCATGCAAACAGAGCTTCTTACTAGAAGGATACTAGAAGGCGTTAATGAAGAGAGTAGAAAAACAGGGTCCCAAGATCGATCCCTGTGGCACTCCTGCTGCTAAGCTGTAAGAGGTGAGATAGCTCCATTGAGGGATACTCTGAAGGACTGCCTATTTAGGTATGAGTTCACTCTAATTGAATCGATCAGTTTTGAAAGGGCGTGTTGACTTTTCCTAATTTTACACCACAGCACAAAAACTGCCCCAATTCTCACAAATTCATTTTTTTCTGTGTTTGTTTAATAATACAAGGTAATAACACGCAATTATGATGAATTTTTATATTTTTTAAGAATTTGCCACTTACTCTTCTGCAACTTGCAACTTTTCTGTGGTGGGCATGATGCCTTTTATCACTAAACTCGCAGATTTCAAAAAGTTTCACTAAAAGTGATCTAAAATGTTTTTCTCATTAAAAGTGTCAATAAAAGGCAAAGTACTAAGTAGTGAAATAAAGTAAACAGTAAGTTTTTAAAGCAGGGTACATTAAAACATAATTTTACTCAAGTCTTCCTCATCAAGGTCACCTCTTCTACAAGTTGTTGGCCATGATATTGAGGGGTTGTAAAAACTTTTTTTCTTCATTTTTTTTTTTTTTTTTTTTTTTGCTGGAAGTGAAGCTCAAATGTTCTGCTTCCTGAGGTTGAATGTTCTCATCACCAGCCCTCTTATTTTAATGTATGTCTTCAAAACACCTTTTCTCATCTCAAAGTAATAACATTCTGATATTTTGAAACTTATTTTCTCCATGTTATTTCTTCTTTGCAATGCCAATTCCTCCACAAGGACATGTTTTTTGGCCACCAGCTATTTCGGTTCAAGATTATGACATTATCCTACAGTAGAATTGTTTCATTGTCAGAACTTGCAGCTTTGGAGTGTAAACACAATCGACTCTTCTCAATTTCCTTTTAATCACACTAAATGCTCCATCACACGGAAAGAAACTGTGACCCTTCACAGGGAAATACTGCTTGACTTCCACATTCCCCAGTTCAGAAAGTGCAAGTAAAAATCACAGTACTATGTGGTTGCAATTTTGTCTGGTGGTCAGAAAAAACTTGAATTTCTTTAGTCAACAACAAACGTTGAACGTTTAGTGGAGAAAGTGCAAATGTCCTGGACATGAGCCGTTTCACCACCAAACTTAGCTTTCTTATTAAAAAGATCTACTCAAGCCTGCATTCTCTTCGACACCTTAGTTTTTCACTCCACAGAAATTTGTGAAATTTTCTTTGATCAATGTCAGCAAAAAATATCAGAGAAAATTTCCAAGATTTACCTCGTTTCCCTGTCACAATCATATAAAAATAGCAGAATACAAATTCACGTTTCACAACACTTTCACACAAAACCAATATGGCACCACAAGAATAACACCACACTTTATGTAAGTATGAAATACCTGGTTCAGAATTTATATTTACATTTTAAATTGTATTTTTTTTCCAATCGACACGTTTTATAATTTACCCAGGCCCTGAAGGTGACCTGAATAAAGGTCAAAACATCGGCAAAAAAATGAAAAAGGTGTTTTTCTAAACTACCTCATTCTTGACTGCTCCTCACGACTTCAACAAATTATGAAAACAACATGTCACTAGGAAACACACATTTTGTAAATTGGATTAATTCAATAAAATATATATATTAAAATATTCTTGTAGATAGGAATTTATTAAAAAGAGAAACTAAAATGGGAGCAATAGCAAGTTTGCAATATTTTAATATTTTATTATGTAACCACATGTATAGATGTAAAATAAAATGTAAAGATGTTTAGGTTGGAAAATATTTCAATTTTTTTAAAATAAAAATTAAAAATAGTTTTGACTGTATTTTCAAAAGCCTGCATTATTGTTGTACCAGCCCAATAATTTGATGTAAATTATCTACTTTTGGTGTTATATAATTTCCACTATATACACTTCTGCTATGCGTTCCCATATAAAGTATGGTGTCAATTCTTCTTCTGATGGATCCATTATCGCCAATTCTTTGCGCAGCATTTTTCAAAAATTTACAAAACCAATAGTTCTGTTATCTCTACAATTGTTGATACTAATTTTTATTCCCACAACACTTCAACCTTCTATTTGCACAAATATGCCATATCCATGTAAGAAATAGAAGATTTTAACTTTAATACTTGGAAATCAGCAGGTCCCGAGAATATTCCTCCTATTCTTGGCATCGGTTTTTTTTTTGTTGAGTTTAGTTGCGAGTTGGTGTCGGTGTCCAAGTAGATCACAGTTACATAGCTCTAGTGGTTAGAGCACAGTGGCGTATCGAGCCGAAGGTTGTGGGTTCGAATCTTGCTTGAGACACAAGCTTTTTCATCTCAACTAAGACCTTACATAAAAAGAATAATTAATTGGTATAGTATAATGTTTTATTCTTTACTAATGTTGAGTTAGTTATAAGCCTTGCATTGTATTTATTTTTATGAAATGGGTTTTTGATCCGTAAAATGAAAAAATGTTGTAGGTTGAGATGGGGACTTGGTGTCCAAGTACATAGATCAAAGACAAAATAGCTCAAGTGGTTAGAGCAGTGGCGTAGTGAGCCGAAGGTTGTTGGTTCGAATCTCGCTCATGACACTAGTTTTTTCATCTCAACCTAGGTATTGACCTTACATGAAAAGAATAATGAATTAGTATAGTTCAATGTTTTATTTTAGTTATAAGCATTACATTGTACATTTGTTTCTAGGTAATATTGAAATGAAAAGGCCCACCGACACGTGACTGAAGGAGTCGACCTTGAATTCGAACCGAGGCGGGACAAATTTAGGTCAGTAGAAACTTTTTATTCAAATTTAAAAATTAGTATTTAACACAACCACTCGTTTAATTAAGCAATTCGATTATTTAAATGGATTATTAGCGTGTGTAGATCACCCGAAATGGCGATATGTGTTTAAATTACGGTTTTTAAATTAAGGAGTCGTATTGTAACAAACCGGTCGTAGATTTGTTACGATCCTTTCGGTCGAGAAGTTCGGAAAACCATTTCACCACGATAAATCCTCGAGTGGAAATTTCCTCCAGGCCAGGACTAAAACGTCCGACGAGGGTCTTCGTCGAAAAAGTCGTACGATACAGTTTCCGGCGGTTTACCCCCGAGGAAGGCTAACCTTCAGCTCTGTCATCAGTCAGTTTATCTGCGGCCGAACCCATTCATGTTATTGTCCGACTAGTCTCGTTTCGCCCGTCAACAGAACAAGGCCGAAATGATCCTGTTGGAGATCAACAACAGGATAGTCGAGGACACTCTCACGATCAAGTTCCAGAACGCTTTGGCTGAGTGAGTCCGGAGTCGGCCGGCCGGATTGCCGGCGAGGTGAGAGCGCCTCGCCCGACGGCCGTCAAACTTGGACAAATCTAATATTAACGAATCGAGACCGGTTTATAAAACGTTTTTCTTCTCCCCCAGGAACAAGCCCGAGTCGCTGGACATCACGGTCGCCGATTTCGACGGCGTTCTTTTCCACATTTCCAACGTGGACGGGGACAAGAGCAAAGTCAGGGTGGGTCTCGGCTTGATTTCTCATCGCCCAACCTTTCGACCGTCTCGTTTAATTTCTTTCTTTTCCTTTACAGACGAGCATCTCACTGAAATTTTACAAACAGCTCCAGGAACACGGCGCCGACCAACTCCTTAAAAGGGTGTACGGCCCCTACTTGACCGAGCCCGAAGACGGTGAGTCTCTCTTGAGTTGAGTCAGCGGCTCGCCTTTTCTGGTAGCCGGGGACGAAACGACCGATAACAACCCGTCATTCCCAAGATAAGATTACTAAAACAGCAAAAATGTTATTAAACTTTACACTCGCATGTCTTTTTTTTAATATATCGGCCGTTTTAAAAATCATTTGATAGTTTAAAAATAAACAGAACGTCGGCAGATTCAATAGGCTTGACAGGATCATTCATAATATAGACTAAGGGTTCCCAAACTTTTTAGTCAACGGACCCCTTTCACAGAACAAAATCCAGGGCAGACCACTTCCATTCAAGTATTTAAAATTAGCTACTTATAGTATATGTAGTAAACTAACAACTGAAAACAGTCTAACTGGATTAAAAACTTACTGACAGAAACTAAGAACTTATTAACTGAAAATAAATGATTAACTGAACTAAGAACTGACTAACTGGAGTGAAAACTTCCTAACTGAACAAAGACTTTACTAATACTGAGAACAGACTAACTGTACTGAGAACTGATTAATTGAATCTTAGAATTGACTAACTGATTCTTGGAACTGACTAACTGGAATAAAACCTATTAACTGAACAAAAACTTTATTAATACTGAGAACAGACTAACTGGACTGAGAACTCCAGACTAACTGAAAAGAACTGACTAACTGAATGAAGACTTTACTAATACTGAGAACTGATTAAATGAATCTTAAAATTGACTAACTGATTGTTAGAACTGACTAACTGAACTGAAAACTTACTAACAGAACGTAGACTTGACTAGTACTGAAAACTGATTAACTGAACTAAGAACTAACTAACTGAGCTGAGAGCTGACTAAAAACCTACTAACTGAACAAAGACTTTACTAATGCTGAGAACAGACTAACTGGACTGAGAACTGCTTAACTGAAAAGAACTGACTAACTGGACTGAAAACTTACTAACTGAATGAAGAATTGACTAATACTCGGAGCAGACTAACTGAACTAAGAACTGACTAACTGCATCTTAGAACTAAGAAGTGGCTCAAAATGGCTGAAAATCAGTAGCTGTGAGACATTCGGATAAGTTGAATGCACACCTCCTGGTACATTCTCATACTCGAGACAAATGCGTTTACACAAACAACACTACACTTTGATGCACCCTAAAAAAACCAATAGTTGGTCGGCTCACCCTGAAACATCCTCGCACCAAGAGTTTCACAGTCCTGGATAGGTCTCTAGGCAAGACAAGTTAATCGAAACAGTTATGCGAGTGTTTTATGCAATGGATACCTAGCTTAAGGTAAAGGTCCTGACATACTTACAAAAATGCCGGCACCCCAAGGGTTCATATAACCTCGTAGCTGAAATACTACTTACTTGAGGCAATTTCAAAAGTATTAATAATAATAGTAATAATGGGAAGAGTGAGGTTTTAGCCTGCACAATTTGAACATGTTGCATTTAATTTTTGATTGCTGGAGAAGGATGACGAATTCAGCATCTAGACAGCTTCGGTATTTAGTTTTGGTGGTTATATAGATAGAAAATCCAGATTTCCATCAATTTTTCAATGAATGATTAAAATGTTTTGTTTTCCGGACAGAGGCAAAAATGGGGGTAACGATCAGACTCGAAAATAGATTTCAAGTCAGAGTCTGAAGTAATGTCTATGATAAACATTCATATTCACCTGAATATAGACCTGTTGGCTTTGTCAAAATTTAAAAGTGACGACTTGCGAAAGCACTTTCAGGATTTCAGGAATTACATTGTGAAGTCTAATCTCTGTTGATGGACCACAATTTCAAATTAGCCAAATTATAAGATATTTTCATCAAAATGAATGAGATTAATCTTTCTTTTCATGAGAAGAGTATCACAACTTTCAATGCTAATGACAAATGGGACTACTCAGTATGTATAATCAAGATTTACTTTCCAGTAAATCTTTGTTATGTCTTATCTTGAACCCAAGAGCGATGGGCGATGTGTGCTAGAGCTAAAATCTCGCCTTCAAAAGGAAAATCCAGTTTTGGGTTGAACCTATTGAAAAGGAAAAGGTGTTTTTCTGCGTTAAATGATTTATTAAAAGAAAACCAACTGGAGCTTGAATATGCCACATTGATTGATGAAATATGTGACTAAGAAGTTGGAAAATGTCCTTTGAGCGCTACTTCCCAATAGCTTGAGATACAATGTTGCAAGACCATGAATTGTCATTTTTCAATTTGTGTTGAACCACATTTAAATGATGATCCTGGTTCAAATCGTCAAGCGTGGGTTACACAGAGATCACAGCCGAAAGATGTCCATTTTATAATATATAACCTGTACTTTGTTAAAGGCATGTTCTCACGATTCAACTTTTCAAAATCTGTGAGTAGAACCATCATTAACAAAAATTGAATCTACGTACTCTCAACATTTTGAATTTAAAATAAAATAATAGGAAAAACAAACAACATAGCATGGTATGTAGTCACCTGAAAGGTGTTTCTTTTGCTGCCAAAATTCGGAAATAACAAAAGTCTAAAAAAACATTTGAAAAGTATTTTTTTTCTCGATTTATTGGTTTTTTTTTTTTTTTTTTTTTTTTTTTTTAAGTAGAATTTTTTGCCTTGATCAGGACAGTTTTCAATTTATCGAAATTGAAGCCTCGGTTGAGTCGGGAGTTGCGAGTTAGCGACTTTGGCCTGTTGCTACTTCAAATTGATTTCTTGTAAAAGTGAAATGAATTAATAAATGCAATCTGTCTTTTACATGTTAATATTGTTTTAAAGTTGTTTTATTTAAAATTTTTAAGATTAATCTGTCTTGTTTAAATTTGTTGGTTACTATTTGAAAACATTTCTGTGTGGTTTGTTTTTTAATAAAAATAAATGTTGCATTACTATAAATATAAATAATAATGTATTTACGTTTTAGTTTAAAACAATAAAATGGCTTGGAAATGTTTCTTAACATTCACCAATAAACTTAATACACTGAGCTTAGAAAGAAACAATACTAAAACAACTAAAATTCTCAAAATTTAAAAATTAAATTTGTTCTCCACTTTCAAAATTAAATTACTTCACTAAATTGTTTCCATAGCTCCACACTTGTCAAGCATAATGTGCTAGAGGCACTCGAGCAATGTTTTGCAAAATGTCTCCCTTTTTAAAAAAATTAATTAATTTTAATATTTTTCATTATTTATAAAAGTACATTCTTAATCTAAAAAAATATGTTTATTAACATGTAAATGTTACTAGCACCCCGAGGGTTGATAGGACCTCTTGTTGGGAACCCTTAAAAAAAGAAAAAAAAAAGTGAATGTTAATTTGAGTACCAATTTTCTTGCCAAAAGTCTAGCTAAACAGTTTTATTAAACAGCATGGCAACACTTCATTTAAAGAAATAAATTATTTAATTTATGGTGCAAATTAATACAACATTAAATTAAAACCATTATTTTAGATTAATAATCATTTTAAATTTTTCAAATATTTTTGTCATCTGGCTCAAACTTGACTTATGTGGTTCATATAGTTCACACCGGTCCGAGTGAATTATTTCCTAATTTAGCCTTTGAATAACGTCCAGGAAGCTCCTGTTTATTCATAGACATAATAGGAACAAACAGATTTAAAAAAGTTCAAAGTAATAAATTATATGAGTGTAACCCCAATGCTTTTGTATTAGGTTCCGAAACTAAGAGATGTCTACTTGATAAACGGGATTTCATATTTTGTATGTTGAATTTAATTGTTATCAGACATTCATTTCAAATTTTTTCTCTCCCAGTATCTTTTTTCTTTTATCTCATGGTTGCTCTCATTTGTCAACCGATATTATTCTTCCTTACGGGATTGAATAAGAACAGAGCTCTATAATAAAAAAGATCCATTTGAAAATTTAAAACATTCACTCATATTAAGTTCTCATTCTCAAATTACTTAATATCAAAATTCAAAAATTACAAATAATAATATTAATTACAAAATTTCATATTGATTATTAGTTTGTATGACTTTCATTGTCTTCTTTACAAATAATTAATTATCGTTATATTTCAAATTAGTTTTCTTATTTATGTACAGTAAGCTCTAGCTAGTTTCTTACATTTTTTCATTACAAAGAATTCTTAATTTGTTTTCTACCTTCTTCAACTATTGAAAAATATAAAATATCACCTAGGTCAGCCTATTATTACCATTTGGTTCTTTTATTAAATAATATTTAAAATAGGATAAATAGAACAAAAACGGATGGGGAGATTAGATAAAGATAATTCTAGAAAATTCAAAATCTAACAAGTAGAAAAATTTATACTTTTTCTGCTCTTACAAACATTATTTTTAATCATTTACTATTGTTGTGTGCATAAGTTTTTTTCTTTCAGTTTTCAGAAAAAAATTCAAACTTTCAAAATATGTTTATTTTATTTTTAATCCAAAACATAAATTTCTTTTGTTTTCTATAACTTACTGTCAACGTTCTGGTAGAATACTTTTTGTCCGAAATATGATGAGTTAGATGAGAAGAAATTTACAAGTCAGATTTTCAGAGCGTTTTCGTTCAAAAATTCACTACAATTTAAGTGGTTGTCTAGGGAGCGGAACAAGTAAAAGTCAGAAGGGGCTGGAGAATATAGATGGCCGGGGCATTTGTTACCAGTCTAACTCAGCGATTTTACTTTAATCGAGTGCAGCTGTATTAGGCCGGGCGTAGTCATGGTGAAACATGACATTGCATGTATTCACCAAGGCAGTTTTCCTTCAACGCTGACCCATGACACTAGCTGCTGACATAGGGGTTGATTGCTGGTAACAGTACCCAATAAATTATTCTTCGAATATCCATCTAAACCGACAATAGGACCTTACGAGGGGGCAATTCTGATATTGGCGGTGTTTTGTTCTTCTTGTAAATGATCTTTCAACATTTAATATATTAAATTCACTAATTTCGTGGTCCGCTTGACCAATTAATACATTACAATTAATTAAGGTTTTTAGTTGAGATAAAAAAAAGTTAATGGCACGAGCGGGATTCGAACCCACGATCTTCGGCTAGATAAGTCGCTGCTCTACCACCTGAGCTATCGTGACCTCGATCCACTCGGACATCAACTTCCTATCAACATCACCTGTCCGAGTGGATCGAGGTCACGATAGCTCAAGTGGTAGAGCAGCGGCGCATCTAGCCGAAGATAGTGGGTTCGAATCCCGCTCGTGCCATTAACTTTTTTTCATCTCAACTAAAAACCTTAATTAATTGTAATTTAATATATTTTTAAAAGGACCACTTCTCATCCCCAGTGACCAAATAGGTAATGAAACCTTCCTATTTATTCTTATCTTTCTTCAGGTGTAAAACGCAAAAAGCCATGCAGTCTTCTTTTTTCCCATGAATCAAATTTCACAACGTAACCCCAAGATAGGATTATTATTTTTATTGTTATGCGATGCACCTGAAAACTTTGATACCTCCACTAAAGATAAATTGTCCTCATCATACAATTAATAAGTCATTGCTTTTAAGCTCATTAAGCATTCCACGATAAGGCTGGTCTTTTGATTTGTCTCTTTCCATTGCTCGCACTCTCAGCTACTACCTTATAACCATATAAATTTTGACAGGCATCCACTGTCTGCCAAGGCCTCAAATGAATTTTATCTTTTTTTGATGTCGTACTCATCGCAGTTTATTCTAGATTTTTTTGCGGTCAACTGCCCCTTTCTTAACAATCCCTTTCAATAGGTCCACCCTAGAGCTAATAGGGCTGGCAAGTAATAAAGACGGCCTTTATAGGTGTGAAAAAAAATTTTTTTCTTCAAAATTAAAAAAAAAAACATACACGTCCAATATTATTAACAAAGTTATAATTTGGTGTCATTGTCAGCCTTTGGACTATTTATTTGATTTCATTTATTAGGCTTCAATGTCTCAGTATTAGTCGACCTAAAAAACATACCTGATGATTGGCAAGAGCTTGTAAAGAAAATTGGGCTTCTCAAGAGAAACTGTTTTGCATCTGTATTTGAGAAGTACTTTGACTTTCAAGAGAAGGGCGAAGAAGGACACAAAAGAGCTGTCATCAATTATAGAAATGATGAAACTATGTAAGTCCCTTTTAGTTTATTATATATTACTTAATTTTTTTTCCTAAGGTCATCTAGATACTTTTGATATCAAAATTACTTAAAATGTTAACAGGTACGTTGAAGCGAAAGCCGATAGAGTCACTGTAGTCTTCAGTACAATATTCAAAGACGAGAATGATGTCATTATCGGTAAAGTGTTCATGCAGGAGTTCAAAGAAGGCCGGCGGGCAAGCCATACGGCACCCCAAGTATTGTTTAGTCATAAAGAACCTCCTTTAGAACTGGTTAACACAGACGCACGAGTAGGGGAAAATATAGGATATGTTACATTTGGTAATTTACTTTTATTGTTTGAATTATTTTTTTTTATATTAAATTTTTATTTTACTTTTTAGTATTATTTCCAAGACATACAAACCCACAGAGGAGGGATAATACAATTAACTTAATACACATGTTTCGCGATTATTTACATTATCACATCAAATGTTCTAAGGCCTATATTCATTCGAGGATGAGAGCTAAGACTTCGGACTTCTTGAAAGTCTTGAACAGAGCGAGACCCGAGTCAAAGAGCACAGAGAAGAAAACTATGACGTATGTAACAACAAAATGCCTTTCTTTTGTGCATATTCATTCACTTGTACGTTTTCATTTTCAGTGGACGAACTTTCGTAAGACGGGATTGATTAAACTTTCCCGCCTACAACTGGAATCGCCAACTCCTGCCCAGTCGTAGTACCATGTCTTGTTTTAGCAAAAACTATTTTTGTTATTTTCTAGCCCTAAATTGTGTCAAATCATTATAGGAGCTGGTTATAAATAAAATTAGCAAGGAGATCAGAAATGAACAATTAATTCGCTCAATACTAGACATATTATAAATTGTACAATGATTAATATAATTTATATTATTGTCTATTATAATATAAAATGCCCTGAGAAGGACATACTAAATATGTAAATAAAGTACACTTAAAACAAATTTAATGTAAAAAAAATTATGTATTAAGTTGGTATTAACTTGAAATATTATTGAAAGTTGTTATTCATTTATTTTATGTTTTTAACTTTAAATATTGTATTTAAAATTTAACTTTTTATTCAAAGTGCATTGTATGGATATATGTGTTGTGCAAATTAATAAATCTAATAGATAATTTTAAACCGTTTTTATTTTTATTAATTTGTATTTGTAAATAAATATAAGTAAATTTTTTTAAAATTTTGTTATTACATTATAATTGCTTTTGAATAGGTAAGTGACAAAATTTGTGAATTAAATTAAAAATCTGCTTTTTGGGTTTATAAAAACTAAGATTCAAGTTATTTTGTTTTCTACAATTAAGAAAAACGACATTCATGACAAAATATTGTAAAAATAAAGCAATATATATATAACAATTTTAATAACATGTACTTCATTCCCTCTAACAATTTTGTTTCCCTAAAGCTGCGTCCTGTTTGTGAAAGTTCACAAATATTCTGCGCGTCTAGTGTGGGCATATTTACAAATATTCAGAATGTTCATGTATGCTTGCCAATGTTCCCACTCATAGTTGGTACATTAAAGGGTGTTCATTGTTTATTCTCAATGGAATGGTGGAATAACACTTGCACAAACCTCAACAAAAATTGTTTGAGAGGTATTTTTCTGGCAATTTGAAAGTACTAAAAAAATACAGTTAAATTCTGCTTGACCAATTAATACAGGACAATTAATTAAGGTTTTTAGTTGAGATAAAAAAAAGTTAATGGCACGAGAGGGATTCGAACCCACGACCTTCGGCTAGATACGCCGTTGCTGTACCACCTGAGCTATCGTGACCTCGATCCACTCGGACATCAAAAATGGCAAAAGGAGGGAAAACTCATAAGGTGGGGTTGAGATGGGGAGTTGATGTCCAAGTGGATCGAGGTCACGATAGCTCAGGTGGTACAGAAACGGCGTATCTAGCCGAAGGTTGTGGGTTCGAATCCCTCTCGTGCCATTAACTTTTTTTCATCTCAACTAAAAACCTTAATTAATTGAAATACAGTTAAATTTATTTTATTTTTTTAAGGAGGGTATATTTTTCAGAAGAAAAGCATCAGTGGAAGTTCAGGTCATAAGCAAAAAGAGAGAAAAATTAACCTAGAAAAACAAGGAGAAATATTGTTAATAAATACTTTGAAAAGGAAACTGCTACTCCAATTTCAGAATATGCACATAAAAACAGGGAAAGAGGTTCTTCACCAACCAAGTGTTTTTGGTTCGACTGTAGATTAGATTACATAGGAGCTGTCCTCTGTGCACTGTGACCAGTATTGGCTTATTGTCCATCTCCTTTTTTTTTTTTTTTAGCCAGAGCTTGAGGCTTTTTACTAGACCCCAAAGCTTTTTCAAGGGCTCCTGTGTATACACCTCAGGCCCTGGCTTTTCCTCTCCCATTATTAGGAATCAAAGCCTATCGGCTTCGTGGACATGTTCTGCTGTTTCTTCTTCTTCTTGGCAATATCTGCACAGGCTTGATCCTGCCACTCCAAGTCTATACATATGCCTCTGGAATCTGCTGTGTCCAGTTAGCAAACCAACTAGCTTGTCCTAGATTTAGTAGTTCAGCTGTTTGTTTCTGATAGTCCTTCGATAAATTTTTCTACATGCCTCTGTCCTGGGCTACATTCCTATTGAGTAGAAGACTTATTAATCCATTGCCTAATGGATACGTGTTTTTGACATTTTGGTAAGCAAAAAAAGGTGATCTCATTGAATTTTCCTTGGCCAACTTAAATCTTCATAGCTCTCTGCCCTCAGTACCCAGGCAAGGGTAATTTTATTTTCTCCTGGGCTTTAATGCAGTCCCAGATGACTGGATTTTGCCATCGATGCGGCAATTGCCTTATGTGCCACCTGGCTGTCCAAGTAGATGGCTATTTGATAATCCCCAGCCTTTCTATCTCCCTGGCACAGTGTTCAATAGCAACAGTTTCTGCTTGAAAAACAGTGGCTTCCTGTAGAAAGGACGTTAGGCTGATTAGTCTGTAGGATTTGGGTAGTGTAGTGTCCCTTTTTCCTATTTTTGATGTGAACACCACTTTTGCCCTACGCTATGTCTGTGTATATAGTCTAATGCTAGGCTGCTTCTATATAACCAATGTTGGAATTATTATTTCTGCTCCTTTTTGTAGCAGGATGGGAAAAATCCCATCCATTCCTGGTGCTTTACGGGCTGAAAGTGTTGATCGCTCAGAGAATCTTTTTCTGTGTGCATATTTCAGCGGCTTTCATCCAGCTTTCTTTTTCGTGTTTATATACTATCATATTGTCCAGGGTATGTCGTAAGCACTGCCTGGAAAATGTGTACTTAGAAGCATTGCTTTTTGTTTTGCATCTTCTGTATCTTTAAGGCAGTGTATTCTGTTCTTTTTCTACTGCCTTGAGTAACTACTTGAGAGCTAGACTAGCTTGAGTAGCTGCTGTCGATACTGAGGAGATTTCTCCGCAGAATTTCCAAAAGTTTTTTCTTTTCACCCTGCGTATAGTGTGGTATGTAGGGTGAGTTATATTTTATATTCTCCCCAGTTGCTACTAAATGTTCTTCTGGTTTCAGTTCTTTGTTCCATCAGTGTGGTGCTTGTCCACTTTTGGGTTCCTACTTACTTCACAGAGCTTGACTCATCAATTATACATCCTGTGAGTTCTGTAACTGCAAGTTCCAATTTGTTGCAGGTTTTTTATATTCTTTTCACTGTTGCATGATTTAAACTGTATTGTACCATCTCAGTGAACCTTGCCCAATCAGTGTTTCGAGGGTTTCTATATGGTATAGAGTCTATCCTATCTGATTCAATGTCAAACCTTATTATTCTATGGTCTGTCACCAGCTCTTCACCAGAAACCCTCCAATGTTATTAACATAATATAATATTCCAAGGCTATCCAAGTTGATGACTTCTATTGACCCAGCCTTTTTATTTCCCTGGCACAGTGTTCAATACCACAGTTTCCGCTTGAAAGCCAGTGGCATACTGTCCGAGGCTTATATGAATTTTAGTCCTTGGTTTATTTCCATAAATAGCAGTTCCTGACTGATATTCGGTTTTGGTACCCTTTCTCCCAGTCTACTCTACAAGGTATTTTGATTAGAAATTTTTTCCCAAAACTGAATTTAGGATGGCATCAGTAGGCATCCTCAAAATTTGTCTAGCTGAAACTCCCCTCGAAGCTTTAGTCGTCCTTGTTAGACTAGGCTATTAAAACCTGTACCTACACTAGACTATGAATCTTTTTCTGTAAGGTTTTGGTTGAAATTAAAAAGTTAGTGTAACGAGCTGGATTCGAACCCACGACCTTCGGCTCAATACTCCGCTGCCCTAACCACTTGAGCTATCGTGACTCGAACACCAACTCCCCATCTCAACCTACAACATAAATAATTATTATTTTTTCAACCTTGATATATTCTTCTTACCCCACTATCTTTTTATTAATTTTTTTCGTTGTTATTTATTAAACAAAATGGGGCAAACTAAATCCCTGGTATAGCAATTCCATTCCACCAATTTCCGCTTAGAAGCTAGAACTGAGTGTGGTACCAGTGTGTAGTGTGTACTAGGCTTTAATATCGATGTTTTTACTTAACACTCTACTCTCGAATTGTTAGTATCGATTAAGCTTTGTTAGTTTGTTATTCTTCCGTTTTCATCCAGCACTTAGCTTAGCAGTTGCCACTTTGCCAGTTAGCACTTAGCAGTAAACACTACCATACCTTCTGCAGTATCCTTATCTACTTCTGCAGTATTCCTGAATTGAAATTTGAGTATTCCACTTAGTTGCTGCTTCTTTCTTGTAAGTGCATGTCGAATGAAAATTGATTTCAATTATTATATTATTCTGTAAACTTAGATTCACCATTAGTAATTTTGATTATTAATACTTCCATCTACAATAGATGTGAAGTTATCTAAATTCAACTAAATTTTTTAAAATAATACACTGATTTACACAAATTTAACCCTCCACTAAATTTAGCTTACAATTATCAATATCTACATTAGTTACAGGAAATTAGGAGCTATCAGAGCTAAAATAAACAGTAAATAATGTTTTGTTTACTTCCTTGTACTCGTTAATCCCATTTGCATAAAAAGTAGCATTATGCCCTTCGTATGGAATCTGAATGCTACGCCTAAAGATCGCTTTCAGTTAATTTTTTTCCTTTGTTGATTTCATTTTACATATTGTTATTCTTAAACCTTTATCAATGGCTCCAGGCAGACATTTGATTGGGTATGATATTGCCAGGGTCATAACATTATTAGAGGATGTATTACTGAATGTAAATCACATTACAATAGGAAGGGTGGTTTAGCGGTTCAGAGAAACAGGGCTTCACATTAGAAGGCCAGAACAAGTCGACCTAGGTCTAGGGTCAAATGAGAAGATAAAGTCCTTTTTTTTTAAAATTTCATTAGTCATGAGGCTCTACGACACAGCACAATAAGATAAGAAGTTGATAAGATAAGCCCAAAATGTTTAGATTTACTCCAGGACTGTATGAAGACTGTAAGGGTCAATAAAAATAACCTCAGGGCCCGGCAACTGGTTCATGGACCAGCTGGCTTACCACAACTCGAAAATGGCCGGGCTTGAATTTGCACGGGAATATATAAATTGGACATTTGAAGATTGGGGACGAGTTCTCTTTAGATGTGGTGAGAGTTGGCCTCAAATCTCAGATGGTCGTAATTTCATACAGAGACGCTTAGGAGAAAGGTGTGCCTCAGGCGGTTCCATGGTGGGTCATTGATGTTCTAGGGTGGCATTTCCTTGGAGGTCTGCACCGAACCGATTGTTGTGGGAGAAAGATTTCTTACTTCATAGTGGTATTTACTTACAAAACATCAAAGTACATGTAGTGCCATTTGTCCCCACATCGGTGAGAAATTCTTGCTAAAGCTGGATAATGCCATGCCCCATAGAGCACGTATTGTGGATGAATACTTGAATGAGGTTGGAATTGAGTGCGAGAAATTGTGGCCAGCTCGAAGTCCAGATTTGAGCCAAATCGAACAAATTTGGGTCCAACTTAAGCAACATGTATAACAGCGAAACCCTGGTCCTAACACCCTGGAAGAGTTGGAAACAGCTGTTCTTGATGTAAGGGAAAGAATTCCTCAAGTTTTTTTTTTGTTTTAAGAATTAGAAAATAAACATATACTTCTTAAAAGGTTTATTTTTACAACGAAACCTATTTTTTGGTAAGCAAAATATGTCTAAACCAAAATGCATTAAAATTTAAGGGTGTGCTTAATTTTGTCCATCAGTGTTTTTATCAATAATATCAACATCATTAGTTTTAAGGTAAATATTATTAAATTGCCTTGCGTTATAATTTTTTGTGGGTTTTTGAAAGCTCACGAGAAACTGGCTCAACACATATCAAATTTTATATCTTTTAAAATATATAATAATTATATTACGTTTATTTTAAACAATGTAGTTTATATTATTGACTCGAAACAAATGAACTAAGTTTAAGTTTAATTCCTTGTAGGGTGCCATTGCTGATCGGGTAGTTTAGCATAGCCATGCGCTTATTTTTAAGTTTAAATTTTATTTAGTGGTATTTTTCAGACGATTTCTTTGATGGTTGCAGGGTTTGTTTATAATTCATGGATGGAATGTTGAACTATAAACAACCAGTGTGGCTAAACTAAAAAGTACCTATTTAAGCATTAAACTTAAAATATTATTTATTTTGTTCACATAGGTTGTTTGCACTTAAACATTCCATTCCAACGATTGAGTTGTTCACTTCACATACATTGCAATTAGGGAATTGAGAGATGTGTATCAGTGGTTCAACTTTTGATTTTTTTTTTTTTTTCATTGTTTGACTTATTTAAATATTTTACAAGAGTCACACTAGATTTTATGTTGCGTTGAATCTTGGGAAATATTAAAATGCATTATAAAGTCCGAAGATTTCATTGTAACAGATGTAGCTGACACCATTCTGTGATTAGGGTTAGTTAAAAAAAAAAAATTAAAAAAAAAAAATTAAAAAAATAAATAAAAAGATCCATTCTATGTTTTCAAAAGCTTTATTTCAAACATTTGACAAAAAAGTAGAATATGGAGTTCCATTTAATTAAATAGTGTGCTCTGAAGAGGCCAGATGTGGCCCGAAATGCATTAAAATAAAAATATATGGTATACAAATAAATGGTGTATTTAGTTAAAAAAAACAAAAAAACTATAGATTTCAAAATATTTTTGTCACCAAATTAAATTAAAATTAAAAAACAAAATAATAGATTGGTCATTTACGATCGCACTGGTCTACTTATCCTTGATACTTCGAAATGTTTTACAGGGGTTGGTCTGTGTTGCGCTTCTGTCAAAATGAACAGACCAACCTGTGAAATGGTGAAATATCAAAACTAAAAGAGCATAATCAAAATTAACAAAATACTGTTTTTTTTATGCCTGCCCTCCCCCATGAGGGTTTGCAACGGCAGAGGACGGTCATATCAACCTTCTGCTGGTGTCAGTGTTTTTGAAAAAAAAAAAAAACAACAAAAACATTTGTATGTTGGGTTTGAATGCAGAGCCGCTGGATCCAGACCCTGGACATTTACCTTACAGAATTGAGCGCCATGCCAACACCTAAACCAGTGGATACCAATTCCCCCAAAATACAAGTTCATCGCCACTTAAACTTCAAGAAGTAAGAAGAAGAATGTAAAATTCAGAGGGTGTTCTTGCTGCACCCTTTACAGTCTATATTTATTATGTGTTCTGTACTTATCGGTTTATATAACAGTTTTTTATTTAGAAATCGTGAGATGCGGTCTGGTGTGATGTAGGTTTCAGAAAAACATTTTCTTTATCGTGCCAGCATTTCGATCTTTCTGAACCTACATCACACCAGACTGCATCTCACAATTAAAAAATAAATATTGATTAACGGTCACTAATCACCACACATTTATATAACAGTGTTGATGAATATTATTTCCCTCCTAAAGATTCACTATAGTTGTTCAGACATAAAACATTACCAAACTTAATCAGACTAAATTTCCACTTCACATGACTAATAATCGTCAAGAAACCTGCTAAAATGCTCCTCAGTTTATTCCTATTTTTTTTTTTACATTCTGAAATTTCTTTTTGTTTAAACCTTACTACTAGGTGATTTTATAGTTACTAGTTAAAGACCTCCATTGTCTAATAATTTTGGCTTTTCTCTTCTACCATATTGGTTCTTGCGTTCAAAAATAAATTACATAAACATAATTGAGTTTGTGGTCTCTGTTGCCTGTAAATACATTAACAAACGTCTGCGGTTTACTTAAAATTTTCAATTCATTACCTACCATCTTTTAATTTGTCAATATATTATTTAATATAGTTTTCATTTTTCCCTACAGGAAAATAAGGCCATGTCCAAGAGAAAGGATTATAAAACAAATATTTTAAGAAAAAATGAAAACAAAAGTCCCGAAAAATATAGAAAAAGGTCACATCATGTAAGTTTTTATTAAATTAATGAAAAAATATAGCTTTTGCTATACAAAATAATAATAATAATAATAATAATGATTAAATAAATAATAACATGAATTGTTTTTAGCAGCTTTTGTCTGATGAAGGCCAATCATCTGATGAAGAGAAGTTGACAATCGATTTCAAAATGCCAACAGTGGTTCAGAATGAAAAAACATACGAAGATTATGGCATTATGGTTATTATCAATTTGTATTTTATACATTTTTAAATTATATTAAAAAGTTGTCAACTTCTAGAGTAACAGCAGTTCAGGTGATGAGTCAGCACCCCAACCAGATAACTATGAAATTCCTGCGGATTCAGGGAAAGATGATAGCATCTACAAGAATTGTTCATTTGTAAGGCGGCTAAATTTAATAATTAAGTGTGTTTGATTTACAAAAGTAAACTAACCATTTTATCCCTCTTTGAAAACAGGAGTCTGAAAATGAATCTGCGGATGATTTTACAGGCGACCAACCATCCTGTTCAAGTGAAACATCAATGCCAAAAAAGAAATGCAGGATATTGGATATAAACTACGTAACAGATCAACCCCTTTCAAGGGAGAATAAGGGCCATTTGCTCTTGGTGATTTGATGCTGTATTTAAAAAGTCTTCTCAATTTTATTATATATGAATTTTTTTTTCTTAGGAAAAAATGGGCTATAAGCTTGGAGATGGTTTGGGAAAGCATGGACAAGGTAGAACAGAGCCAATTGAAATGTCAAACCAAAAGGGACGGCGAGGTTTGGGGCTTTCAATTCAAGGTCTGGAACAGGCTAGAATTGCCTGGGATGAAAGCATTGAGGTAGTACAACCTTTTTTATTTTATTATTTCCATTTGTGCTTTATTAGAAAGTACAAAACAGTATAATTATTATTAAATAATGATTTTTATTTTTGAAAATTTTATGGGGCATGCTATTGTGTTGTCCAAAAAATAATGCAGGTTTTCATGTTTTCTTTCAATTACCCCTCCTTATAATAAACTGTTTATGTTTGATAGATTAATCTTTTGTACGAATGTCAACACTTTTTAATCCTCTTCCAAACAAAAATTTTTTTTTACCTCAGGAGCATTTCTTTACTTTGGGATAATTCAGTCTTTACCAAGATGTCAATATGTGATTTTTGCGTAATTTCGTTTTATGAGTTTAACTCAGTCGGAACGGTGCGGAAACCTTAATGAAATCTGGGGCAAAGGCAGTGTGAGTGAGAGCAACGTTCAGAGATGGTTTAAAAAATGTCTAGAGAGAGATGCCTTGAAGACAAAAAAGCTCTAGAAGCATTTTTTCCCTAAATAATTATGTTCAGGGAGCTTTGGTCAAAGAAATCCTAGAACAACTGTTCAAAAACTTGGAGAGTCTTTCAGTTAGCTAATAGACCGTAGCTGATCGTAAGGCAATTGAAAAGGTGAAAAAGCTGGAAAGTTGTGTTCCTTACGCATTAAACGACCACCAAAAAAATCATCATTACGAAGTTTGCACAACACTTCTTTGCCAAAACAGAAACAAACCTTTTTTGGGTTGAAATGATACTTGTGATGAAAAGCAGAGTCTCTGAGATAAAACCTGACATTATGGACACTGGCCCGACAAAGGAGTAGACCACATTTTTCAAAGCCCCAACTCATCAAAAAAGTTGAAAAAGTAACTCTTTGGTGATGATGGGCTGATTTACTACAGCTTCTTGAATCCTGGGAAAACAATCAATGCTGAAATGTATTGCTCTCAAATTGAAGCAATGAACTAGAAATTGTATCATTGAAACCATCTTTGGTCAATCAGTAAAGGCCGATTCTGTTACACGACAATGCTTGGCCACATGTCTCACATGAGACAACATGAAAACTTGGATTTTGATTCTGAGGTTCTGCCTCACCCTACCTTCTCCTGATTTTTCGCCTACCGACTACCATTTTTTTTCAGACACCTGGATAATATTTTACAATTAAAAAAAATTAATTGATCAAAAGTCGTTACAAAATGTGTTTACAGAATTTGTTAATTTCAGTTTTCGTGGTCCGTTTGACCATTTAATATCTATCAGTTAATTAAGGTTTTTAGTTGAGATAAAAAAGTCAGTGTCACCAGCGGGATTCGAACCCACGATCTTCAGCTTGATATGCCGCTGCTCTACCACTTGAACTATCCTGACCTCAATCATGAGGTTCAAATCCTGCTTGTGACACTGACTTTTTTATATCAACTAAAAACCTTATTAATTGATAGAATTTGTTAATGATAAAAACTCAAAATTCTATTAAGAGGGTATAGAGAAGTTGCCATTACGTTGGGATAAGTGAATTGAGAGTGATAGTGTATTTTAATTAATTAAAAAAAAGTTTAAAATCATTTATTTGTTTTATTTTATAACCATAAATCTGCATTATTTTCCAGACAACCCAATATTTTTGTTACTTTATTCAAATGGTACTGAGTCCAGTTAATCATGGGCATTATTTCATTGTTTAATTTTATTTATAATTTTGGCCCTTTCTCCAAGGCTACTAAAAAAACGTGAAGCGTGTAAAGCATCTTCATTGTTCTGTATTTCATGTGTGGTCACAAATGTGACCAAAGATTTTTTTTTTTTTGCCAGGGCATTGAGCTGCTTTTGTCTAGAAGGCAGTTAACAGTTTTTTTATATTTTTATTAAATGGACAACAAAATCTTTTTGTATTACAATGGCATTTATAGTTAGACTATCATTGAAAATATATTAGAGAGACTCGCAGTGATCAGGTTGTTAATAAAATTCATTTGATTAAAGAACAAAAATTGTTGTTTAAGGTGGTTGAAGCAAAGGAATCATGCAGCTGGCTTTGTGGGAATCACCTTGGTCCTTTAAATGAAAATATATTGTCAGACTGGAAAACAATAGGACCCAAAGATCTTTCTATTGAGAATATGACTGATTTTTGTGATGAAGAAATTCTTAAGAAAATATTAGAGGGGAAGGTAATTTACATACAACATATATAAGAATTCGCTCCATTTCTCATAATAGTTTTTTGTTTACAGACAATTTTTGATCACTTGTCAGAAGGTGAGCTGATGAAAGCGAGGTCAAAGTGCAACCCTTTTGAGACTTTGAAAAAGGCGATATTTTTAAACAGAGCTGCTTTAAAAATGGCGAACATTGATGCTGCCTTTGATTTTATGTTCACCTCTCCGACATTTCCCAATAAAGTAAGTTTCAAGCAGAGCCAAACTACTATTTAAATATTTCTGCAAATTGTTTTTTGTTTCTCTCTTTTTAAGCAACCGATGGTAGGGTCCAACGAGCTTCTTTATTTTGCTGATGTCTGTGCAGGCCCTGGTGGTTTTTCTGAGTACGTCCTATGGAAAAAGAATTGGCGGGCAAAGGGCATTGGTTTTACCCTTAAGGGAGACAATGACTTTGATCTTTCTAAATTTTATGCAGGTTGCCCGCTAACATTTGAGCCTTATTATGGTTAGTATTGTCTATAATTATTAAATCAACAGAAAAATAAATAATTATTTTGTTTTTTAAGGTGTGAAAGGTGACGGAGATATATACAATCCTGGAAATATAACTAGCTTGACTGAATTTGTCATGGATGTTACTGATAATAAAGGTGTCCATTTTATGATGGCTGACGGAGTGAGATTATTATTTATTTACTTTTTATTTAAATATTTATTCCATTAAAAATTATGGTATGGTGTTTAACGTGATTGAACAGGTTTTGTTTTGTTCTAAAAAATTTCTTTTTTGTTGGTTTATCGTACAAAACTGACTTGAAACTTTGCCAGTGGGTAGAGGACAGTAGTAGGACTAACCTGTAAAAATTGTTAGTAAAAAAATTGTTGCGTTTCTAACTTAATAAACAATTTAAAAAATTATAATTAGTGAAAAACAATTGGAAATTGCACCAATTTAAATATTTCTGCAAATTGTTTTTTGTTTCTCTTTTTTTAAGCAACCGATGGTAGGGTCCAACGAGCTTCTTTATTTTGCTGATATCTGTGCAGGCCCTGGTGGTTTTTCTGAGTACGTCCTATGGAAAAAGAATTGGCGGGCAAAGGGCATTGGTTTTACCCTTAAGGGAGACAATGACTTTGATCTTTCTAAATTTTATGCAGGTTGCCCGCTAACATTTGAGCCTTATTATGGTTAGTATTGTCTATAATTTAGCCAGTCATGTCACATTAGGTCATAATCAGAAAAAGTTAAGGACATGCCTAATTATTAGAACATCTTGGAAAACTCTTGAGTGTTCAAAACCTCAACCTTGCCCCTTTCTACCTTCTCTAACTTATTCACATTCCATTCTGATAGGTTGGGAGAGGATTGAAAAGATGGGAAAGAAAAGACAAATAAATGCCCTTGATGTGATCAGGATTTGCAAAACACGAACCTACAAATGAAGGCCTATATTAAGTCCTTAATAAGAAAAAAAAATCAACTCCAAGCCAAACAAAAGAATTTAATGATGAAGAAAAAATAGTAGCCAAAAAAATTGCATGGCTTTTTTAAAAAGAATAAAAAAAATTATGTCTTCACACAAAAAAGCTTCAATCAAAACCTCAAAATACTTTGGATGCAATGCAAAATCAGTTGTTAACCAACCGGTCAAAACATACAAACGGGCAGAGGCCACCACACAGTGTCCTAAGCAATGACACAGCCAATATATGAAACTCTTCAAGAACAAAAATTAACTTTAAAGCCAAACTAATGAATAACGACCAAATAAAAATTAATGTAGACAATGAAACTGAAAATAGGAAAATTAAAGAACTCATGAACAGCTCAGAAAATGTGGAATGGCATACAGATGAACATAAACAAGCCAGGGCTAGAAGAGTCATGGACAGGCATGTGAGTTTATCATATGACCCAACAGATACTATAACTTACCTTATATAAGCTGTTAATAAAATAAAAAAGATGAAAGATAGTCGAAATGACAACTCTGCTTCCTTTTTTCATGCTCAGATTTGAAAATACAGAGGACATTTACAAAATCTTCGGGATACCATAGATATGACATGAAAGTCAAAATTGAAATCATCAGAAACAGATGATACCTCAGTGGAAAAAGCGGCAAGGATATGATCACACAAAAGAATATTGCAATCATACGCAAAATGTGTGAAATGTGCTGGTGAACAATAAAATTAAAATTAATTAAGGTTTTTAGTTGAGATAAAAAAGTCAATGGCATGAGCGGGATTCGAACCCACGATCTTCGGCTTGATACGCCGCTGCTCTACCACTTGAACTATCGTGACCTCGATCCACTCTGACACCAACTTCCCATCTCAACCGCATCTTTTGAATTTCCCCTCCTTTTTGCCATTTTTCAAATGTCGTGTAATCGGGTTGGATGACAAATGAAATGGCCACGGAGAGCTTTAGTGAAGTATACTTCAATTTTAATCATTAAATTCACTAATTTCGTGGTCAGCTTGACCAATTAATATATTACAATTAATTAAGGTTTTTAGTTGAGTTGCGGTTGAGATGGAAAGTTGGTGTCAGAGTGGATCAGAGGTCCCGCTAGCTCAAGTGGTAGAGCAGCGGCGTATCAAGCCAATGATCGTGGGTTCAAATCCCGCTCGTGCCATTGACATTTAATCTCAACTAAAAGCCTTAATTAATTGTAATATATTACTTGGTCAAGCTGACCACGAAATTAGTGAATTTAATAAAATTAAAATGCTGTTAAGTCAAAAGAAAAAGCGCCAAAGTGCCATAACGTACAGGTAAAAGAGGTAATAAAATAATAAAAGATGTAATAAAATCACAGGGGATGCATGATAGTAAAAGAGAAGTGGTTGGATCCTAGAATTAAAGACCACTTCATAATAAATTTGGTTACTCAAAGAAATAGCTCAAGGAATTAAAAACCTGCCTACTAAAAAGACTAGCATATGACATCACTGCAGAAATATCTATATCGCCGCTGCTCTAACCACTCGTACTATCGTGACTTTGATTCACTCAGACACCAAATCTTCATCTCAACCTACAACTGTTGTAATTTTCAAAAAATAGAAAATTAGAACAGTTGTAGGTTGAGATAAGGAATTGGTGCCCGACGGAACGGAGCTGTGTTAGTTCTTAGAGCTGTGGCACATTCAGCTGAAGGTCATGGGTTTGAATCCCCCTCATGATTTCATTATTTCTCCAGTGATAAGGTCATATCCTAGTCTTTTTAGTAGACAGGTTTTTAATTTCTTGAGCTATTTCTTTGGGTAAACAAATTTATTATGAAGTCTCATTAATTCTAGACCCGGTCACAACACTTTTGCTATCATGCATCCTCTGTAATTTGTATAATGGTACCTGCGCAGTTATGGCACTTTGGTGCTTCTTCTTTTGACTTAAGAGCATTTTTATTTTATTTATTATTCACCAGCACATTTCACACATTTTGGTGTATGATAACAATATTTTTTTGTTTGATCATATCATTGGCGCTTTTTCTACTGAAGTATCATCTATTTCTGATCATTTCATTTTTGACTTTAATTTGTCATACAAGCTGTATTCTGAAGATTTGTAAATGTCCTCTGTATTTTCAAAGCTGAGCATAACAAAGGAAGCAGCGGTGTCATTTCGATTATCTTTCTTTCTTATTAATTAACAGCCTATATTATCTTAAAGCCTTCGATATGGAGGTAAATTATAGTCGATAGGATCAAAGTCATGATAGCTCAAGCAGTTAGAGCAGCAGTGTATTTAGCCGAAGGTCGTGGGTTCGAATCCTGTTCATGACTAGCTTTTTCATCTCAACCAAGACCTTATATAAAATGAATAATTTATTGAAATTATTATAACATTGTAAAATTAATTATTGATCTGTGAAGTAATTTTAGTAAAAAGTACACTAATTAAATTGTTTTAAATTATTGCATTAAAAGTAATCATTACATTTTCAACAATTCATACTTGTTCTCTTTTTTGTCATTTAGTTATATTAAAATTAATAGTTATTCAGATATTGTGAGATGCGGTTGGGTGTGATGTAGGTTTCAGAAAAACATTTTCTTTATCGTGCCAACGTTTCGATCTTTTATTGAGATCATCTTCAGGGCTCAAAGTGTTTTCTTCTGTGTAATTGTGCCATCCTTGCGTGTCGTGTTGAGAGTGCCACGATATCTGAATAACTATCGATTAACGGTCACTAATCTCTACACATTAAAATTAATACTTAACTTACTTAAACTTAATCAAATATAAAACGATTATTCGGAAATCGTGAGATGTGGTCGGGTGTGATGTAGGTTTCAGAAAAACATTTTCTTTATCGTGCCAATGTTTCAATCTTTATTGAGATCATCTTCTGGGACTGGGATTTACAAACATTGTTTAAATTTAATAAATACATGCAGAATGTGGAAAAAAGTGAACGTATACAATGCAAAAAAAAATTTTTATATTCAATCAAAGTATTTCTACTCACTCAGTGTTTGTTTTCTGAGTATATGTGCCATTCTTGCATATATCAAACTTGACTTTAATGTATGATTTTTTCTTTAAATATTATAGGGATTCTCAGTGGAAGGCCAGGAAAATATCCAAGAGTTGCTGTCAAAACAGTTGTACCTTTGCCAATGCCTTGTGGCTCTAAGCATCGTCAGACCATACGGCCACTTTGTTTGCAAATTGTTTGATTTGTTCTCACCGTTCAGTGCAGGGCTTGTCTATTTGATGTACAGATCATTTGATAAGATTTGCATTTTTAAGCCTAACACCAGCCGACCTGCTAATTCAGAAAGGTAATTATTGCATGTACATTAGTATATACAATTTTAAGGATGGTGGTATTTTTTATTTTTTATTATTTAACTATTCTGATGAAATTAATAAAAAATAACAGTTTTCTTGCTAATTTAAATTTTTATATTCAGAGTATATACTGTTGTGTTCTGTGGTTTGTTGCCATCTCAAGGCGCCAGGTGTTGTATTCCTTCAAACTCTATCAAAATACTCTTTGGATTTTGAACAAAAAAATTCTGCAACTCTATTTTGAACCTCATAAAGAGAATTACAAATTTTTACTTTAAGTTAATGAGCCATGCACTGGAACAGAATGGCAGTCGGAAGTCTGTACTGTAAACAGGTCGAGAGAGAAGCTCAATTTCACCCAATTCTGTAATTTTTTATTATGTGTAATGAAAAGTGTGTAGTCGGACATTGGCTTGTTGAAACAAAGTCTGATTTCTATTCACTAATGCTAGGCCAAAACGTCATAAATTTTTTTTTGTAACTGCTCACAAGAAAGTTTTGAATGAATGTTTTGACCTTCTAGAATGAACTCGTAATGAATTATGCCTTTGTAAATCCAATGTACAGAGAGCATTGTCCTTTAGTCGAATTGTATTGGTCTGATCAGCAGCAAGTGGGATCATATATTTATACCAATTAATTATTTTTTTAATGTAAGGTGTTTGGTTGAGATGAAAAATTATAAATGATGAAATAAAAATGAAACAAAAAAACTTTAGATAAAAAGAAAATTAATTGGAATATTAATATGGTCAATTATGATCACTAAACAAATATGGCTTATGTTTATAAGTGTAACCTCTATAAAACTCAGCGGGTGGTTGAATGCCATGGTACAGTACATTTTGCTAAGTTCTAGGGATGGTACTAATATATACTAAAAACCGTTCCTCCACCTGTTTGTGGCTTCACAGTTGAATATGCTCCTCTTTTCCTACAGTATGAAATTAGTGGTGTTTAGTGACCGTTAATCGATAATTATTCAGAAATCGTGAGATGCAGTCTGGTGTGATGTAGGTTTCAGAAAAACATTTTCTTTATCGTGCCAATGTTTTTCTGAAACCTACATCACACCAGACCGCATCTCACGATTTCTGAATAAGTATGAAATTATTTATGTAGATCTCAAATGTATGCATGTGTTTTTTCAGATGACACTGTCCAGTCAATTTTAAGTAGAATTGTTCTTTTTTTTTTAACACATTACTGCACTCAGATAAGGATAAAAATGACAAACACTTCTGCAAGACCGCTAGGTATTCCAGGTTTAGCGTATTTTATGAATAGCCCACAGTAATATTCAACAAAAAAATTTTAATAATTATTTATTAAAAATACAGTATTTATTTAAAGTAAAAAAAGACTTGGTCTGTTTACAACTTTGGTTAAGGAATAATCAACTTTCTTACATAAACATATTTTTTCGTTTTTAGTTGTTTTGGTGGTTGTTGAAAAGCTAAAAAGTTCATACTTTCCAAAATAATACGGAAAAAACAGCCGATATGTTTAATTGATAACCAGAATGAATGTTTTGTTTTCTGTTTGTTGTTTTTTTCTTTCGCTCAAATATTTATGCCTTGAAAGTGGTAGTGCCTTAGGTAGTTATGGTGAATATTTTCTTTCTTTTTATGAGGGTATTTCAACTAAAGATTATATGTACTCTTGGGGTGCTGGTGTCAAATTTATTGGCCTTATGATCTTGCATATTAGCCATGGTACGAATTCATGTGTTCAAATTGGTGGTTATCAGGAAAAAAGGGCCAGAGGCGACGGTGGGAATCGAACCCACGACCACGGCATGAGAGTCTCTTATGCTAACCACTCGGCTACCGCGGTCCCCAATGACTTGATTATTTGACACTGTATTGTTAAGTATTTACAATTTCTATACAATTCAAAACTTGGATCACTGCATGATTAAATAACCAACAATAATTGTCTTGTCAGTCAATGTCCTATCACAATTAACGCATTTAATTCCACTTGAAAAACTGGTTTGGCACCAGTTTCTTTGAACCAGAGAAACCCTAATGGTTTGGCACCAGTTTCTTTGAACCAGAGAAACCCTAATGGTTTGGCACCAGTTTCTTTGAACCAGAGAAACCCTAAATTATGTTGCTGCTATAGAGAACAATTGACATGTTTTTAATGGATAAACAGCAAATCTCACTCCAATGCTTTAAATCCCTTTAAGTTCAATTGTCAGATTGTACTGTTAAATCATTTTGTGTTTAAAATTTAGCCTCAACTTCAATGATTCCATAATAAAAATCAAGAGCTAAATGTTATTAATATTTTTAGGTATATTGTATGTAAACATAAGAGGAAAGACTGTGGTCCTATTAGGGATTATTTGTTCAAATTGAACGAAGAACTGTTTGCAATGGGTTCCAGATCGGAAACTGATATAACACATATAGTTCCAATGTTAGAATTAACGTGTGATAAACAATTTTACAATTACCTTACTGAATCAAATAATAGGTATAACAATAATATGTGCTTAACAGGCAGGCGATAAAAAAGTGTTTTCCTTTTAGTTTAGGTGAAAGGCAGGTAATAAACCTGTTGAAAATAAAATCGTTCTGTCAAGATCCCAACTTGATAGAAAGAAGACAAAACAAATTACGAACTGAATGTCTAAATCTCTGGAACATACCGAACACCGTGAGAAGTACTAACAGAATGACACCTGAAGAAATAGCTTATCAGATTATTGACAATTACAGGGGTATAAAAATACTAAACCACTAATACTTTTAAATTAAACAATGATTAAGTTGTTTTGTTTTAGAACATTTAAACTTTGATTTTACAAAATTAGTAGCGGAAAATATGGAAAAGTCCTTCAAAAACTTATACGATTGGCAGTGTTTTGCACTTGCATCAGAAAAGGAGCAAACATTTTATATAGGTAAGAAATATTAATAATAAAATATGGATGATTGAAAAATTATTTATTTTGATACCTTCTTGTTTTAAGTAAGGAAATAAGGACTAATTAAGTAAGGAAATACAAATGTATGTATATATACTATATATTAATTTAAAAATAGGTGATGGCATTCTTGTTTATGAATGGAATTTTAAAAGAAGAGAATGGAAGCAAGTGACCAAATGCGACATCAGGTTAAATCCTGGCACGTTGGTCTTTGGTGAAATTATCTATGAAATACAGGGAGAATACAGAAAACAAAAACAGATCAAGGCCCTCCACGTAATTGATGGAATAAGTATAGGCTTTGAAAAAATTTCTTCTTTACCATTCCATAAAAGGTAACAAAGAATGGTTTTTGTTTTTGAATTTAAATATGTATAAATATCTTATGTTTAGATTAGCTGCATTAAGATTGTATGAACAAGCAATAAGAAAAAAGAATGAACAGTGTAATTTTAGAGTAAAAATTCCTTTTCCGATGGAAAAAGCTGAAGATATTTTTAAAAGGTTTGTCCCAAGATGTACAAGGTCCTGCAAACCAGCCGAAAAACCATGGTTCTACTCACATACCGTTTGTGTTTTTCAACCATCGTTTTTCATCCTATTAATTGATGATCTTAATATTAAGTCCATACTAAATTAGTTAACAATTTTTAGATTAACTGTAAGGAATTCTCATCTGTATAAAATACAGTTGCTTATTGAGGAGAAGGAATATTGGTATGAACCTCGGGCTGTTCTTTTTGTCAATACAATGAAATGTAAGTTTGTTTAAAAGTCTTAATGCTCTGCAATCATCGCTTGCTTTCCCCCTTCCCTCTCTAGGGCCGTGGATCAGAAGTTTCAGCAAGACATCTCAATGTCACTACAATTATAATATTTGTACAACACAATCTTTATTTGATTACGACTGCAGAGAGAATGAAGTGTATGGAAGTACGCTGTGAGTAATTATTGGTAAATTATTTAAAAAAAATTAAATTAAAAAAAAAAATTTTTAGGGATTGCCTCAAAAACACATTGATATGGCAGTGGGAACAAGGAGTTGGTCTTAAGAAAGAAGGTCGTGTTGAGGGAGTTGTTCACAAAGATGATATTATTAAACATATAAACCAGCTTTTAAGACCAAAAAAAAATTAATTTACTAAATAGTTAAGTGAATTGTATTATATTGTTAAAAATAAATTTTAATTTGAAACTACAATTGCAGTTGTAAATCCCTCATAATTTTTTGAAATATATTTATTTGTATATATTACAAATGTGATCACTATACGTTGTTATTATTACACGGTCACAGCATTGCACCCGGAGGACACATGCAAGGAAGCCAGCCAAAGCGGGACTCAGTGTGAGAGAATAAGGGGCAAGAAGGTCTCAAGGCCAGATTAAAGAGATGAAAGTGACCCAAACGGGTTCTTGGGATGGGAATTTGTAGAGAGGGCTCCAGCTATAGCATTAGGATGGATCAAGAGGTTGGTGTGAAACTTTTAGAATTAGGAACAGATAAGTTTGTTGATAAAAGGAATGTTGAGGTCGTTGTGGATAGTGAGGTTAGTCATGTAGTAAGGAGCTTTGACGGTTTGTCTGAGGACGTTTGATTGGAAGGATTGGATATTGGATGACTTGGGAGAGTCCTAGATGGACCATTGAAAATTTTAAATCTCAACTTCTGACAGGTCATGGAGATTCTGCGGCCAAACTCCATTCCTTCAGACTTAAACCCAGTCCGATGTGTCAGTGCAGTTTGGAAGGAATGGCGGAACACATCTTAATAAGTTGTGAAGACCACATTGTTCCCTGTGTTTTGAAATCAATGAGCAAACAGCGACAATGGAGGCTCTCAGAAAAGCAATTGCCATCTGGGAAGGTTTCACTGCAACACATTAAATGTGGAGTTGCATAATGAGACAAAAAGGATGGCAGACAAATTAAATAAAAAACAATATTGAAAAGTCAGACAAGCCGATACCTCCTCCATCTGAACATCCCGAGCGAGCCGCCTCCATGAGGCCCATCCTGAACTCGGTTAAATAAAACTGAGACTAAGAGCTTGCCAGGTGTAGTGGAGATGTCAAATATAAATAAGAATGCTTCCATCTATAATTAAAAAACAAGCTAGACAACAAACTGCAGAGCCAGACATGACAGGCAAAAATGAAACAAAGGCACAGACAGATAACTTGGGAGAATTCCTCAGTTCTACTCCATATTCCAAAGTGATTGCAGTAAAGTCTTGTATAATTTAGTTGAGTCTTGAAGATCAAGATGGATTTTGGCCCTAGGAGTCTTTGTAGTTGTCCAAATCTTCTGTTAAGTTGCTGACTTTTAAGCGTTGTATGGGGATTCAACGTCAGGCTTCACATGCTCATTTCACGTCCTATCTTGTGTAGTCCTTGGTATTTGACTTGAGTGGAAGTTGGTATCTCTTTGTTGATGTATACATTTTCTTTCATTCATTCTTGTCCTCCACTTTTTGTACCAGTCTTCGATAAGGTGAAGGTGTTCTTGGATATTAGAGGTAGCTTGGGAAGGATTCGAGTTAGGGGACTGGAAGAGATTTAGAAAATCAGAATTTTATAGGAGAAAATTGCGGTAACCTCTGCATAGGTTGTGATGATAGTATTGGGATGTGCATGTAGGTCAACAGTATAGATGATGCTAAGAAAGCTCCCTTTTGGTGCGCCAGCTTGTATCGGTCTGATCTCCGAGAACTCGTTGCCGCACCTCACTCTGAAGCAACGGTCGGTAGGATTTCAGTATAGATTATAAGGAGTGGGTATTTAAGTTTATAAAACATGCCCGGGTGCCAGACCCTATCAAAAGCTTGTGCTACATCTAGAATGCACCCAAGCAATACTCTTTGCTCTTGAGAGCAGAGGAAATAACATTAACAACAATAACAAATAACAACATTAATTAAATAATTAAAAAAAAATTAAAAACTATTTGTGGAATAAAACTGTTTAAAAAATACTATTTATTGCACGTTAAATAATACAAAATTATAAGTATACTAATTATGAAGTCTTTGATCTTTTTGCAATGAAATCTTCATAGATTAAATGGAAAAGTGTGAAGAGGAATAGGTTTTACGATTGTAATGGGAGAAGGGATTTCTTGGTAATGCACATGTGCATAAAACATCATTCTGTTCATTTGTTAAGGATACAACAAGTACACTGCATCACATGTCTTTGTCTTAATATCCTCTTGTTTTTTAGGTCATAAACAAGTCAAATTACCTAATAACAAACTTTCATCTAACCTCCTTAAGTCTGGTGTTCCTCAAGGTGTAATTTTAGGACCATTATTGTTTTCTATTTTTATTAATGACCTTCCTTATTGCTTAAATTACTCCAAATTTCACTTATATATTGACAATACCCAAATCTATACATCCTCATTTAATCCCTGATTCTGTTCAAGTCATTAACAAAGACCTTTTTTTGGTTAATTGATCTTCAAACTCAAATTTAACCCACTTATACCATCTGCCAACTGATGATTTTCCTTGCATCACTCTTGATGGTTCTTTAATATTCTTCAACAACCAGGTAGAAAACCTTGGTGCCTTTTAATGCCAGATTATCTTGGGATGATTGCTAGAAGGGTGAACTGAAATTTAAATTCACTTTGGAAATATGGTTGAATCATTCATAGATTTGGATCTATGTTGCAACCTTTTTATAATATTTAAACTATGGGAAGAATTTAAATCTAATATAATGAATAAGTATGATGAGCAGAGCTTATTTTAATTTTAAATAATGTAAATAAGAGATCGGAATTTAAGGTAATAAAATAAATTAATACCTAAACTTGTTTCTAATATTGTTTCTACTATTTAAATGTTCCTAGAATTACTGATTAATATTATTTAAATAGATATTTTGAGAAACCAAATTAAATAAGGTGTTATAAATTTTTATTGTTAAGGAATACACCCAAAAGGACAAAATAAAATAATACATTTCATAATTTTATATACTGGCATACTTTTTTGTAAGATATAAAAGTACAAAATCTAATGCAATCGTAATACAAATTAATGCAATCAACAATAATTTATTTTAAGCAATCTCTGTGGATTTTTAAAAGCCGGCCATGGCTGATGATGATGGATAATGAGACCTTATAACTTGGCATCTGTATCTGTCGATGTCTAATGTCTTTAGTTTGTTCTGTAGTTCCTTCTCTAGAATGGCTCTTGACCTGATCAAATTAAGAAGTGCCTCTTCTGCCTCAGCAAGTTGTCCTTTAAGAGCGCTTGTTTGTTCAGCCAAATTTTTCACTTCATCAACTAGTCTGTGGAGTAAAGTTATAAGTAGAATGAAATGTGCTTAAAAGGAATGTTTTTCCTTACCCGAATTGTGCTTTGTCTCTTGTGTTTTCACACCTTGGACGTCGTTGAAGATAATCCAGTCGGGTCTGTGCAGTTTTCATTGCTTCATCTAAGCCCCGGATTCCATATTGAAGGTCTAAAATTAACTTTTCACTTTCCGCATTTCTTCGAACAACCTAAGAAGATACAAAACAATTTTAAAAGTTCAATAGAAAAAATGTAATCCTGTGACCCTAACCACTTCGAGCTCAGCTTCCATTGCTTTAATACAATTTTGAGTGTCTGCGATTCCTTTAGCCAATGCAGCATCCACCCTGTCGGCCTGAGCCCTCAGATCTTTGATGCAATCTTGTAAAATGGGACCATCAAGTAGGGCTCTAAGTTCACAAGATTGTGCCCTGACTGCTTCAGCCACCATCAATAGTTCTTTTGTTGCTGATTCCCAGCCAAGAGGTGTCGACTGACTGTAACAATGTTCAAATGGGGTAAACTGTAAATCGTGTACTGCCCAGTTACTCACTTCGCAGGGAATCTGGTCGAAGCTGGTTTAAAAAGCACTGTTATATTACCAGTGCGCAGGCCCATGTTTTGAGCCTCAATCTCATAAGCTTCTTTTTTGTCAGACCAGTCTCCTTCTAGATGTTCCTTTATTGACTTATTTCGGATCTGTTGTTCATTTATTTGTTTGAGTGTCCTTTCAATAAGCCCTCCTACTTCATAAACAAGTGCTCTTTCCTATTTAAAAAATAAATAAAATAAAAAAATGTATACGATGCCCAGTTTCTAGAATGTATAAGAAAATAATGATATTACCTTAATAAGTTCTTCTTCGACAGTATCTCTCATCAAATCATGACCATCACGACATGCCCTTCTTTCTAAGCACTCACTAGAAATACTCCTGACCAACTCTAAGACTCCACCGGCTTGCCTGGCTTGCCTTCTCTTTTGCTCAAGCAACTTAACTTCTTCAATGAACGCATAAATCTCTCTTTCAACTTCATTTTTCCATCTTAAGATTTCATGCGTCCTCTCCCCTATTCGCACTGTATTTAAATACTGATTTTTATCAGCGGTTGCTGCGATGCAAGCAAGCCCTCTCCTGCTGTTGAACTCAGCCCTAAAATACAAAAATTTTTTTTTTATAAATACACAGATACATCAGATATCAAAGAAACATTACATGTTGACTCTGTGAAGGTCATCAGCAGAACTGCACAGCACTTCCTCATTGTGCTTTCTCCATTCCCCCTCACTGTATCTAGTCGTGGAATAGTGATCGACAACAGGGCGTGTTCCTGTGAGGCCTGAGTGCGGGCTCCATTCAACGTTGCCCCCTGCCCAGGGCCCAATAGGTCCCATGGTTTGATTTTCTCCCCCTATGACATCACCATACTTGTCTTTAGGCTGAGGCAAGTACGCTGGAGCTTCCTCACCCTCAGTTATATATTTACATTCCTTTGCCTAGAAACAAGTTATAAAATAAATTTATTGAATAAAATCTAACAATAAGATAAAGGTGTAAAAATTAAATTTACCCTTATTTAATGTTTTTCAATAATCAACACTATATCTGTTATATACTTATGTAAATAAACATAAATTAAATTGTACATAATTAATTTCATTCTATTTTATATTGTTAACAAAAATTAAAAAAATAGTATAATGTAATAACTAAAGTATGTTTAAAGCATATGTTAATTTGTATTTTTATTTTAAAGATTTTTTTATGGTTCTTATTCTCTCCAAAAAATGTTGTGTAAAGTGTGATTGGAGGATAAACATATTTAGCAGAATTGAATTTGTTATTTATTATTAATATAATTTTAATACCTGTTTAAACGAAGGCTTACGACCGCAGCTTTTATGGCATGAAGCCCTTTTCTCCATATTGTGACTAAGCAAAGAAACACTAAGTGACTAAACCAAACACAATTTTTCTCTTTTTTGTATCTATCTAAAAGTTAACAGTGATGTTGTCAGGGATACAACAATTCAAATTAGAATGCAAGGTTTCTAATGGATCTCCTTAGTTACAAGAATAGTAGTAGTATTGGTTGGATATTTTTTCACAAGATAAATGAACAAAAATTGAAATGTATCCTTACGATTGGGTTAGGTAATGTTATTAATAATTTTGTTTATATTTTTACAATCCATGTTGTAATCTTGTTTTCTTTAATTCTTTTCCTAAAAAAAGTGATGCTTGAGACAATTTAAACTTAAATCTCAATTATACACAAATTATCTTAAAATGTATGCATCCAGAAAATTTCAGTATAAAGACAGTATCTGGCCTCAGTATACTGACTTGTACAAAGTCTTTTTGGTAACCAATCATAAATAAATATATTTTGACAAGTTGCAAAAATACTGTCCAAGAGATTGTTTTAAAAATATATTGTAACTGACTTGTAGTAATAGTCTCTTTTTAGTAGACAATGTTTGCATAAATTGGTCAGGGTGATCATTATGTTTTATTGATGTTGGCATGATTCTTACAAAAAGATAGTTTTATCATTTTAACCCCCCCCCCCAACAACAATGTCAGTCTGTTCAAATCCACTTACCATCAATCCTCACAAACTAGTTGCCTATGGAATTCCCTTCATCCCAAATTACTTAGATGTGGTTAACCATAAAATGAAGCAAAAATTATAAAATGTAAATGTGAATTAAATAAAAATTGTAAATAAAACTTAACGACCTTACCTTTATTAACATAGCCCATGTTTCTTTTAACTAACAAGAGGATGTCCAGTTTGGCGTGTCACGGATTTGGTCCAAACTTTTTTGGTGATTCTACACTCGAAAATATTGGACATGTATTCACCACTTCTTGTAAACAGGCCCTAGTTTTGTTGAAATTTTAACGCTGAAATTTCCCTTTTTTTTAATTTTTATTTCGCCGTTCTCTTCCCTTGCTCAAATTAACTATGTGAATATATCATTTTACAGCATTTTTTATATACATTGCAATAAAAATGTAGACTATTTTTCATGGTTGATAATTGTTAAACGATTGACAAGCGCATTTTATAACAGTATCAACATTAAAACTATTATTTCCATTTAAAAAAAAAATTAGGTTAATTTTTGACAAATAATTTTCTTATTTTGAGTATTTTTTTATAGAAATATTTTATTTATTTTTATAGTACATACGTTGTTAAAAGCTACATTCCTCTTCTTTTAAATGGTATATTTGACATTAAAATCCTTTTAGCTGTTTTTGAATTATATCCATTTTAATCAGATACTCCGATAACTTTTTAAAAACTGGAAAAATTTTATGGGTCAAAAATCGACAAATTTAAAGTCAAACAAAAATACAAAAATGTATATTTAGGGGGTCTTTAGAGGTGGTAAAAAGAAATTTCATATTAATGTTAAGAAAAAAAAAATCTATGACCTAGTTTACTTGAAAAAAATTTGGTTTTTTAAAATTTTTTGTTTATTAATAAATTTTGATAGCGTTTACTATATTTTTCTTGCAATCTACATAACTATACTGTAAAATGATGTATTCACACAGTTGATTTGAGCAAGTAGAATGGCAAAATAAAAATATTAAAAAACTTTTAAAATTTTTCGAGGCGAAATGAGGGCCTATTACCAAGAAGTGGTGGATATGTGTCCAATATTTTGGAGTGCAGAATCACCAAAAAAAGTTTGGTTGTAAGTGGAAATTGAAAAGACAAAAAAAGCTTACTTCAACTAAGATGTAAATTGTAAGGCTTCTTCCTGTGGTCTGCGGGATGATAAACCTATTGTTTGATAATTACTTATGATGACCTTAAAATAAGTTGAAAGCTTGGCAGTAACAACTGAACTTGCTTTCTTCTTCAAGACCATACCTTGAACCAGAGTGTTTGTGAGTGAAAAAGTGGTTGATATTACTAATATTGAAAATCATTCTGTTCGGTGCATTCTTTCTTATTAAATGTATTTAGACCAACAACTGAAATACCAAAATCTATTCCAAATTTAAAACAAGTTAATATAGACAGACCAGGTCCATCAGAGACAATTTAGTTACATGGGATAGGGATAGGGATAAAAGAAGTGGTCACAAGGCCTTCTACACCTTGACTTGAGTAGATCTATTGTGCTCTTTCCCTGTGTAGAAAACCAATTATTGTTTAAGTATTACACTCTATTTGCAATTTTAGGGAGAGAAATTTGAAAAAGTATGAATATAGAGGTGGTACTAACAATTTTGAACACTTTGGCCTGAACCATAGCGATCCTGGTAAGCTTCTTTCATTGATGAGTACGCTTTGGGATGGCTGCATTATATCATTGGAAATTAAAATTAATGAGTATGTAAGTAATGAATTACAGATTAAATTCTGCTTTAAAAAAAAATCAGTAAGGATTGTTTTATTTTTAAGTTGCAAAATATGACCAATTCAACGCTCGGTTTCATCATACATGAGTCCAATGCATCCAATGAAATGGTGGTTTGTGTCCTGGGCTTAAAAGAAGTCACTCCAGATATTCCAGTTTTGGTATAATTAGTATATATATGTGTGTTATCAGATAGTAAAATTTAAAATGCTTTTTAAGGATTCGGAAAATTTCTGGTACAAGATAAAAAATGCCAATTGCCCAGTGCTAATAAGCAATTTTGATAATTTTCCTGAAAAACTCAGAAAAGAAATTGCAGATTACCTTCTACAATACTACAACGAGGAGTTTGATGGGGCCGTGATATTTCCAATTTTCGTAGGTGGAGTGACAGAGCCAAGTTTCTACTACTGTCTCGTGAATTGTGGCCCTTCAACGGCAATTTCGCCAAACTATGGACTAATAAATGAATCATTCAGGTTTGTTCCATTTGTGTTTGTGTATCATTTAAATTTATTAACAACGTAAAACTTCAGGTATTGTGGGACATTAATCATAACGACATTTGCTTACAACGAAGAGATGTGCCATGTAAAAGCGTGCAAAGCAGTTGTTGAAACATGTGTAGAAAGTCTTCCTTACTTAGGTAAAATCTAATATCTTTAATGATTTCTTATTCTTTTTACAAATTTATTTCCTAAACAGATTCTCTAAAATCATTTTGGGAAGCGTTCAGAAAGGAATTGTCACAGGCATTGAATACTGAAGAAACGACAGTATACTTCTTCAAACATATTAACGATTACAGTACTACTGTAATAGATTTTGATTATTCTCCATCTAATCCAGAACATGTAACTTCTTAATTAGTCAATTTTCAATTTAAACAATATTTAATTAGTAATTTAAAAAAATAAATCGTTCATAGGATGCCAGTGACATATTCCCTTATCAGTTTGGTCTAGAAGGAAAAATGCTCAAACAAGGTAAATTTGTGAACTCTGTAAAGCCCCGTTCTCATCAACTTCTTGCTAGATATTTGAAAAAGCTTCCAAAAACAAAACTAAGGTAGTGTAAATGAATAAAATAAAAAATATACTATTTGTGGGTATCTTTAACTGATAAAAAAAAGATTAAGCCTTACTGCCTTGACAACAATCATATAATTTATAGAAATATAATAACAAATCTTTCTAGGAATGTTTTATCATTTCCTTTATTACATAAAGGATGCACAAACGGTATCATTGAAGTATTTAATAAGCAAAACAGTGAAGTTAAATTTCCTAAAGCCGATGAAGAATATGCTAAATGCATCAGCTTGATAGGTGGTACTTTTATAAGCCAAGCTTTTAAATTCTCAATGACCAAAGACAGACAAGAAAGATATACGTATGTGAACTGTCAGAATCTGCGCCGCATACCTGTACGCATCGTTGATTTCTTTTCATTTTTTCCAATTTCAATTCAAATTTAAAATATTTTCACTTTGCAGGGCGATAAAGCTTGTGGAGCGGAAAGGATATTAAATTGCCAGGATCCTCATAACTACCGCTTCTTGCTCCAATTTACTTTCGTTCCAAGTTCAGTACCGAAAGAACACACTATATGCGTCTTGATGGCGATGTTTCATGAAGTCGGAGTCATAAAGACTTTCGAAATCAATGAATTCAATATGATATGGTAATTTTCTTAATCAAAAACTTTTTTGACAATCCAATTCTTTAATAATTGAAAAGGATGGGTAGATAAGTAAAAAAAAGGGGTGTTTACATTTTCTAGAATTAAAATTTTCTATTGCAGATGCATTAATTAAATGTGTGGTGATTAGTGACAGTTAATCGATAATTATTCAGAAATTGTGAGATGCAGTGTGGTGTGATGTAGGTTTCAGAAAAACATTTTCTTTATCGTGCCAACGTTTCGATCTTTATTGAGATCATCTTCAGGGCACAAAGTGTTTGTCTTCTGTGTAATTGTGCCATTCTTGCGTGTCGTGGGCACTCTCAACACGACACGCAAGAATGGCACAATTACACAGAAGACAAACACTTTGAGCCCTGAAGATGATCTCAATAAAGATGGAGACGTTTGCACGATAAAGAAAATATTTTTCTGAAACCTACATCACACCAGACCGCATCTCACGATTTCTGAATAATTACATTAATTAAAGTTGATATTCATATATGTACCAAGTAACTTCCCACATCTATAAGTTATGCAGTTGCATTTGTTATATTGATAGATCATATTATTGCATGTAATATTTGTATAAAAATAAATAAATAAAATAAAAAACATTAATTGTATGTTAAAACTCTCCCTAAACATATTTATAAGAAAAAATCTAAGAACAATGAAAACCTTAGTTACAAACAATAGGTATTCAGAAAGATTTGAAAATATTGGTATGTACAAAATTAAAAGAACAAAACAAACAAATAGTTGTAAAAGAAGCAACAATTGGACCCTACTACAAATGAAACATTAGGCTTTTGTTCTTTATGCACTGGGAAACTTTCAGAACAAGGAAAGAAAAATACTAAAGTGATAAGGATTCAAATTAGCTTACAGAATGCATGCTTACTTAGAAACATACTTTCAAATCTTAAAGGGGTAAGGTTGTAAATTTGTCAAAAGCTTGTGTGTGAAAAAGCTGTAATATTAGATATGTAGGTCAAGAAATAATTTAAATGATACTAAACACCATTTCAATATAAATTCATACAAATTTTCTGCAGGGTAACAACAATCTCTTAAATCTCTCTTTCTTCTTCCTATAGATGAAATAGAAATCATTGATTGTATTAGGTCTTTCAAAAATAATAAGACCAGTTATTACAATTTTTTCCAGAAAATATTATTTTAAATACAAGGCAATTTGGTTTTCAAAAATCACAGAGGATGCACTTGTCAATTTTTTGACCATGGCCTATTATGATTTGAACAACGGCTTTTGATACCTAGATCATGAAATTTTAATCCAAAAATTGGATGATATAGGAATACATTAACATGCTTCCAGTTATATCTTTCTGAACGCAATGAATGTGTATGTATTTGGAAGTAGCCTGAGTATATGTATAAAGATAGACAGTGTTGTTCCATAAGGCACCGTGTTAGGTCCCCTTCTCTTTTTAGTGTGTCAGTGACATCAGGTGCAGTAAAAATTTGAAAGGAACAATTAACTGCCTGTGCAGATTTTTGCTCAGGAAGATCTTGGGAAGAAGAACAGATGCAATCTGACAAGAGTCTTATTGGTGAATGATTTGATTACAATCAATTATCATTTAGCAGTAAATGAAAGTTCATGTGCTTTAATCTCCAGAATTTGATTAATACTGGCTTAAACATTAACTTCTAATGTTTTCAATGCCATGATAAACTCCTATGTGATATATGTTTTAAGGTGGATCAAGTTCATGAAATCAAATATTTAGGACAGATTATAGGCGACTATTTAAAATGGGACTCTCATATTGATTTAGTAAAAAATGACAACATGGTTTAAGAGGTATTTATTTTAAGAAATGTACCACCTCCCTTCTACTTAAAATATGTTATGCGCTCATACTATTGCAAATTTAGTATTGGTATGTTGGGGGAGTGCATATGAAAATGCAAAAGCAACCAATATCAGTCCTTAAAAAAAAAAAAAAATGTTTCTTATGTATGTTTCTTAAATACAAATTGGAACACTCTGCCACTTTTCGTCAAATACCACATTTTGATTGTACCATGCCTTTATCTTTTCCGAACCGTGAGGTTGTTTTTTAATAGAGGAAATTATATCAACAAATATAAACAAATTAAATATGACATGAGATGTCCTATAAATAGCGAGTTACCCCAACCAAAATTAAAATTTATTAAATCCATTAAAATTAGGCGTCTATTGACCAAATTACTTCTTTCAATTAATTAATCTTTTTATGTAAGGTTTTAGTTGAAATGAAAAAGCTAGTGCCACAAGCGGGATTCAAACCCACGACCTTTGGGGCACGCCGCTGCCCTATCACTTGAGCTATCATGGCACTAGCTTTTTCATTTCAACCAAAACCTTAAATAAAAAGATTAGTTAATTAACAGTTATGTTGAATTGTTTCCTGTATGTAGGCCTTAAGTGATTCCATTTGGTCCCTAATGAGATCAATGTGAAGTAAATCCCAAAGTATTTTCTAAAAAAAGTCAAGTGTGTGGCTAATTACAATAATGAAAATTATTACAGACTATTTAAAAAGAAAAATTCTTAAATTTTTCAAGTATGTTTAATCTATTTTTATTACTATTTTTTCTCTTCTTTCCACATTTAGTAATGTTATGTTCCCCATTTACTAGTTTTCCCCTCAACCCTTTTTTCCCTCCCATTGTATTACTGGCAGCTTTTAAACAGGGTCTACCTCAAGGGTGCCTGTAGCATCAACTTTATTATATAAATGTAGTTTTCTTTTGTACTAGGAACTTTGTACCAATTGTATCTTTTTTCTGTATTGTATTGTTAATTAGCCTAATAAAAAATAAGATTATGTTGTTAAATTTGAAATAAAACGATGTGTAATTAAAAAACAGATTCATAAAAGCATAAATAATGGATTTTGATTGACCTCCAATTGTAAACCTTTAAAAAAATATATTAATTAATTATAAATATAAATTAATTAGAATTAAAACTATTTTTTCTTTCAGTGTAAGGGTACGTAGTATATATAACATCATATTCTTTTATTTGATTGTGTTGTAATCAATTTCAAAATCTGCATGGAATACTGGAATATGCACTAGAGTTGTAGATGTCTTGTAAAGACTGATGATGAGTGATTATAGTTGAAATCCAGATCATTGCAAAAATAATTTGTGAACATAACTGTTCATTCATTTTTTTCTGTAAATTCTTTGTAGACTACATAGAAAATATATATTCTTTGATTGCCCAATAGACCCAGACTTCTTGTAGATTACACATTTCAATTAACTCAATTACTTATTCTTTTTATTGAAGGTCTTTATTGAGATGAAAAATTTAGTGTCATGAGCGGGATTTGAACCCATGATCTTTGGCTCATGGATAGCTCAAGTAGTAAGAGCAGCGGCTTATTGAGCTGAAGGATGTGGGTTCGAATCCTGCTTGTGACACTAACTTTTTCATCTCAATCAAGACATTAAATAAAAAGAATAATTAACTGAAAATATTAATATGGTCAATTATGACCACTAAACATTTATGAATTAATTTCGATTAACATTTATTTTTCAGCTTTATACAAACCCTCCAGTTAGGATATTTCAATCATCCTTTTCACAATTGGGAGCATGCATTTTCAACGGCACATTTTCTTTTTGTCCTAGTAAAAAATTACTCACTCCTGCAAAATGGCTTTGTCGAGTAAGTCACAGACAAGCGATTGTTTTTAAGCTGTTTTTTAATTTGCCTTGTTTGTTTCAATTTGGACACAGCCGGTTAGAAATCCTGGCATTTTTAACAGCGGCGATCTGCCATGACATTGACTTCCGAGGCACGACGACACCTTTTCAACTAACAACTGGCACCTCACTAGGAAGTTTGTATGGATCACCTGGGAAAATCAAACAAGTAAAATTTTTATTAAATATGCAAAAAGCTTTAATATTAATTTTTGACTAGTTTTGTGGAAATATTAACATTTGAATAGCTATACATTTTTATTTAAAATTATAAATGTGCCATTATGTATAGTTGTTTTGTTTTTGTTTTTCAGCACCATGCTATCTCACAAACCCTACAAATTCTCTGCCGCCCACAATGCAATGTTGCTGAAAATATGACCACCAATCAATTTAAAGTTTTTATTCGCCTTCTAGAAGAATATGTCATAGGTTTGTTAAATTATTTTTACAAAAAAAAAAAAAAAATACAAAAAAAACTTTCCTCAATATTAAGATATCTTTCAGACCTTGACATGACTTCTTTTGTGAGAAACTTGGACCAGTTGAATCTCATGACTGAAGTCGAACTCTACAGTAAGACTAATCCAGAGCACAAAAAGTTGTTTAACATTTTGATAATGACAGCTGCACATCTGAGCGAATATGTAAAATGCAAGGAATATCTGGATGTTGTGACTGTACGTCATGAAAGTTGAAACTAAGGATAAGCAATTAATTTTTTTTTAAATTTTAGAAACACCAAATAGATGAGTTCTTCAGACCTGAAAAGGCAGGAATTTATAGAGGTGTTTTTGATATGGGTGATTTGGTGCATACACCAATTAAAATCGTTTCCCTACATGTCCAATTTATGGTTATGATCGCAGTTCCTGCATTTGAGTAAGCAATAAAAAAACACTTATACTATAATCTCCTTATGATAAACCTCAAAATGGCAGCAATGATGTTTGTGAAATAATACTAGCTAAACATCAATATTAACGTTCCATAAATTTTTAGATTTATTTTAGGGTTGACGATAATCCATATTTTTCCTAATGCCTATTAGCTAAATAATCACAATTTTTTTTTAGATTGTTGTACTCTTTGTTCCCAACAACTTACAACTGCCTAGCCCAAGTGATTAAGAACACAAACAACTGGAAAATGGAACTGGAAAGGTATGCTAAACCTGGAGCAAGAATCACACCGACTGAATCGCTAATCAGCTCTTTGTCCGAGGATGAAGATGAAGTTGATAACAATTTATTTTTTAAATAAATCATTTAAATTTCCAAGACTATTAGTTGAAATGAGATACAATTTATTGTAGAAGTTGCATGAAAAAAGTAATCTATTTGTTTTAAATTGCAGGGTTATAGGGCTGTAGGATTTTTATTAGAAATTTGTCTAGTGTAAAATATAAAATATATTTATATATACTGAATATACTACTCCTGGCATACTTAAAAAGGTCCTTAAAAAAAATAAAAAATAAAAAAATAATAATGCTGGGGTCGCAATATTATTGCTAACTTTCCACAGTTTTCACCTTTTATTCGTATGCTTTTTGAGCTAGAGTATGTTACAGTTTCATCTCAATGAAGTTGTGCTTTTTAAAAATCATGTTGCAAGGTTTAATTCTATATTAAAAATCAAGAGTAAATTCTTTGATTAGCTTCTGACAATTGAAAATAAATATACAAGGTGTAAGAATATGTACAAGGACTGTACCCGCATATAATTAACTAAATACATCCCCTTCTTCAGGACTTTGATACTATAGTTAATAATTTGCAAGGCTAACTAATTCTGTTTTAAATGTTAGTTGTATCAACAACTTTTCTACTCATGTATACTTGGGATCATGGTATGGGTCTTGAAAAAACAAAGTGGTTACTGCCAAACTTTTGACTTATTTTAAGGCCATCATCAGGGCAAAACAATCTTAAATATGTCTAAAAATTGATGTAATTCTTGACAGATGAAATTTCTTTGAAGACCGACTCAGTTCCCACAATGCTAACTTTACTTTGTAGAAGTGGGACCCCCTGTGAAGTGGGACCACCAGACTGCTTAAAGGAAATTTTCCAATTCCTCCCTGCTCAATGAACTATTGATTTTCTGTGGGCACAACAGTTAAGGCGCTGATACGGCATTCATCACTGTAAAGGTCTGGGGTTCGAATACAGGGCCAAAAATGGGCTATTTTCAAATACAGGGTGCCCAGGGCTAATATACTCATAGATGAAATACTATTTAAAAAATAAAAAAAAATAAATTGTGTTTCTTCAGAAGGTTGAGAATCCCATCAAAAGAAAAGGCTTAAGGAATGCAAAATGGTGGCCTATATCACATCAATTATGAAACAGAATTGTTAATTGATGAATTGTTGTTGTCGTAAACTGGCAAATAAAATGAAACAATTGACCAACTCAAAGGAAAACAGATTTTCATTTTATTTTCAACCAGATGTTACATGTTTTGAAAGCAGAATAAATTTCTTCCGGTACCCACATTATAATTTATTTGCCAGGCGACTATTTTAAAACTTTTGTAAGAAATTGTAGTGGTGTGGTGTTGAAAATTAATTTTTGTTGGCAAATTTACTGATGTTACAAATTTTTTTTTAAACGGATTGAGTTTAAAGAGTTAAAAATAGGATGTATTTCTACGCAGAGGATAGGTAAAAACTGTGTTAAAGATAATTTTTGATTTAGTATTTAATTACCCCTCATAATACACATCCTGTTAAAGTGTAAATCTTATTTATTGTTCCAATCTATTGTCTTAAGTTCAGAATGTTTAGTTTTTAAATTATTTGAGCGTTTCAGGTTCACACCAGGGGAAATATCTTTGCCATCATAAAAACTCTCATTTAAAGAAAAATAAATGAAGTAATCTTTGCTTTGGTAGATCAGAAATTGGCACCTCTCACTACAAAATTGGATTGGTTTAGAAAATAAGTTGAACCCTTAACAAAGAGCATACGCAACTTAAAACTAAATTGGATTCCCTCCAGCAACAACAGCATTGAAGCTTAGTAAATTTTTCTTGGTGTGAAACTTAATCTTAAAGTTTTTGAAAAAATCCGAATAGGTTAATTTAGAAAGAACAATTGCTGGATTTTGCAGTTTTTACAAGTGGACATCCCTACTGTCAACTTATATGTTGTACTGCTGAGGCCAAAATAGAAATTATTCTTTCCTGCCTTGCTTCTCTTTATCCACCTAAGTACTGAACTCGGCAAAGATGGTAAAAGCCACTGGGATAATTAAAGCTTTATTTTTTTGTCTAAATCTGCAACTGCAAAGAATGTGATAGCTGCTAGATTCCTTCACAAAATCCTGTTGAGTCTGTATGAACTTATGATGTATACAGTCATCTGCTAGATATTGCATTTCTACAGTAGAACTAATAATTCTCTATAATTTCATATAACATAGCTGGCCCCGTGAATTTTTTTTTTAGTTGATACTTTCTTTTGATGTGGCCAATAGTCTATGAACTTATGCCAAGTATCCATCGATCCACTTCCTTAAATTGACACATTTAGCATTCATAATTAAACTTTTTCTTATCATTTTCCCCTTTCAATGTCTGTCTTTTGTGATACGAATATTTGTAACTCTACCTCGTCTCCTTTGCTCATCTGGAAAGAAAGCCATAATGAAGTCTACATAACAAACCTCAAGAAAGAATTAAACTTTCTTCTTTTGCATCAAATCCTCAAATTTATGTTAATGTTTCACTTCCTGTATCAGGTTGTGGTGAACCACCTGTGGTTGCCAAGTTATATATTAAATGTACCACTATTTCAACAATGGACTCGCTCTCCACTCTGCAGCCAATTAGCAGTAATCCTGTAAGTAGGGGTGCTAACTGCTAATCTAAGTCTCATTGAGTAGGACTCAGCATTCATCATAGAGCAAGCTTACAGCACTAGCTATAACAAGGGTACTCGCAGCATCACTCTCGCCCTCTTGACGCCAATGTGGCTGCCTGCTGCACGAGTCCCTTCACTCGCTTGAAGTTTACTAACTCCGCTGCATCGACTATCAGTTCTTCCTGTAACTGGCCCTTCTCAGGGCCACCTAAACTCCCGGTCACTAAAAGGTATTCATCTCAGGTCGGAATAGTATTCACTTTTATAAATTTCCTTTTCACTCCTGATAAATGACAAAATTGAGAAAATAAATGACAAAATTAAGCACAAAAAAGTTTTTTCTAAAACTAAAAAATAAATGTATGTCTCTAAAAATCTATCCCCCTGGATCCACTCATGATTCAATTTAAAATTTCTGATTTATTACTGGATTGTGTTTCAGCCAGGGGAAAACGGTTGATCTAGACGAAGCAAAGAATCATGCTAATGATGTAATCCTCAGGGAAAGCGTACCTGCAGATCTGTTGAAGCTGTTCTGTACCCTAATCCAGAGATCATCTTTAGACTTATTTGTTCACATTAACAACTATGTATGTCATTGTTTAGTATTTACATGTAAAATATTTTAAAATTTACCCATTAAAACAATTACAAAATTTAACCAATTTTCAGCTAAGAAGAGTAACTTCAGGGGAGAGTTCTTTCGTCCTGTATTTTAGCCAATTAGTTAAAGAAGGCATTATATCTGTCATAGGAGAAAATATCTTGTCACCACAAATTAGGCTCACTGTGAGTCTTAAGTTGTATATGTGTATACAACTGTGAGATAGAAAAAATTATTGATGGTCAATTACTTTGGATGTTTTTCTCTTCAGCACAATGATCCATTATTTGGTACTCTTCTAAGTTATAGCGAAAGCATCATTATAAACACCCGCTGCCTGCCGGAACAGCTTATTGAAGAGATCAACTCTGACCTGTTCAGTCATCAACACTCAGGGGCACTGAGACAAGTACTGTTCATCCCAATCTATGGCCCTGGGGAGGTGGCGCCAGTTTTCTGGGTCGGTCTGGCCAACTCAGAACAAAATATGGAAGCTGCACAAAGAGATGAAGCTCTCGTGTTTGAAAGCTGCAGGTAAAATTTGAGCTTGGGTGTTTTAAGCTCCACACCTCCAACACTGGTTTTTACCATCACCAGCCATGGACACTCACATTAATGACACTGTCTACAGTTGTCACTGTGTGAAAGTCCTCGGCAGTCTGCAACTACGGCTCGTTTTCAGCCACCTCAACTTAACCACTAAACTAGCTTTCTTATTTATGAACACAACTATCTCTTGTTTAAAGTCAACCAGTTGACTGTTGAACCGTTCATTTTTTTAAATTTTCCAATGCAGAGCTACCTGAAAGAAAATTGTAATAATAATTACTTCTTGCAGTTTTGAATTTTATCTTAAAATTAAATTATGATTTTTTTCTTCTATTTTTTAAGATATTGTGTAGCTTTAATAAAGAATACATTGAGATATGAAGAAATGAGGCAACACCACATCCGCCTTAAACTTCTTATTTCTGCTATTTGGGACTGCAGTAAACACATCGACGACATGGGAGTTTTGAACAACATTCTTAAAGAAAAATCTTGCGAAATATTCGAATGTGAAACTTGTTCAATATATTTAAAAGAAGACAGGAAATTAGTGTCAAGAACGACTGAATACGGTTCCCCGTTTGATTTTCACAACCGGGTGAGCCGGTTGGTTTTTTCTTCTTCTTCCTCTTTTTTGTTTGTTTTGTTTTAATATGGCAGTAAGTCATTCAAACAGGGATTGTATGATATTGTTATTCCTGTTGGCCTTGGGTATACAGGCAGTGTAGCTGCCAGCGGTGAAATAGTGAGCACAACCAAATACCAAATCACTGGGCAAATTGATTTTTGCACCGCACTGGATAAATATTCTGGACAGGAAACAAGGTATATTAAATATGGTGTAGCGTTCTACCCCTACAGATTCTAATTTTAAATTGAAAACCTCTTCATCATATTCCAGAAATCTCATGGCATTCCCGATGCCATTCAAAGATATTCCTGTGTATGGAGTCATGGAGGTAGCCAACAAAGTTGAAAAGAATAATTTTACTAAAGTCGATGAAATGTATGCAATGTGCTTTGGAAAATTGGCCGGATCCCTTCTTTATCATTCACTCCATTTAAGAAAGACATCAGCCAACTATGAAAATAAGGAAATAATAAATTCATTCTTGTTGAGGCACATGAAGGTATTTCAGGTTTGACTTAATTTCAAATAAGCAACTAAAATTTTACTATTGCAGGTGAAAAATAGAGACATCCATGATCTATTCAGAGTGCTTGATATTCCAGATATTGAGAGTTATTACTCGCCCACATGCCTTCCAAGTAGTACAAATGAAAATGAAACTGTTCTTGTTATTATTAACATTTTTTCTGAGCTTGACATTATTACTCATTACGGCATTCCTCCTATTAAACTCTTAAGGTAATTTAAATTTATAATGTACACCATGAAAGAGTTAGATATAATTTAAAAATTAAGGGAAACAATTTGCTTTATAATTATTTTGTTAATTATATAAAAACAGGCTTTATTAAATACAGATTAAAGTAATTCAAATTTAAGGAGCAAGTATTTTATACATATCTGAATCAATTATGTGAAAGTTACCAAAATATTTTTTTCTTCAGCCTGGTTATTGTACAATAAAATAATGTACAGGTTAATCCAAATCCATTATTATTATACTGATTGCTATTATTACTGTATATCAAGTTTCTTTTAAAGAAATTAACAACCAGTTTTATTTTTATTTCAAACAATGTATATATGTATTTTGGGAGTGCCAAGATCCTCCTCAGTGACAAATTTCCCCAAATCTGGAAGAACATTCTTCAGGGAGGGTTTTATTGTTGTACCTATATTAATATAGAAGATTCTTTCTTTCTAATGACATTAATATTGCCAATATTTTAGCTTGATTATTTGAATAAACACCATATTTACCTTCAAAACCATCAAATCATCTTTTTAAATTGCAAATACACAACTAATGTCATCACCCTCTTTACTGACATCTGTACAAATATTTGTTAAATTCTCTAGTTTTCATGGTCCGCTTGACCAATTAATATATTACAATTAATTAAGGTTTTTAGTTGAGATAAAAAAGTCAGTGTAACGAGCGGGATTCGAACACACGATCTTCGGCTAGATACGCCGCTGCTCTACCACTTGAGCTATCTTGACCTCGATCCACTGGAGGGAAAATTCAAAAAGTGGGTTGATATGGGAAAGTGTCCGAGTGGATCGAGGTCACGATAGCTCAAGTGGTAGAGCAGCGGCGTATCTAGCTGAAGATCGTGGGTTCGAATCCCGCTCGTGACACTGACTTTTTTATCTAAACTAAAAACCTTAATTGAAAGATATTAATTGGTCAAGCGGACCACGAAAACTAGGGAATTATTAATATTCTATATACTATTAATATACTCTATTAGTGCTGCTTGACATTTCCAATGCTTTTGGGATGGTCAACCTGACCTACTTATTTAGAAACTTGAAAATTTGTTTGGTTTTTGTCCTCTAGTTCTAAGTTATTATCCTCTTATTTGTCAGGTCATAAACAAATTGTCAAACTACCTAGTAATAAACTCTCATCTGACCTTCCTAAGTCTGGTGTTCCTCAAGGTGCTATTTTAAGACCCTTATTGATTTCAATTTTTATCAACAAACTCCTTTCTTGTATAAATTACTCCAAATTTCACTGATATGCTTACAATATATTCAATCTGAAGAAAAATGTACCCTAAAATCCATCACTAATGGAAAAATTCCAGTTCTAGGAAAAGAATGAAACTATAACTAAAATATTTTAAAAATATTTTTGTATTCAGTCAAAAGTGCCTAATTTTCCTTTATTTATTTTCACACAGGTTTATTCTAAATGTGAAAAAGAGTCATCAAAAGCTGCCCTTTTTCAACTGGTTTCACACCTTTTGCTGTTTTCAATTTGCGTTTATGTTAGTGGCAACCCATGAGCTGGTACAGAAAGAGTATTTGTTGTAAGTTACTGAAGCATTAATTATTAATTAACAATTGTTATAATACTGCTATTCTAAAAAGGGAAATTGAAGTTTTTGCTATGCTCTTGGCTGTACTATGTCATCATATGGATTATCGTGGCTCACTGTCCTGCTTTCAATTGACAACTGGTAATGTTTTAGAGAGTCTTTACAGTTCTCCCGGACAACTGTCTAGAGTAAGAATTTACAAATTTAAATAAGATTTTTTGCTAGATATATTTTGTTTTTTATTTCAGCACTATGCCATCGGGCAGACGTTTCGTTTATTAAATGACCCAAGCTGTTCAATTTTAGAGAATGTTTCTGATGATCAATACAAAAAGATATTACTACTTATTGACAAAATGATTTTAGGTAATTAAATCAGTTTTATTTATTTTTTTATTTAACTATACTTATAAATTTACTGTACAGCTACTGATCTCGCTGACCATCTTAATCGAATGTATGTTTATGAAGATCTGATCGGAAGAGTTTTTAATTTTGAGTTGGAAGAAGACAGAGAATTATTATACCAATTGATAATTGGTTGCATTGAAATGAATGATTATGCAAGACCGTGGAAACACCTTCGAGAAGTTGCTGTAAATTGCAAATGAGAATTTTTATGTACTTTTGGTTTATTTATTTATTTATTTTTTTCAGCCAAGGATCTTCAATGAATTTTTAAGGCAGAATGATGAACCTTATGCAGAAGGTGTTTTTAACTTTCCAGATTTGACATACAGGCCTAAAATGGCAGAGTGTCACAACCTTTTTCTCACTTCTTCTGTGCTTCCGAGTTTTGAGTTAGTACAAAGATCCTGCAGTTGAATTTGCAAGTTGCAAGCAAAAGTTGCATTTCATTATTCTTCTTTTCAGAAAATTGTGCAAAATAATTCCTTCGGTATCCTCTTTTATTCCCATTGTTAAATTAAATCTAGAAGCATGGGTCACGATAAGGAATAAGATCAAGAAGGAAAAGACTGATAACATTATGGACGTTTTACTGACGGAATTTGAAATTCGAGAAGAACCAACTCCTGTAGCACCCCTACCCGATGAAGCTGAAGAATCGGACTATTCAGAAGGGGATGATCAATAAAAAAAAAATTTGCCTATTATCTAATAATTTTATTCTATAAAAGTATCGATATGTAAAAATAACAAATAATGCTAATTAATTTGCGGTTTACTATTTTGGCTAATCAAGTATTATCATGACACCTAATTGTACATTTAATAATTTGCATGCAGCAAATAATACTTTAATTCCGACGAATTTGTCTTCATAATGATGGCTTCAAGCAATTTTTGTCAAGTCCTAATGGAGAGTACTTAGTTAATATATAATAAATTCCAGGATTTGTATTATTAGTTGTAAATAAAATAAATTATTGCAGCAAATGAAAAATAATGGACTAACTAATATTAAATATTTAAATATCATTAAGTACTTCAGGAATTAAATAAAATGGAGTAATCATATTTCTGACTGGGCTGAATTCCTGATTCTAACTGAGACCTTTTCAAAGGAGAAGTCATGGTGAAAAGTATTCAAACCAAAAGCGTGGTGGTAGGTAGACCAAGGTGATTTAAGATGAACAAGCAAAGCCAAAAGTACTAACGTAAGCATGGGAGATCTTTCACTACCTACAAACAATCTTAGAATCTTTTAGAATTTGGAAAAAAGGAAAGAAATATTTGTCAGAAAGAATAATGCGGGTAAGTCATTCCATTGTAATAGTCATAATTCCAATTATCTATTAATATTTTAATTAAAAACTTTTCCCATAGTCATGTCTTCCTTGATAAGGATTTCAATGACACCCATCACTCCTACCATGCCTAATCCTCTCCCTAGAACTCCTACCACGATATGTAATAGAAAAAATGACAAGTCCTGTTCCCCTTATGCCCTCCTCTCCTGTACTTATTAACTTTTAATACGGAAGTTAATTTTCCTCTTTCTGTGTAGTTGTACTTTTACCCCAGTCACCACCCACAATCCTGAAGTTGGTTACTATACCGTATTCAATTGATATTTGTCAATTCTTAAACTATTTAAAAATTGTGTTTTGTTGTGTCTAAATCATTACTGTGGTGTTACTCAAGGATGTTGGTGCCTTATAGTTCATTTATAGAGGGCCTATTCTTTTCTCACTAGTTGTATCATTTTACCACCCTCACTGGTACAGACCAAAGTTACCATTACTTCTGCATATTATTCAAAAATAAAAAGACATTAAATCATTAATGTTTGTTTTAATGAACTAAATTAACAGTCCTGACAGCACATATTTGAATATATTTGCATTGCTTAGATTAATCTGTAACTTTTTTTTTTTTTTTTTTACAAGACAGTATAGATATATAAATACACAACTCATGATAGCTTAGGAAACATAAATTAATATGGAAAGTTAAAGTTATAAACAAATAGTGTAGAGTCAATGTTCCAGTGAATTAGGAATCCTAAAGTGAATTAAGAAAATTAATTATTGTTTGTATTCTTAATTCATAAGTTTAAAAATAAATAAATAAATAAAATAACAATACAACAGCGTTTAATTATCATTACAATTTATATTTATAGATTTCTACATTGTTGCTCAAGACTCTAGACAATGCTAGAAAAGTTTATTTTGAGAAAAAACTGCAAAACCTGCAAACAAAAAAGAGAAAAAGAAATTGGTAGTAATTGTTGTATAGCGGAACAATCCAATGCTTCCAGTATTAAATGTGATAACAACCAACAAATATTAAAAATATCTTAAAATAATATAATGATTATAAATCATTTTTAAAAAGTAAAAGAAAAGTCTCCAAACACCAGTTTCTATTTAGTTTTCTTTTTTAAATTCTTCATTTAATCCAAGAGGTTGACTCATTTTACAATGCTATTTCCCCAAAAAAAATTCTCCTTCCAATCCCCCCCAGCATAACCAACCTACTGGAGTATTTTCCCTAGAAAAAGACCTGAACTTGATTTCTTTATTTGTACTAATATAAGATCTCTTTACTTTAGACAATCTTTCCTCAGACCATAGACATTTTATTCTACCTTTTATTTCCACCCAAAAATAAATCCACGTTGACTCACTTTAATGAATGGACCTGATAATACCGATCTATTTCGAAGTATACTTGACAAAAATTAAACTTAAAGACATCTAAGCAACTGAACAACAGCATAGAACCACTAATACTCATGCATCTGGCATGAAATAACCAACATACAAGGTCCAACATACCAGCATTACCTTACAACCTAGTTGTATATTTAAAACAACTCATAATACTTAAATGTCAAGCAAGAGCCCACTGGTACTGCACCAGCTGTCTTAAGACTTCTTAGTCAAAAATTCAACCTACTAACTAAAAAACTGACTAAAGATTACACAATTACTTCAAGAACCAATATTCCACGTATACTGAGTTGTTACCACTGAATACAACTAATTATGGATTGTGACTAAACAAATATTGAAATACAAACAAACAAGCAAGCAAGCACTCACACACGTACACACACAAATTCACTCTACACCCTGACATACTGACCACAATACCAATATTGTTAACGAACTTCATGAACATCTACAACTTTCCCTTGCTGGATGTTGCCGTTAATGCCTTACATGTCCTTTCATGCTGTTTCAACTTGTTTTGGGTGCAACATAAGCGATGAGTATGACGTCAAAACTCCGGTCTTAACACCCTAGAAGAATTGGAAATGGTTGTACTTGATGAATGGGAAAGAATTCATTAGGATTTTATCAGAAATCTTTCCCAGAAATGTAGAGGGATTTTACAGATGTGATTCATGCCAGAGGTGTAAATACTCATTATTAAACTACTACCACTAAATGATTTTCCGATGTTTTGTTTAGTAAATTTTTGTTTAAATCATCACAATTAAATAATTGTTATTAAAATTTATGAATTTCTGATTTAGCTTAATTTGGTTTACATTAAAAAAAATTAAATTCACTAATTTCGTGGTCCGCTTGACCAATTAATATACATATTACAATTAATTTAGGTTTTTAGTTGAGATAAAAAAGTCAATGGCACGAGCGGGATTCGAACCCACGATCTTCAGCTAGATACACTGCTGCTCTACCACTTAAGCTATCATGATTTTTATTTGTTTTTGATTTTTTTTATCAATGTATTTTCACTTATATATTATTTTATGTTAATTAAAATCATCTTGCATATTACCACAGTACAATAAATCAAATTATGATTTTTAGTTAATTCGGGAATACCACAAGGTATAGTCTTAAGCCCAATTCATTTCTTTTATATATTAATGATTTTTTGAAAATTAAATTCTCTGGAAAAATATTTAGTTATGCAGATGATACTTCTATCATTTTCTCAGGTAGAAATAAGGAAGAAAATAAATGGGCTAACTCACATTTTTACAATGTAAAAACTATGCACTATTATAATTTTTCATAAATATGGCACTTCATTTTTTTTAATAAATAGAGGATCATTATTCAAAATTTCAAAAACTACAAAGAAGGCAAAAAAATTATAATTTCAAAATTTTTAAATTGTAGTTAAGATATTTTAAAGCCAAGATTTTTTTTCATGCTACATGTTTAATCTCTACTATGCTTGTTTGTTTTTCATTATGCTTTTGTGATAAATATTCTGTTTATTTCTCTGATGATCTCCCAAAAACTCCTGCTGTGTAGACAAGCTTTGCTTTTTGACAACAAGCAGGGATGTACCAAAATATTATTTTTTGTTGTAAATTTATATGTAATGTACATTCTTGCAAATAAAGATTTATTATTATTTCCAAACCCCAGCACACAGCTTTTTGGCCTGTTTAAAATTTAAGGGTGTTGCATTAATTTTGTCCATCAGCGTACATCTTTATGATTGATTATTTGGAAATCGTGAGATGCGGCTGCGGTCTGGTGAGACGTAGGTTTCAAAACAAATTTTCTTAATCGTGCCAACGTTTCGACCTTTAAAGAGCTCATCTTCAGGGCTCAAAGTGTTTGTTTTCTGTGTAATTGTGCCATTCTTGTGTGTCGTGTTGAGTGCCACAACCGTGGTGTAAGTAAATAAAAAAACCGCTGGGGCACTTTGTAAATTTTGTACTTTCTTAAGAAATGCACGGTTTTTAAAGTGACTTTTTTCTGAGCTACTAGAGATGTTGCAGCCCTCCCTTCACCATACAAGGATGCAATGAATCAAAACATTATACTAAACCGTAAAATGTTTGAAGACTTTTTTTTACTGAGTTTAAATATGAGAGACAAACCTATTGCCATAGCATTATGTCCCTAAAGGCTTTAAAATTCTTTTCAGTACTGTGAACGAAATATTCGGTCATTGTTGGACGAATGAGTGCATCCTCGGGAACAGTTTTGTAAATAGGCTCGCCTCTGTAAGTGCCGACAGTCCAACCTTCGACATTGGCCATAAGGCGCGCTTCCTCGTCCCTGTTTCGCCTGACTTGTTTTAAAAACCTAAAAACATGCATCTATTAGAAAAATGTGGCTAAAAGGACAAACAAAAAACAAAACTCACTCTCTATCTTTCTCAGCGGTGAGAAGTGGGAGTAGAGCAAGCATGGAACTCCTTGCTTCCACTCTTTCTCTTTCGACTTTTTTATAAGTTAATGAATAAAGGTACATCGCTCCAGCCATAGATACAGCTTGTGCAAAAATTAGCCATTTACCTAAAAAAAAAAAAAAAAATGATTATACACGTTAAAAAAATACAATAAATGAAATGTAATATCTTTAAATACTTCGAATTAATGAACGTGCAGGAACCCTGGAGTAGTCCAAAGACTTAAAGCCTCCCGGAGGAGGCATGTCCTGCTTAAACTGTGCCGCGTCCATGTTTTATCACTGGCGACCAGGAAGGAAAAGGATTTTCTAACTAAACTAACTAGTAACTTTGCCTCTTGAGATAACGGACTGAAAAGAAAACAGTTTAGTAGGTACTAAAATAAGGAAAAGGACACAGCTGATCAACAGACTAACATGGCGAAGGTTATACTGCATCATTCTGTCGGCATGACGTTAAGTTCTGGCTACGTCATAGAAAGAGAACTACAACAAAACTGATACTTTAGTCCAAATTGTATTATCTAGGTACATAACTTGTTGAATCATCAGAACTATTCAGTCTGTTGCTCAGATAAATTGAAAGCTCTTGTTGATCGAGATAATAAAACAATTGTTAGAGATAGTCTAGATAGTCTTTCTACAGTGAAGTGTGCAAACATGTTAAATCTTTAATTATTATCTATATTTTAAGTTTCAGTTTTTAAAATCTCATTTCCCGTAATGCTGCGGTTTTAGTAGAGCCTGATGACGGATTAATCTATCATCTCTTGTCTGTAGACCTAGCTCGACCCTATCCTGGCCTTCTAGTGTGAAGATCTGTTTCTGCCTAAGAATCCTTATTATTGGAGAGTTATTTACTTTATGTGAGTCTCCGGTGACTTCGCACTGGCTGTATCCTTCCTCTAAAAACGTTATGACCCTGGCACCATCTCAAATGCCTGACTGTAACCGTTAAAAAAGTTTAAGAATAAGAATACTATCAAAAGAAGTCATTGAAGGAAAAAAATTAACTGAAAGTGATGAGCAGAATGGAAGTTACTTTTTGTGCAAATGGGATTAATAAGCACAAAAGTAAACAAAGTATTATTTACTGTTTATTTAGGCTAGGAAGCTCCTAATTACCTGTAACTAATGTAGAAAGACAATAGATTAAATTTTAAACTAAATAAACTAAGTGGTGCTTTAAATTTATCCAGCAGCGTAATAATCTAAACTAAAAATCGTATTTTTTCACCCAGTAACACAAAGTTAATCTTAGAATTGGGAATAATATTTAAAAAAAACCTATTTACTAATTTAACAAAGAGCAATAAAATTAGTGATTAAACTCTATTATTAAGTTGTAACTGTATTCCCAGGCCTTTCTCGCAAAAGCATTTAAAGGTTTGGTTTGTAATGCTACAGAAAATAATGATAGAAGCACAGGAAAGTATAAGTTTATTCAGGTGATGCATTAAAAATGTACGGACATTAACAGCCACGAAAGGGCTAAACCCTCAGGCCACACACCCTTACACTCCAATTTTTTGTGTAAGCTTTTTCCCCCCGGAGCCATCCCTTCTACAAACAACTAATACGATGCTACAAACAACCCATGGGCGTAAACCTTGGGTATTATATGGTAATCGGTCACACTAAAAAACATTGTAAAATCGTTTTCTTGTTCTAAACATATTTTGTTCTTTAATAAAATAATACGGTAAGTATTATTGTAATATGGGGAAGAAAAGAATGGATCAACGGAGCCAGGGTTTTGCGGGTGAGCGTCTGGGGGTTCTTTCTTTATATTTGCTTGTCAGCGATATCCACATATCTAACTTGACGACAGTCATGTTTGCAGATGATCGTGTCATGCTAAATAGGAGCAGATATGGACTAATAGTTTCTAATTAATTATAAATAAAAAATGGCGCATAAAAAATAAATCCACAAAAGTTTACACTGGTTGCATTTACCTGTCGCAGAAAATTATAAACGGGACTGATATTCTTGGATACAACTAGTGTACCTGAAGTTGATTCCGTCAAATATTTAGGCGTCAAACTTGATAAAATACTCGTCCCACCTTATTTTAAAGCAGATCGTTGGCTTTGATTTTAGGGTAGGAACAGCTTTAGTTTGAAAAGATTACCCGTGTGCCAGACCCTAAACAAAAGCCTGGGTTACGTCGAAAAACGATTCCGAGCAGTACTCTGTCTAAAGCAATAGAAAGGTGACAACAACCTGAAGCATTGATGAATCGTGAATTGGAGCAGAAGGAAAATGAATTGATGAGACAGGATGTTTTTTTTTTCTTTCGAAGATTTTGGACATATTAGGTTATCACAAATCAGTGGCCAACTAATACGTGGTTGACTGCACATGCCTGAACGTTGACTGATCACGGATTCTCAACTCTGATGGAACGCTTTTTTTCCAATCTCCGCCTTAAATCCGAACTTTTATAAATTGCTTATTCGCAAATGACCTAGGGAGGACTTGCAAGACAGTTCTTTAGGATCGTCGTTCCATAAATAAAATATATCACTGGCCGGCGAAATTACATGGGTTCTGATCGTTTCAAAACTAATGTGAAATGAATAATTTGTTGAGAGTAGTAGTCTTTAAGAGCTCCGCAGCTGTACGAACTGCACCTAATACGATTCTGCCCTACGATGTCGAATTAAACCGGTAATAATAACAGCTCATGGTTATATTATATCTGTCGGAAGATTGCCCCCAGGGCTTATACAGGCGGCGAGTCAATTCCTGGGAGTGTGTGTGTGTGTGTGTGTCTGTTTTGTATTTTTCGTCCCGTATTAAAACGTCCACCCTCCGCCTCTTTTGGATCTGCGACCGGTGCTAATAGCGGCTTTCAAAAATAGGAACATGCTGGTGATTCTTTTCTACTTCAACTGAAATATCCACTTGATATAATAATATTATAATGGAACTACAAGCAAATCCTAAAGATCTGACATTCATATCTTAAAGTCGCAATAGTCTCAACATGAATTGCAAAGATTGTACTTGTAGTACTTGTAGCATCCAACTTTTTTCACTCTCGTCTTTTAAAAATGGCAAAATAACGTAATAGAGTGTAAATTATATTAAAAACATGAGTTTTTTTTACTGTTACAAGAGGAACCAAACTACATTGCTGGATAATAATTGTCCCTGGCCATTCTAGTCTAATTTCAACATCTTCACCAATTAAACCTTTTATACTTGACTAATGAAGCATAAGGAAATAAGACTGCTTGTTTTTTTAGTTATTCGATAGGATAACAAAGAAGACTAACAAAAAACAAACTAAATCAACTGTACACGGGATAGATTTACATAAAATTCATATAAAACTAGTTGTAAACTTAAAGTTGATGGTGGTATTGGTCTGCGAGCTGAACTCTTGTTGAACCGGCACTGCATCGCTTACTGGCCCGACTACACTCGTGGTTTGATTTTATCAAAGCGTTTCGGTTTTCGCCATCTTCAGTGAGTAAGTTTCTGAACGGTTTTTGGACCCGGGAGATTCTTCTTGCCTTGTGCAGCAGGTGATATAGTAGCTTCAGCGCTGTTCTGTTTGCTTTTTTCTCTAGTACCCATGCAATGAAGCCGTTTATCCCACCAGTGCCACATTACTGATGCTTAATATACATTTACGCTTTTGTAGAAATTTATTAATTTATTATTATTATATAGTTTTTTAAATCTTCCTATTTGTACTTTTACTGTCATATCACTAAAGATAATTAATTTAATTAATTTCATGTTATACCGAGACACTAAATCATCAAAATTTCAACCAATTTTCAGTGCTGAAGATCATATTCTTCTTCAGCTCCATTCTCTCTTGTTCAGTTTTGGAGTATGTAGTTAGAACCGTCTACTCTATCCATGGCCAGGCATCATCTTCCAATTTAATTGAAGCTTCGTTGCCAATCTGAGCTTTACATTTGGGAAAAACTTTTTTTATGTGCCTCGTTGTTCGATTTTTTTAAATCCAAGTAAATTTGGCCACCAACATCGTCTGCAGTCGCTTTTGCCCAAATGAAAGAAGGACTTTGTAAAAACCTACTGGCGATGACTGGCCTTTCGTTGCTTATTTGGCCTCTTTATTGGGCTGTTAATTCCCTATAGTTCGGTTGCGCGCTTTTGTCCATGATATCCCTATAGTGCTGAGTTATTCATTCTGAACAGAGCACTTTGAATTCTCTCTGCCGTTTCCTGATGATAGTCAAACGTTTTTGTTTCAAGGCAACACTTGTCTGTCCTGATTGTGGCTCTTTCTTTCTTTATTAGCTCATTATATTCCAACTAACCCAACCCCTTGTTGTTGAACATGGCAAGGAGGTCAGCTTAAATATTGGAACTGATGCCAGTCTATATTTTTGTGTGCAGTACGAAATTCCCTAATGGGTTGGGTTAGCTTCCCATAGACTTTTATATTACAAATTGCACGATCTATAGTTGGACCACATAGACGAACGTAGCTCATAGAGGCCATACCATTATAACCAGAAATTCTTTATCTCATAATCTTATTCCTTCTGAACCCACCGATGTGGTGACTCCCTCCGCTTTCCAAACGAATCAACTTATTAAACCACTTTTAACAAAACTTCTTCGGTTACTTTTGCTCCCAATAAAATATCCTTGCTCCAATCAAGCCGGTGACTACTCCTCTGCGATTCTAGCCCTCAACCCTCTGCCCCATTTCCCTTACATCATTTAAGCCTAGTCTTATTACAGGCTTAAAAAAAACTTGAAAAGAATCACAAAATAATGACTATTTAGGAAAAATGTTCCTTTTCCAATGCAATCAGTGAAGCCTCACGTGAGCATCGACGTGTCAGTCGAGAGGAGGATTATTTGAGACTAAGTCACTTAAGGGCTGACTATTGTCAAACACTTGTTCTTTTTCCGAAAGCGAAAGCCTCTTTAGTGGCAAAACTGTATCTAAAGGCAAACATAAACCAGTTTCAAAAAGGTGTTAACTTCTCCAGCCGTCTCTTTTGTGTAGCTGGAGGGGCATTCAGAAGGCGTGAGAAGGCAGGACAGAACCGTAGCGATATGAAAAGATATTCTTTTTTTCGTCGTCCGCAAGCCCATTCCCGGCCACAAACCACTGGCTTATAGTGATCCTTTGAAACACGGGATGACATTATGCTAATAAGAGAGTATATCATGTCTCCCGACTCTTCCCGGAGGGTAATCCACAATTTACGACCAAGATTTGTCTACCCTACTTTATCCACTTATGAGCTCTTCAAAAGCATTAGTTTTTTTATATTATTTTTTTCGATGTTCAGTGTATTATGTTGTCTGTAAAACTAAGTTTTAACTATTATTTTTAATTAAAAAATGAATTTGTGTTTTGTTTTTCTATTTGGTTTA